TCATTTGTTATTATTATTATTATTATTATTATTATTATTATTATTATTATTAGTAGTAGTAGTAGTAGTAGTAGTAGTAGTAGTAGTAGTAGTAGTATTACAGTTATACTAATAATATTGTAATGGTAGCAACATCTGCAAATAATACAAAAATAAAATGCAACAAATAAAACAAACTAACAGACAAACAAACAAAAAAGTTTATTATATAAACCATTAAAATATTTTTCATTAGTAATTATAGTTAATGTAAGATATAATGTATTAATTATTTTTATTTAAGAAACTGAATAGAAAGTTACGTAAATTAAAAAAAAATGTTTTAAAAATATTAATTTTATTTATTTCCTAAATTTTAAAGCAATGTTTTTTCTCTCATTAGTTTGATAACAAATTTAAATATTTTGTGTGTGTGTGTGTGTATGATATATTTAATATCATATGTTTGTTTAGGTATATTTATTATTATTATTGGCAATTCAAGTGCTTAATGTATAAATTTACTTTACGTGTGAGTGTAAAACGTTTTATACATAATATGAAACTTATCCCATAGTAGTAAATGCAAAAGTTCAAGCATATTATCATACATTTATTTGTACAGTATTTATGTGTTCTGTGTGTGTGTTTGTGCTTTTATATTCACAAAAAACATATTAACAAATCTCAGTTATATCATATAATACCCGTTTATTTATACCGATATATAATACAGTATATACCAGCTATTATAAGTACATTAGTCGCTATACTACTGTATAAAATCTATCACTTTATATAAAATATTTTATAGATAATAATTTCCATTACTCTGTATGTGAATTATATATCAGTTTCAATAAAAGAAATTCACTATAAATAAAGTGTAAAATATCGACAATTTTTATCTTTTTCACTGTCTTTCTCTTAAAATGTTAATACTTTTTTTCGTATTATATTTTTCTGAAAAAACTAAAATCAAACTAAACTGTTAAAAGAAATTTTTACAGAAAAAATAATTTCTATTTTAGACATTTATTTCAGATATTTTCTGTGGAAAAAACTAAAACTTTTTTTTATTGATTAATTTAATAAATTATTATTTATAATGTATTGTTAGATTACAATTGATATGTTGACAAAAAACTTATGAATAAATTATATTTCCTTAATATTTGTTTTTTTATTCAAAATTAATAGCATTTAAAGTCGGTTTTGATATATTGATTGATTATATTAGTAATAATATATGTCATTTCAAAATAGGATTTTTTTTTGGTCATAGATTTAGACTAAAAGTGTAAAATCTTAGAGATTTTATCTTATTTTTTTGTTATTCAGCTTTGATATCATATAGAAAAATATAATACTTTTATTTTTATATCAAATGTTTATCCCTTATATTTATTTCTTTCATTCGTTGATCAATATATTGATAGAAAGTTATACCTTATGACTTAAATTGGTTTTACAACATAACTACTAATACTACTAATAATAATATACAGTAGAATAGATTTACTAAAAAAAGTTTATATCCATCCAAAACTAATGGTTTTATTTCAAGCTCTAATTAACACATTAATTAATTAATAAATTACACATTTTTATTATATATATAATAATAATTTATTTCTAATAATAATTGTTTAAGGTTTTTATCCCATCAAATAAATACTGCATACAATTATTATTGACTGAATTACTAATGTTATCCACAAAAAAATATACGTTGTATTCAGTATACTTTTACTCATTTACTGTCTATTTTATGTATTACTATAAATATTATTATTATTATTATTATTATTATTATTATTATTATTATTATTATTATTATTATTATTATTATTATTATTATTATTATTATTATTATTATTATTATTATTATTATTATTATTATTATTATTATTATTATTATTATTATTATTATTATTATTATTATTATTATTATTATTATTATTATTATTATTATTATTATTATTATTATTATTATTATTATTATTATTATTATTATTATTATTATTATTATTATTATTATTATTATTATTATTATTATTATTATTATTATTATTATTATTATTATTATTATTATTATTATTATTATTATTATTATTATTATTATTATTATTATTATTATTATTATTATTATTATTATTATGGTTATTAATATTTAATTATAGCATACGTTTGACACATTGAGATGTTTTTGTGGGCAAAATAATATAACTGTATAAACACATAAACATATCTAAAATGATTGCAATTTTGTTTTATCACATTTATAAGAGAGAGAGAGAGAGAGAGAGAGAGAGAGAGCACTGACAGCATATATATTATTATATAAATATATACAGACAGTACTACAATATATATTATATAATATTTTCTGATTTACTATTGTATTGTATTTGTAATATTATGTACTGTATGTGTAAATGTCATTTGTTTTTTGGCACTCAATATGTCTTATGTTTCACTATTTTTTTACATTTATAGTATATTTAGTTATAAATTATATGTAACACTAAAAGCATATGTGCTGTGATAGGATTCCCTGAAATTGTTGCCTTTATTACAGTATAAACTTATACTGGTATATTGTTATATATATATTGTTATACCGTTATTTACAGTAATGTATAGAATAATTTTATTTATATATACATATATTTTTATCTTATTATGATTTTTTATGTTTATTATTATCATTATTACATTGTATAATATTCTTACAATTCAAATCACGATAATATCTAATAATAAAATATGTAAACTCTATATTTATTTTTAAATAATTTTGTAACCAACTTTATTTTATAATATTTTTAAATTAGATATAACATAAATTAAACTATGTTTTTTTTGAAAAATATCTTGATTTTTATTTTTTTTAAATAACAATATTAAGTAATTTTGTAAATAAAATAAGAATATTTCATTTAATAAAACTATTTTTAGATAAATAAAAATTTAGTTAAAAAACTAACTATCAATTTGAACACTAAAACCAAATAGTTTATATATATATATATATTTAGTTTAAATTTGTTGAACAAATAATGGTAAATTGAATTAAAAAACCAACAATATTATTTATTTTAGATTATTTTTTACAACTTCATATAATGCAAACAAACAAAAAACAATTTTTACTATTGATTTTATTGAACAAATAATTTCCATTGAATTTTGTTTTTAAAGTATAAATACATTTATTGTATGTGTTTTTTAAATTTATGTAAAAATTATTTTATATAAAAAATTATTTTTATTCAATTATTTGAGCTTAAAAAAGGCTTAAATATGTCCAATAAAGTTTATCATTTTTTTCTAATTTATGTATTTTACAAAAAAAGATTTTACATTTAATAAAATAATATTTTTTTCAAAAGCAAATAAATTATTTACTATTTTAAGTTTATATCATTTATTTTTATTGTATTTTTCATTTTTAAAAAATATTTATTTTTATACATTAGGCTTATCAATGAATTTATGATCAAAGATTTTCAATGATCTCAACATAAGAAATTGAATATATAAAATATAACATAAACATAAATAAATAATAAGCATAATATAAATAGTATTTTAACAAAATTTATGGTTATAAATTTCAATAAATAGTTTTGAAAATAATTTTTTTAATATTTTATTTTTTTTAGTCTTATTACTTTATAATATTGATCAAAAAAAAAATTTCTATGCATAAATAGTCAATCAAAATAGTGACTAGACTAAATTAGTAATTATGTATTTAAAAAAATTAATTTGTTTATAATAAATAAATTATAAAATATATCTGTCAATGTTTTAAGCATAAATTTAGATAAATAAATAAATTATAATATATAATTATTAATTATAGTATAACTATTAGTATAGATTGTTATTAGCTATTAGAGTATAAATAATTTTTATATTATTACTATTGTTGTTAGAAAATATTATAATTTAAACGTCTATTTATACATCAGTAAATGCCATTATATATATATTTTTCACTTTATAAATTAAACATAATATGATATATCAATTGTAAAACCATAATGTCATATCATATGTAATAGTTTAAACAAACTAATGTAAAGTAATAATACTGTACAAAAATATATGTCATAATTATAATAAAACATTTTATGTCTGTTTTGAAAATTATGATTTCAAAAATTCAAATATCATATCATATATAGTAATAATAAATTTTAATATAAAATGATAATTCATGTTTGAAATGATGGAAAGTGTTTAACGTAGCGTTAAAAATATATAAATAATTTTTTAACTAAAAAAATTCAACTTGTGTTGAATATATATAATTTTCGGTAAAAACATAAAACACAAAAATTGAAATATATTTTTGTTTTTGTTGTAAAATATGAAATGTTTAATATTATGCATAAAATTATTGCTAAAAACTAATATTACTAAATAAAAATAAATTGTTACATATAATTATTATTGCATTTTAATATTTTCTAAAAATATTTTTAATATTAATAGTTTACAAAAAATATATATATTTATATATTATATTAATATATAAAACAATTAGTCTCTAAACGGGAAATTGTAAATTTTATTTATTTACGATAAGAATTATGAATTTTTCATTATAAGTACTATATATACATAGAAACTATATTAATAACATAACAATATGTCAAGTAATAAATTTTACGATATAAAAATAAATAATATATAACTATCATTACATACAATAATATTGTATATCTCTAAACATACCGTGTATATACTGTATTATAATTTATTAGATTCAACATTAATATCACTTTTAACCCATATAACTTTTGTTATTAATTTATACTATAACATACATACACACACACATACATACATACATAAATACATATAAATTTATATAACTTGTGTGACACACAAGTGATGATTTGAATATTATTATTATGAAATAAAACAATTGTTTATTGATTTCTTATTTATATTGTTTTTTTTGTTTCTTTTACAGAAATATTTTCTTATTATACAACAATGGTTTCATTGATGTCTTTAATTATTTTATTACTTTTTTACATTAAAGGTAATGAAAAAAATCATTTTGTGTGCATTTATTTAAAAATTTACTAAAGTTTTTAACATTATAAATACTACTTTATATAAATAATTAGGAGAAAAAATTAATTAAGAAAAGTAAACATTATTTTTATGTTTACTTTTAATTAGACTATAAGCATAAATAATAATATTAACATTTTCTAAATAAATCAATATAAAATTATATATATATATATAATATAGTAAAAAAAATTAATTTTATTTTATAAATGTTTAGTAATTAATAATTACATTAATTAAAAAAATAATATGTTGTTAGTAATAAAAATGATTTATAATTATTTTTTTAAAAAATTAAATAACTTAGAGAGTGAATCGATAGACTGTTTCAAATGTACGTCTAATGTTGGAAATGGTGAAAACCGTATGTGTGAGGATCCCTTCCATAATAATTATTCCTCATCTATACTGCACAGCCCGTGTTGGGCCGGTAGGAAAAATAGGAACGGCATATTCCCGGGAACGGCATGTATCAAATTGAGCGGAAAGTTCGGTATGGATTAATATATTTACGGTAGCTATTAATATATATATATAAATTAAATATCTATACACTGTATGTATATTTATATAATAACTTATTACTACAGTATATACTTTGTTTAAAATCTAATTATAGATTTAATCTTCAATACATAATACTGCATATAATTTATAATTCAATAAAACTAAATATGTATTTTATGTTTCTTTTTCTTTATTATACAAACTACTGTATATAAAAGTTTTTATGTCTATGAAATGTTGAATTTTATTACAATGTTTAATATTTGATGAATTTTATTAGTATAGAGTATATACTGTACATATATAGTCCCTATATATATATATTTTTTGAGGATAAAAATAGGGTACAAATAAAATTCAAAGGGCACAAACACATACACATATACACATATATCAGTTAAATTATTCAAATCAAATAAAACTACTAAAAGATATCAGTGCCATAATAGGTTAAAAAGTACTGTAGTTTATAGTTTAGAGATAAAAAACAAACAAAAAGTATACTACAAGTATATAATATACAGTAGAAAGTATTACAGTAAATAAGTGATTTACTGTATATATTTTCCAATGATTTAATATTGAAGATTTATATTTTATTTTTTATTTTTTGAAAAAATTAAGTCATATAAATCACTATTTAAATGGAGTTTAGAAATCAGTTTAAAAAAATATTGAACTATTGATAAAATATGTTGTCGAAAATACTAATAAATTATTTAAATGTTTAATTTTATTATTTTTTATTTTTATATCCCTTTTAAATTAAATTAGTGTCTAAAATGGCATTAATATTATTGTATGAGATTTACTACTGTACTCACATACTGTATACAATTATGAAAATTAATTAAAAATATATTGTACACAAGTTAAATGTATGATTTATATTTTTTAAAAAAAGAGTAAAATATAATTACTAAATATTTTTATCTTTTTAAATATTAATTACATTTAGTCTGAATAAGTGTTTTTAATATAAATTTATGATATATATTGTAATATACTTAAGCTATGGCCTATATTTATTTAGGATTATATAATGCTAGCAAAGTAAAAGTTATTATTATTATTACTGTAAATTAATTATTTCAATATTATATAATATACTATATATGGTTAGTGAATTTACATATATACTGTACAGTACTTTATAAACAATAATTTATGTCAATGAATGAATTTTGTTAATTATAATAAACTTTAGCATTAGATTTTAACATTACATTAATATTACTTAATTAGTAATATTTTTTCATAAGTTAATATAAATTTATATCATATATATATATATATAATATATTAGAGGACAACGGAGAGACAATGATAGTCCGGGATTGCGCTCTGGATAGCGGGTCGCTCACCATCGACACCGAAATTGTTAGAAGTATGTATTGATGATAACTTAGTCAAACATACCATTCCCTTACCATCACTGGGTAATCCCTTAATTAAAAAAAACTCAATCAAACAAAATGATTGTCAGGTTTACTGAATTGTGTGTGTCATCTGTCTTTACCAGTCCTCCTATTCTTAATTTTATTGACGCTGTTATTAAAAAAAAACTGAGAAAAAAGTTATTGTTGTTGTATTTGAATTGTTGAACAAATGAATTGTCTCTTAAATATATGGCAATACTGTCGGTGCCGACAATAACAACAACAACAACTACAACAACATAAAACTTTTTATATGTAGACTTAATTTTGTATGAAGTTTTTGTGTTATATTTTTAGTTAATTAAGTCAGTCATCTGTTTTTTGAAGTTTATTTTATTTATACTGTGTGTATATATACTTAGAATATAAATAACTTCATTATATTTATAAAACATAGCTATGCCTTAACTTTTGATGTCATTTTGTTTTAATTGTCTAATTATGCAATATTATATATAAATTTATATATTGCATACTATTATACTGTATATCGTATAGAATTTGATATAAAAATGATACTGTATTTGCAAACCAAGCGTAAAACAGATTGAGTTAATTAAAAATTATGAAAATTAATTAAAAATATATATTTATTTTTTGTTTTGTTTTTGTTTTCTTCTATAATTTTAATTTCTGTTTTATATTTTTCACTATTTTTATATAAAACTAGTGTCACATTGCGGTGGCTTTTTCTTTGGTGACCGTTATGTTAGAGGATGTGTTCAGGTATGTTATCTCATCAATTGATTACTTTGATTAAGTTTATAAATCAATTTAAATTAATGTATTATTTATTTATTTTTTTCCCAAAAAAACAAAATTTTTTGTAATTGCAGTCTTGTTTTGAAGACGCCTGCAATAATGTGGATCCAAATGTTGACATTTTATTCAATAATTTATCAACATTTCTAATGACAACAACAATCGGTTTAATAATGTCTATGAAAATTAACTGTTTATTTATTTGAGTGAATGATTTAGTCTAATGAAAAAATAAATAAAAATAAATAAATAGTTATAACAATTATAATGACAAATAATAATAAAACAATTTTGAAAATAAAAAAGAAATTTTTAAAAAAAAACTTCATCAGCCTTAAGGACACATTGCCTTTACTATTGCATTGACAATACTATTTGCATAGCAATCATAGAGGAAATGAATTATATGATAATAATAACAAACAAAATACAGTATATATATAATTGAATTGAAATAAATGGACGTATTTTTGAATACTTTTAATAAACTAAAAGTCAATCTCTTTTAGTCATCAAAAAAAGAAGTTTAATCTTTAATAACAAACATATATTGAATTGAATTGAAGATAACATTTATTTTATGTTGTTTTTTGAGAAAATAAAATTTAGGATTCAATCACACCATTCAATACTTTAGATTGTTTATTATGATAAATTACAACATAGGAGATTTGAATATATATTAAAAAAGTAACTAGTTTATATTTAGATAAAATAAATAACTGTTTTTTTAATTTGTATAAATTATATACAGTTCAGGGATATTTTTGTTGTAATTTAGTTTTTTAAAATTACAGTATGTTAATCAATACGTATTTGTTTATAACATGTTTTTTCAATGTATTATTTAAATGACAATTTCTAATAAATTTAAAATCAATGAATAAATACAAAAAATAATAAAATATTATTAAATGGTGAGTTTTTTATTATTTAATAAAAATTATTTATCAACTTTAATATAAACTTTTAATCAAAATGTTTGCATCAATAAAATAATAAATTTGATTTAAAAATTTGTATTAAAATTTTATTAAAACTATTATTATAGACTGTTATTATTATTTTTTTTATTTATACCTAATATTAAAACATGTTCATAATATTTATAAAAAGCACTTTAATGATTAAGTAAATTAATGAATTTTTATAGTTGGTTATTAAAAATCATTTCTATGTTTTTTTTAATATACAGTATATTTATAAATATATAATTTTTATAAGTTTATGGTACTATAAATTGTGTATGATTTATTTAGGTAAAAGTGAAGTTAAAAGTTTTTTTTGTAAAAAATAATTTATGATTTATATTATGAATTAATAATTTCAATTATTAATTTTTTGCATTATTATAGCTAAAATATAATTATTTTTTTTGTTAAGTAAAAAATAAGAAATTATATCATAAAAAAGGTTGTAAATTAATATTAAATTATACACAAGAAATTTACTATATATAGAAAAAATTAGACATCAAATAACTAATGTATTTATAGTTCATTATATTATCACATATGTATTTGTATTAATTCAGCGAAAACAGAAAATACATTACCCATGAGTTTAATAAAGATAGAGAGAGATAGAGGTATATATATATATATAGAAAAAAATACAATAAATAAATAATTCATCTCTTATTTGAACATTCAATCGATTGGGAATTGAAGTGCAATAATAATAATAATAATAAAACAAAAGATAGAAAACTTTATATATTGAATATACTGTATATATATATTGAACTATAAATATATGTGTTATTATTAATATCAATCTAATATTGTTATGCAATACTATTAATAAATACAATATAAGCCTATAGTATTGTATAAAACTGGGTAATAATCATAGAAATGTTATTATTTAAATAGATGAATTTTTTTATCTATTTAAATTTTAATTAATTGAATAAATATACGGCATATACAATGTTGTATAGTATATCAATATTATAATAAATCTAATTTATCTAATACTTTCTAAGCTTAGTTTGTATTACAATAAAATGTTTACTAAATTTATTAAATGATTATAAAGATAAAATTTTGAAAGAAAAAGTGATTTAAGTATAATAAAAGAAGTTGAGTTTTATAAATTATAATATAATACCAAAAAATCAATTGTAAAGAATATTAAATATATTGAATCAATTGATTAAACTTTAACCCAAATATATTATATTATATTACTTTGTTTCGTGATTTTTTTCAATTTCCGTACAGTAAAAATAAAAAATAAATAAAATAACTATAATAATAATATAAAAGATTTCATATACGGTACAAATAAAAAATACAAAACTAGGCAAATATTTTTATTTATTGATTGAAACAAATAAATCTTTTCAATTTGTAGGTATATATATATATATATATATATATATATGTTTATATACTTTATTATTAAAAATATATTTTCGTTTTATAAAAAATTGTTTTGAAATCATAAATAGCATTATTAATGATTATACTGTATATATATACTGTACAATACTTATTATTAATATAAAAACTAATAGAGTTATGCAATATGTTCAATAGGATTTCTAACAAAAATATTACTATTATTATATAAATAATATAAATACAGATAAACTAGAAATTGATATGTTTTTGTTTGTTTTTTCTTCAATCATTTCATATAGGGATTCATATCTATAACAAGTTTAGATAGTATTTAATTATTAGACAATTTTTTCCCCATTGATATACAATATTATAGACAATATAGTATTTTGGATGAAAATAATTGTTTCCAAGAAGTTAACTAATAATATAAAATAATTGTCAATATCTTTATTGTTAAATATCTTATTTCTAACAAACTGTTCAAACATCAGATTTTATATAATATATATATATATAATATATACTGTATATATATATATGAAAACAACTTGTAATTGAATTTATTTTTACTACATTATTAGATTGTACAGTAGTTTCAGTTTTTTTCAGTTTAATAGACTACGGGAACAATTGAACAGCAAATCTGTCTGAAAATGATATCAACATTTATTTGGGTTTTTGTTGTTATTGTTGACAATTGTGTAGATGAGTGGATGGAGATAATGAAATGCGGAGACAAATGGCAACAATATATATATATATGGAGAGACTAAGTATCACTTATCTGTTCATTAAGAAAGAGAGAAAGAAAGAGAGAGTACAGTTGTGGTAAAGATAAAAGACATACATTTATGGTATGTTATAGTATATTACTTGTCATCATTGAATCATTGATAATATATTAATATATGACCAGCATATTAAAAACAAGATCCCGTTCCAGTTTTAATGTATTTTCTAATTAGATAATAAAAACAATAAAAAACAATTGTTTCTCAATTGCCCCCACCCCAGCCTATCCACACACAACATTTAAAAAATATTATTTGATTAAATTATTAATGCATTTTTTCAAAAATAAAAAATTAATTAAATTATATTTAGACTATTAATCAGTGACTATTAATTTATTCAGTGATAAAATTCATAACCTTTCTAATAATGATTGTTGTTTTGTGTGCCAATTTGTTTTTATTTTTGGTATATAATTTGCAACTCATAAAAAATTTCGGGTTTTTTTTCATTTATTTTTTCTCTAGTTTCTCAGTGAATACACGTTTAATATTCATATATATATATGAAAAACATATGCAAACAATCAGAAGACATGATCCATCATCACCTTAAACCTCAAGACAATACTCTTGAGTTTGTTTGATGATTCAAAATGTTTGCATAAAAAGTTATATATGTTTTTTTTATATCTACAGTATATATATATATATATATATATAATAAAAATGTTTTATTTTTTAATTAAGTGATATACTGTATTATGTATTATATTTTTTATGTTTCAGTATAATCTGTATGTAAAGTAGTTTACAGCATAGATATTATATTTTGGATTAAAGTTTATTTTTAATGAAATTTTTTTTATTAATAATAAATTTTTTACTATTTTTTTATCAAAGTTTTAAACATTATTTTTCATAATTTATTTTTGTATATTATAATAAAATACTAAATAGTGTTATTATTTAAAATGTCTACCATTAAATATTCTAGTTTTAAATTACCAAAATTTATAATTTAAATTTATAAAGTTTTTACTATAATTATAATAGTCATTAAACAAAAATTATATCTATTGATATTTAACTTTTTAAAATCATTATTCAAGTTTTACATATTAATAATATTTAAATGTATTATATTTAAAGTCATAAAAATGTCATTACAGTTAGTGTAATACAATATATGTAAAAATATGTTTTAAAGATATGTATTAAATAAATATTTATATATTATTTATTACTCTATAATTAGGCTAATTAGACTAACATTTTTTTAATTATGCTAGATAAATCATAATTATTCTTTAATTAGATATAATTTTTATTGATATATAAATTAAATAAATTAGAAAAATATTTTATAATAATTTATAATACTATAATAAAATAATATATTATAGAATTTTATGCTAAATTATGATAAATAACTTTTTGATTATAAACAACAAATGTAAAAAATATTGTTAATACTGTTAGAACTGATTATATTAATCTTATATTGATATAAATGTACTGTACTTATCAAATTAAACAACAAAATGAATAATACAAAAAATATTAATTTATTACTAATAAATAGTATAACATTTTTTTTTGAATAACATAAAACATTTTTTAATATTCAAAAAATACATATATATAATTATTAAATTTTTAAAAAAATAAATTATATTAAATAAAATATTATGTAAGTAGCTTATATGCGTGCTATACGTGCTATAATATGTGTATACGTGCGTAAATTTACATATAAGTACTGTACACTACTATTATAACGTAAATTAATGGCAATATTTTACTGTCTTACAGTATTTTCTAAAAAAATAATAATAATTAAATTTTAATATAAAATTTATGCAAATTAAATTTCAAGAAAATTTTTGTGTGTGTTTTTGTTAAAATGTCTAAATTTACTTGTATTAGTAATTTAATTACTCGACAAAAAATTTCTATTGTAAATACAAAAACATAATTTACTGTAGAATTTCTATACTTAAGAATATAATTTTTTATCAGTAAAATCATTATTCAAATTTTATTCATTGAAAAATTACTTTTTAAAAAAAAAGAGTATATTTAAAGTCATAAAAATGTCATTAAAATCAATTTTGCAGCATTAAATATGCTTGTTTAACAATATACTATATATAATTTATACTAAACTATAGTATAGTTACTATACTGTATAATGTAACAGTATTTATTATAATCAGCATAATTATAATATAATTATAATGTATTGTCCAATATTATTATAACTATAGATTATTATAAAATACTTTTTTGACTCATTTTTCATAATGTATGTTAATACTATACTTATCACATAAAATAATAAATATGATACTGTATTATTAATAAAAAAATTGCCAATTTAACAATAATTTTGATACTTATTATTATTTATTAACAGTAATACTCGTAAATTTAAATATATTTTTTCATATGAAACGGTTAATATAGAAATATATATAGTAATATACCGGTATATGTAATATAGACTATTTGTAGTATTATAGATAAAATATAACGTATTATCGATTCAAGTATAATATGATTGAAATCAATATTTATAAATATATATATATATTTCTATTTTAAATATAAGAAAACTATTATTTTATAAAAAAAATAAATAAATAAAAATATTTATAACTGAAATTCTTTCAAAATAAATGATATTTTCAAAGAATATTTGATAAAATATTGAGTTAGATATTGAAAAACATAGTATTGTGATATATTTACAGTAGTTTTTTACTATAAAAACAATTATATATATTAAATTTATAAGAAAACAAATATTTATTCTGAATTTATTGTCAATATTATATAATTGTATAATTAAAGCAATCCTACATTAATGCTATAGTGTAAAACTAATTATTTAGTTAAACTGTATATTTAAGATAAATACCTATTAATACATTATAAGCTATATTGAAAATCTTTGGGGTTAAAACTCCACCCTTTAATTGACAGTAATATTGAATTTTGGATCAAATAAACACTTAAAAGACTTGAGGACTACATTAAGTACATGAAAGACTTTCGATGATTTAAAGAGCTATGGTTTGAATTTTTTTTAAATGCAAAATGTTTTTAAGGAATTTTCTAAATACTTGAATTTAAATATAACTTATAAGATAAACAATGATTTTTAATATAAATTATTCATAAACCCTTCAATATATTTTGAAAATCATTAAATATTATATATGTATGTATGTGTATAATATTAAATAAACATAATTATAATATGAATTATTTAACTAGTCTTATACTGTATTTACAGTATATATCTATATATGTTTATAAATATACTATATTATTATAATATTATAGTAATCAATATAATTCAATGATTTTTCGCTGTCTGAGCACATAATTAATAGCAAACAAAAAGTTGATTACAAACGTATGTCATCTCAAACTAAAGTGTCATTAATGGACAGTAGTATTTCGACACAAAACACGAATGTCTTAATATTACTTATAATAATAATAGTTATCTAATAACACTTATGAATATGAATCTCTCGCTCTCTCTCTCTCTCTCTCTCTCTCTCTCACATATTTTCATCCCATGATTGCCTAAAAAAGTAGACAAAAAAAACTGTTACTAAATATAACAGTTAACTAAGCTATAAGATTGTGACACTAGTCTTGTATTGTCTACTAATGACTTCCAGTTTGATGTGACATACGTTTTAGTATTATTAAACGTTTGATATTATTTAATGTATATTTATAAATAAAACTAATTCAGTTGAGTAGTATTGTGTATTGTATTAATTTAATTTAATAAATGTATTATTGTTTTCATTATACAAAATATTATAGTTTGTCAAATTAGATAGATCAGATAATATACATAATACAGTATTTGTGTTAATTAAAAATATACCGGTAATTTTATTAACATTTTTAAACTAAAACAAGTTGATATATAAAAATGATAAAGTAATTAAATAATAAATTGTTTTGAAAAATTATATTTTAATATATTTATACAGAGAGAAAAAATCAAAATTTTATATTACTATAGAATTATTAATAAATATTATATTTTTATATTTAATTTTAATAAAATTCCTAAACTATAAAAAGCATTTTTTTAGTGAAAATTTATAGGAAATTTACTCCTTTTTTTCTTGTTATTCAACGCTATTTAAAAGAGTGTCATTCAAGTGAATATGATTTGATGGTATGATTCGTGTCGACAATATATTCTTTGCCTAAGGCTTAAGGATTTTTGATATTAGTTTTCGTACAAAAAAAATATATTTTTTGAATTATAACTCACAAATCCTTTAGGCGTTGTTTACCAAATACATCACACAATCACACATCCAATACATACATACAGTATATTAACAGTAATTCCTATGAGAAATCAATTTGTTGTGTAATAATTAGTATTTATTTTTATAAATTTGTATTTTTTCTTAAACAAATAGTATACAAAAACACATTGTATGACAATTTTTTTTGTCAACAAATTAAAACTATTATTTTATAATATAATAGATAGGAAAATAAAAATACTAAATATTTGCACTAAAGAATTGATTATAAAAATTAAATAAACAATAAATTTGAGTTAAATAATTGGTTACTGTATTAACAGATATTATATATATATATATTGTATGATTAAAATCAATAGTTTATTATTATTAATGATATAAAACAAATAACATTAATATAGCATATTATTACACATCAAAAATAAATTGATTATATAAAATGTAACAATTAATTAATTGTTTAAATATAGATATTTGAGTCAAAGTGTTGGTTATTAAGATAATGGACACAATCGACGATAGCTTTGGGTATAAATGTCTTGTTGTTGTCCAACAGTTTTGATGGTAACTGTGGAAGAATCAGTGCAGTACACGGAATGCCATAAACAATACAGTACTCGAAGACAGAGCTCTCCACGAGATTGTCCAACATTTTTGGCGCCAAAAGTGGTCGTCGGCTAATATCAGATGGCATTATCTTTAGATTGCTCTCATCGGTAGTCAAGTAACCGATGTAGTCGTCTGAATCTTCTTCACGGGACAAATCTTTACTAACAATACACACCAAAGGCTGTGATCGACATCTACTGATCACTTGTCTCAGCAATGATGATACTGTCTTCACCAGCAAATGATTCTTGAGGTTTGTGTGATTTGTCAACAGTTGGACCCAAATAGACGTCTGGCCGGTGCTGTAAATGTTGGCCACTTTGTCAGCGATTCCGTCGACAACAATGTGACCGATTTGTGTCAAATCTTTAGCTGCAGACGATTTATGATCTTTGGCTAAACAGACGTAAACCACATCCAATTGATCGTTGAGTTTATCATCAATTTTGACCACAACTGTAACATCGGTCGTCTTTTTCTGCGATTCACCGTTTGTTTCATCGCCGGCCGCATCGTCGTCGGTGTCCTCATCGGACCAATAGATGGCCCGCGAGTCCAGTTCGTTGACTTCGCCGAAAAAAGCGTTGCCAGACATTGTGTCAGCTCTTGTGATGTCTTGGATGTGTTGACTTCAAGATATCAAATAATATTTGATTTAATTAATTGTTTGTTTGTGTCATTCAATTGACAAAAATAGTTATAAAACAAAATACACACAAAAAAAGTGTTCAATCATTGAAAACATTGAAACATTGTATATAAAAGTTGATTATATAGGGAACCAATAGATGGCATTAAATGTCAAAATGTTTTAACCCTTTATTATACAACTGTACTGTAAATGTAATGAATTTTTTTTATAAAATAATTATTATTAAATTAATTAAATTTTTATTTAACAATTTTCTTATTTGATTTTTATAATAAAATAAAATAATTTTCAATATATATATATATATTTTTAAGTTTCATTTACTATAAATTTATTTTCAATACAATTTATGTAAATTATGTAAAAAATGTGTATAATTTGTATATTATTTGTTAACATAATCTCATAGTACACGGAAATTTACTGTACATGTCTATAAAAAATAGTAACTTAAATAAAGTTAGATATTATTAAAATTTATTGTTATTTTATAAATTTTTTATAAATTTATTTAATAAAATATTGTGTAATACTGTTTATAGTGTATAATGGATTTATTAAATTTAAATAAATTTAAATAACATATATAGTTAAATTTCTCAAATTAAAATCAATTTATTTATATTATATAATTAAGCAGTTTAAATTATTCACTATTAAAATTTAATTTAAATAAAAAATCAATTTGTAGAAACTTAATAAAAAAAATCCTGCAATTATTTTGAATGTTTTTTAAAAAAATGTTTTTTTTATAAATGTTAATATTTTTAACTAATTAAAAATGATGAATATTTGCAAAAATAACATAAATAATTTTTTTTGGATTCTAATGTAATATTTATTGAAAAAAATACAATTGAAATAATTTATTAATAAATATCTTTTATACTGTATGTTATCAATGTTGAACTTAGGATTGATTTATAATATGAATAATAATAATAATAATGAGATAAAAATTGAAATATCACTTATTTTAATGGGTAATGCAAATAATTTATTGCCAATAAATCTGATAAATATATGAAATAATTGAAAATATTCACATTAAATCTTTATTTTATAATTTACACAATACTTTATTTATAGTATATAATAATGTATTCATTATTGAAAGTGAAACAATTTTTTTGTGAATGATTTATCGGAAACCATTTAAAAATCTACTTTAAAGTCAAACATTTCCAAACAAAAATCCTAGATTACTATTTAAATTTTATTTGCATAGTATTGATAAATATTACAAACAATTATTATTTTCTATGATTCATACCTTAATATTACATAATTTCTAAGAAACTATGATAATACAGTTTGTCAATGTTATCTCAGTTAACATAATTGATTAAACAATTTATTAATAGTTTATATATTTTATATCTACTGCTAAATTTTTTATACAGTATCTTATTATAGAATTTTTATTGAAAAAAATAATAAATAAAATATAGTATTATATAACATATATATATTATTAGTATATATATATATTTTTTAAAATTATTATTTAAAATTTTATTCAATTATGTCGAGTAAGTAGTGTTGTTATATTTTGCAAATAATATTATATTATAAAAACATCTAATAAGCATTATTCAAAATTTTTATCATATTTATCAAAATTATTATCACAGTTATTAAAAATAGCACATCATTGTAACCAAAAATTTTAATAAGATTTTTTTAGATTAATTATAATTTGTATATATTTTAATATTTTTTTTTAATAAACTAGTGTTTTAATAATTATAATTTTTTGAAAATTTCTATATATATAATTTATTTTAGAAATTCCATCTAGAAAAATTGATAAAAAAATCGATGACATAAAAAACAATTCTAACAACACTACTCCGGGTAAGTCATAATTTATTTATTAAATTAACTGTTAGTTAATAAAATAAATTCGCGCAGGGTTAATTTATTTTTTTTAAATCAACAAATGTGACAAATAATTGTTTAAAAATTTTGTTAAAATGTTAAACATATATATACACAGACATAATGAATTCAGATTCTAATAATATTATTGAGAATTTTTGTTAAAAAGATAAAATATGTGTCAAATGAAATATAAATTATTGCATTTTATATAACCAAAAAAAAAATAATAATGTAATATCTTATGAATAGCAAAAAAAAAGTGTTATATATATACTGTATATATTATAATTAATAAATATATTATTAAGAAAATGAAATAATATTGGAATTTAATTTGTAAATATTGATACAAGTGTTTATAATTGAAGTTTTAAAAAATAATATTTACTACAGTAATAGTATTATTATTTACTGGTATTTAAAATATTATTTTAAACTTATTTAAAACATTAGCTTTTTTTAAAAAAAATAATAATGTTATATGATATACGACTTATACCATACATACACAATGTAGCCATTAATTAACACAAATTCTGTGCATTCATGCGATAGCAACTCATTTTGGCTGTTAATATAAAATGTATTTATAAGTTATATATATATAATGTGATTATAAATTTTATAAAACATTTAACACTTTCTTTGATTTACTGGTATTTCAAACTATAGCAATTAAATACATGTAATGAAAAAAAATTCATGAATCAGTAATAATAGTAAGCAAATATAGGTTTGTTTTTTATTTTTTATTATAAGACAAAAGAAATATATAGTTAGCATTATTTTGAAGCCAATAATAGACAAAACGATATATACTTATAAAAAAATTAATTTAATTAAATCAAAAACTAATGTATTATTATTTGACTGTCTTTAAGAAATTTAAATATTTTTGGCATTTTTTTAGAATAAAAAATTTTAATTTTATCATAATAAATGTTATTTTTTTGTTGAATAGTTTTTTTTGTGCATAAATGCTGGAAAAACAAATGGGTTAAATTATAATATGATATATATTTAGTAGAAATAACAATTAAAAGAAAACAGTGAATAAAAATAAGAAAATAAAATTTGATAAAATAAATTCTCTATCTCTCACAAATTTTTTTTTATCACAACTGTTAGCTAATGTTTGCTATAATCTATTATATGCTCTGTTTTATAATGGGAGGCGAAAAAATGGGTTAAAAATAAACACATTTTTGTTTCAAAAAGCCATTGTATCTTATGTGAGATATACTCTTATAAGATTCAAACTCTCTCTCTCTCTCTCTCTCTCTCTCTCTCTCTCAATCACTTTCATCTCTATCTTACAGAAACTTTTTTAAACATTGGAGACTAAGGTGTGCACACATCTGAATGGTGTGAATTCACAAAATACATTAAATTTGGCTTAAATTCAAGGAAAGGGAACAAATAATTTTGAGAGACACTACACTACATCAAACTATAACTAACTATCTCTTTAAAACTAAACTCTATAAATAAACTGGTTATACACGCATAGAAAAAATTGTCTCTTAAGCGACTGTTAGTTTTGAAAGTATAAGTAATTTTTTTGATTTAATGAATTCAAACAAAGTTTTGCAATGAGTTTAACATTTTACTAAAACATTTATTTGTCTGCTGGAAAAATTTGTTAGCAATCGGTTTGTAGACAAATACAACAATTTTTTTATACTAAAAACTTTTTATACAACAAATCTCTCCGATGTTTTCTACGGAACAATCAGTCACTTATAGTCCAATAAATCAAATGTTTTACTCAAATCCAGTGATTTATCCAACAAATGATGTAAGTTATCGATCGATCAATAGATTTGTTTTGAATAAATTATTTTTCTATCAATTTTTCAAACATTTTTTTTTAATTTAGAAAAATAAGTTTATTTAGATTTTTTTAGGAAATAAATTTTAGAATATATATATGTTATATTAATATTCAACTATTTTTTTTTCTCTCTCTCTCTCTCTCTCACTCTTTCTTAGAGCTATCAATCATATCAATCAGTAATAGATAATCTTTGCAATTCATTTAGCTGTTTATCTACGACAGCTAATTATGTAAATAATAATAATAATATCAATAATAATGATAACATTAATAATAATAATAATAACATAAATACTCATAAAACAACTCATCCGCAAATATGTTTACCTCAATATCTATCCCATGTCTACCAAATGGGTTTCACTGATAGTAACCACTTATCAAATGACAAAATAGCGACAACTTTTACATTGAATACTAATAATACAAGTGCTCAGCCAAAGGAAGGTATGTTTGTTTAGGTTATAGACTTGTTATGTACTGTATGTGTAAAAAATATATTATTATTTTTTTGACAAAATATTTGTTGCACACATAGACATCAATGTCTATTATCTTTAATTTTATAATCTTTTTGTTATTTATTTTATACTGTATCTTATTTTTAGTACATTTTATTGTCTTATATTTACACATATCATTATCATTGACCTTTCAATACCTACCTTTCCTGGAACTGCCTGTCATTGACCACATCCAGTGGCTCCTCAATGACCGGTCAGTATCCTGGTAAGGGATTATCTACTATACAAACCAACCAATACCTGTATCTCCCGCCATACATACCTCTCTATATAAACCCTATCCACTGTACATACACTCCAGTGTTTCACTGCCTCTCAGTCAGTGCTTCTCATACTCCCTTACTGTGCACATCGCTGCCAGTCATTACTGCTACTAATACCTGAGCCAAGCCTCAGCACCTATACCTGTCTCACACATACACTCCACGTGTCCTCTTAAATACTTACCATTTGTATCACCATTTGATCCATTGTTTTACAATAAACTTGTTATTTGTTATCAATCGTGTCTTCATATCATTCATACATATCAGTGATCGATCTGACCATTCAGTCCACTGATATCTACAGACATACCGTTCGCTGGCCAACCACTCACTGTAGGAGAAGACATCGGAGATTAGGATCACTCCTAAGCCTAGCCTTTGGACCACAACTGCAGATCGGATCTCATATCACCTGTTGGTCTCACAACGACTTACTGGTGATCTTATAGTGGATATCTGTCTCATACCGACACATATCTACTAGTGTTTGGTATTGATTAGACGGAAGTACAGGTCTCATACCGACCCACGCTAAGTACGACCGGTCTATTTGGACATCAATTGTCTAAATAGACATTCCTCTGGAACTAAATAATACCACACCACAACAAATTGGCGCAGTCGGCACCGATCAACAATAGATCCCTATCTACGCGTATTGATGTCCACTCCTATTATCTCTGGCTTAACAAGACACGGGACATCATATCTACTTCAAGACAACATATCTGACGAGACAACCACTGAGTCCGAAGAAATGTCTCAATGCGGAGACAACACAAACAATGCTGACCTGACCGGTCCAACCGCTCTCAGCACTTCCAATGGCACAACAGCTCCGCAACTCATTACTGTAAAGATACCGAAGTATAATGGCTCTAAAGACACACCACTCCGTATAGAAGCATTCCTCCAGATCTTCGAGCGTGTATTCACTCATCTATCCGACGACAACAAACTTATTAAAATCGTTGAATTCCTCGAAGGAGACGTCGCCAACTACTATGGATCAGATATACTCACCAATCTATCCATCACTTGGACCGAAGTCAAGGACCTCTTGACCGGTCGATACACCCATTCAGATATACCTCCAGAAGTAGCCGCAACTCGACGACGTCAACAAAGAACTGAAACCATCCGCACCTACTTCGATGGCAAAATGGAAATCCTCCGCCGCCTAACCAACTATACGGACAGCCAACGCGCTAACCTACTTACAGAAGGCCTACTTCCCGAATACCGTGAATACTTCTATGGCCGCCGCTTCCAGACTCCGAGCTTATGGCTCGAGATGGCTCAAGATATTGAAGCCGACAAACAACGACATAACAGACAGCACCGGCCGCAAGGATCGTCTCACTACACATCCGACAACAGAGGCGACCGGTCCAACAAAAAGCATAGCAAACCAAATCAGGACAACAACAACCGCTCAGACAAACGTCCGCCATATTCATGTCGTATATGCCGCGACAAAGGACTTACTTCATGGCATTATCACAAAGACTGTCCACACAAATCATCCGACTCTTCATATGACAGACAGCCCAACAATGACAACAACGGTCACACCTCCGAAGTGACCGGTCCTACAAACCATTTCATCCGTCCGCAAGCAATGGCTACTCATGTCGTAGCGCAAGACATGATACTGATTCCTGGGCGCATCGGACGCTTCGAATTATCCGCTCTCGCAGATCCCGGTTCCACCGTCGACTTGATGCCACTACATGTAGCAGAGCACCTCCGTCTCCGCATCGACACACGCAAGTCGATGACCATCTCATTGGCCCGTGGATCTGTCCACACTTTAGGTGAGGTTACCTTTACGCTCACCATGAATAGGATGCCGCGCACCGTAACAGCACAAGTACTGCCTGGCTTTCAGTACACTCTACTCCTATCCCTCCGCTCTCTTGGACTCTACGACATCCTTATCGACACCAAAAATACTAAAGCAATATTCAGATCATCACAACCGCTGACCGGTCAGCAATGCCAAGCCATTAGCAGTCGCCTACCTATTCATCCAAACCGGCGACCGGTCAGCCCATTGAATCAAAATAATCAACAGTCCACCATTTCTACTACTTCGCCCCGCATAGGATTGGCCGCCAATCAGCCAACACGACACCGTCAGTATCGTCAGTCACATCAACAGGCGCCACAAGCCAGCCGAGTTATTGAGACGCCCAGTGCTCTCACACAGGTAAGCGTGAGTACTACCGCTGTACCGGTAACTTTGGTAAACTCTAAAGCCGATACAAATGCCGCTTGTCGTATGACTACCGCCGACCAATTCCTATGTGAACCTCCAGCCATCCAAACATCTCAACCATCAGACTCTGGACCGATCCCTACTCCTCCAGCTGTCACCCGTCTAAAGCCTTCTTCAACTTTCAAAGAGATGTTCGATAATATCCGCAAATCCAGACCTACCACACGACAACCTACCGTCAACTCTACTCCGGACAACCACTCCAACCGTACCTACAAACAGATGTTCAACAAACAGCCGCCTAATTCAATACCGGACCGATCGACGCAATCATCGCACCGTCGAACCCGATCTCCTGGTCCGCGTCGGACATCTGTGGCCACATCTATCCTCCGCGACCAGTCTTAAAGCGCCGGGGAATGTTGCACACATAGACATCAATGTCTATTATCTTTAATTTTATAATCTTTTTGTTATTTATTTTATACTGTATCTTATTTTTAGTACATTTTATTGTCTTATATTTACACATATCATTATCATTGACCTTTCAATACCTACCTTTCCTGGAACTGCCTGTCATTGACCACATCCAGTGGCTCCTCAATGACCGGTCAGTATCCTGGTAAGGGATTATCTACTATACAAACCAACCAATACCTGTATCTCCCGCCATACATACCTCTCTATATAAACCCTATCCACTGTACATACACTCCAGTGTTTCACTGCCTCTCAGTCAGTGCTTCTCATACTCCCTTACTGTGCACATCGCTGCCAGTCATTACTGCTACTAATACCTGAGCCAAGCCTCAGCACCTATACCTGTCTCACACATACACTCCACGTGTCCTCTTAAATACTTACCATTTGTATCACCATTTGATCCATTGTTTTACAATAAACTTGTTATTTGTTATCAATCGTGTCTTCATATCATTCATACATATCAGTGATCGATCTGACCATTCAGTCCACTGATATCTACAGACATACCGTTCGCTGGCCAACCACTCACTGTAGGAGAAGACATCGGAGATTAGGATCACTCCTAAGCCTAGCCTTTGGACCACAACTGCAGATCGGATCTCATATCACCTGTTGGTCTCACAACGACTTACTGGTGATCTTATAGTGGATATCTGTCTCATACCGACACATATCTACTAGTGTTTGGTATTGATTAGACGGAAGTACAGGTCTCATACCGACCCACGCTAAGTACGACCGGTCTATTTGGACATCAATTGTCTAAATAGACATTCCTCTGGAACTAAATAATACCACACCACAACAAATTAATAAACAATTATTAGTGCTCATTAAAGTTGTAATGTTTATAATACAGTGTATATATTTTTTTATTGTATCAATATGTTTAGAAAAAAAACTAATAATAATAAAATAAATTAAAAATTTAACCCATATATCTTAATTGATGGCAGACATACAAACATAAAATAAGTAAACATAAAATTAAAATAAGTACAAAAACTTTAAGGGGTTTATGATATTTGTATATTTGTCAAGTAATCATAAACAAAAAAATGTTTGTATCACTAATAATTGGGCGTTAAATTGTGTCCTAAATTTTGTAAATTTATTTTTATATGCAATATTTTTAAAGTTTTTATTTTTGTTGTTGATTAGTAATTCAATTTTATTTATTTTTAAAAAATCAACATTGTTATTTATTGATTAATTTAGAATTGATTTTATTTTAATTTAAATTTACAATACAAATTTATATTAAAATTTATGCTACTATTTGCAAATAAAAATAGATTTAATAATATATAAGTATATATTTAAATAGAAAATAATTATTCATTATATTTTCATTAATCATATGATGTCGACATAAATAATTATAGATTTTTAAATAACATTTTAAAAAATCATTTAATTGATGGTGAAAAGGGTTAACACACAATATATATATATATAAGTAATAAAATATATTATTTATATATTGAATTTTAATTCTGTGTTAAATCAGGTCTAACACCATATCAGGGAAGAAAACGGTGTTTCGGTGAATATAAGTGCTCTAAATGTAAGAGAAAGTGGATGTCTGGCAATAGTTGGGCCAATTCGGGACAGCAATGCATCAAATGTCATGTTATGGTTTATCCACACAAACAAGTACTGTATTATTCATTTTTTAATAATTAAATTGAATTAATTTTTTTAAAATAAAATCAGTATATTATAGCATTTTACAAACTTAATCAGCAAATATTTAACAAATATCTAATTATGGCAACAAATTTATTTTAATATATGTTTTTTAATTAATCAATAAAATAAAATAAATAGCGACCACTGGACAAACCCGACGGTCTGGACGTCAGTGACCAAAGCAAAGAACATCCGCAACACTTATGCGAGAAGTGTACTTCATTGGGATATTATTGTCGTCAAGTTCACTGAATCAATCAACCTTGATCAATTAATTTAATCAATTATAATTATTATTATGATTATTAATACATGTTTTATTGTTATCTTTAATTTTATTTTTTAAAATTTTAATTACGATATATATATATATATAAATTTATAAATTATTATTAGATAAAGTTGTGTTTGTTTTAAATCTTTGCAACTAATCAATCAATTATTTATATAATCAAAATGTAATATATGTTATAATAATTTGTATTATTTTAAGCAAGTAACAGTTTATATATATAACTACTAAATTATTAAAATTTTTAACATAATATAATATAATATATATATATATATATTCAATAGACTAGTTTGTTTTGTTATTTTATAAATGTGTAAATTTAATAAATAAAAAACAATAAAAATGTAAGAATTATATAATTATTGAAAAAACAACATAATCTTCAATATTAAAAAGCATAGTTTGTATTGTATTATAAAATACAAATAATTGCAAAATATTAATTTTCAAATATTAGCAAGTGTTAAGTTAAAGCTCATTTGATAACAACATTACAATAATTGTTTAAATAATAGATTTGATCAATTTTTTATATATAAATTATTTCATGTAATATAATAATTATATTTATCAATTAATATATTTAAAGCAATAATATATGAATTTGTCACATATATATCTTTAATTGTATTAGTATTAATAAAATTATTATTTGTAATTTAAAAAATACTTGACTTATTGATACATATAAATAAAATGTATGTAAAGTACAGTAAATTATTTATATCCATTTAAAGTAGAAAAACATAACTTTTAAAATTTCTTATTCAAATTATATATTCAAATAAATATTAAACTTAGAAATTATACGATAATTCTAAAAACAATTAAATATAATTATATTTAACTTAACAAACAATAATAATTAAAAGCTCAGTAATAAGGAAAGTATTATAATATATTATTAACTGTTTTGGGGATTAACTGTTAAAATATACCTTTAACTAATAATTCGGTTAATATTTGTTAATACATACAGTGATACTTAAAATTATATATAAAAAAATATAACTTAAAATATATATCCAATTAAGAAGCTCTCAATAATACTCAACAAAGAATTCAAATAAATTAATAACATTTAAATAATACATTAAGTAATGAAAATAAATAAATAAAAACATATATATATTATATCAAATATCAATCAATAAGTCAGCAGTGGATCAATTGATTTGACCATCAATTTTAGCCCAAAGACTTGAGTCTAAGAATTTTTTCATCCAATTGTTTGATTTGTTCCCTTAATTTCCTAAACTTGTTTACATCGAAATTCTGTTTTTGCGCTAATTTCCAGAATTTGCTTATCGTTAGCCTTCGTTCAACTGATGGCACCAAATATTCTTGAGATGTAACGATATAATAGGCAAATGTACTGTAAATCAGGATATAAAACAAATATAATAATACAGTATTGCAATTGATTAGTCGTTTTTTGATTATTATTAAATCAATAATAATAATAATATTAATAAATTAAACATTTTAGATAATTTTATAAATGATAAATTTATGTAAATAATTTATGCGTTTAGTTTAAAAAACAATAACATAAATTTTCATTTAATATAACTAAACTAATTAAAATATATAATAAATATATTATTTAACTAATAAATATTCAAAATATTATATTATGTAAACTAACAAAATCTACAGTTTATGTCTAGGATATAATTTTTAAAAATTATATGATATATAATATATATTATATATATGTTAAGTTCAATTTCATGCTAAATTAATTTCATTATAAATTGGGAGCTTTGATAATAATAATAATAATCTGCATCTGAAAATTATTTAGTAAATTCACATAATATATAAAAATAACATCAAAATATACTGTACTATTACTCTCTATAGATTTAGATCAAATTTATATTTACAAAATACAAACAAAATACAAACAAAACATAAATAATATTATGAATAAATTAAAAATGTTTTATAGCTAATAATACTAATAATGAGAAGCTTTATTGGATTTACACATTTATTGCCCTATCATTTCAAAATATACTCTGATGTCAAACATATAAACAATTTTTATGTGTGTTTGTGTGTGTGGGCTGTCGTCAGATAACATAAACCTACAAATTCTTTACTATAATTATTATTGTATAGCATTTCCTTATCGTTAAAATCTAAACAAAATCATTAATATTTAATAATGGCATCAAAAATAGATAAGATTTATATAAATATCTAAAATTCTGTGTAACAAAAATAATAATAATTCTCAATAAAAATAAAATAAATAATTACTTAAAAAACAAAACAATATGCTTGAAACGTTATAACTAGAAAAAACTGTTATCTAATATCAGAAATTAAATTATGATATAACGTGGGAGTAATTATGATAATAACTCAATAATAATTATTTAATATGGCAAAAAATTATGTAAATAAAGTAATTAAATTATTATTTTGAAATAAGATAAAAATTACCATACAATTATAATCAATTGATACCAATCAAAGTTAATTATATAAAAGAGTTAATTTAAAAAAATAAAATTGATATTTATATTATAATATACAATAACAATTATATTGTGTAGACCTACCCAACCATCATAGCGTAGGTGAGCATCCAAGTGATCGGTTCCATGATATCCCACGAATACTCAAACCATGTAAGTCGGGCCACAAAACCGAGTTGAGCCGATAGCAGGAACAGTCCGCCCCATTTGAACTTACGGTGGGCGTCGGTTCGGGCCAATGACACCATCTTTTGGTACTCGTTTAGCAATGGATTGAACACCACTTTCATACTTCTTTTCTGGTGCTCTAAAAACTGATGATTAAATTGACATTAAAACAAAACAAAAATTAGTATAATATAATCAAAAATAAAAACAAATTTAAAAGAAAAATTTACTGAAAGTTCGTGAGCTTCGGGTGAACTTAGCTTCGGATGTATAATATCTGTGCCGTACTGTAGTTCCGATTCGAACTTGTCTTTCCATTTGATCAGATCTTCGTGATTGCCATCGTATTCAATGTGACACAAACCAAGTGTCGGATGTTTGAACACCAGATTCGGCAAATTGGAGAATACAAAGCCGACGGGCGTATTGCCCGAATAGGCCACTCGTTGACTTTCGTCCACCACTTTATGCATATCTTCATGTGGTACTTGACCGGAGTTGTCCATGGCTTGGATTAGCGATCGCATTGGTGTCCAATAAGAGATGATATAATTATTGTCACTAATTTGAAATTTGAAGAAACCATTTGTAAATTGAAAATAAATCTTCTGATTGTCGGCCAAATCACCGCTTGATGTTTGTTCACTATATTTACGGATCTATTGTTAATTGAAAATCAAAAGTTTTTAATAACAAATACATCATTAAATATACTTTTTATTTACAATTAATTTATCTAGCTAATTTTTTCAACTAAAATATAATAATAATTATGCATAAAAATTTTTATTTTTCAATTAAGTTAGTTTAATTAAACTAAATTATATATATTAAAAAATTTGTAAAATACAATAATTAATTTTTTATTTCTCAAACAACTAATTATAATAATATACAATAAATTGCAATTTTATTCATTGATATTACTACTAGCGCTTAAAATCTCATATTATTATACAGTAATATAATCATAAATAATTACAAATATAGTCAATGAAAAAAAACATTAGAAAAAAATAATAATTGCATACAAAAAAAATAGTAATATTCCTAATAATAATTATCATAATAATCAATGTATTGTAAATTGTTTTAACTTTTTTCTTAATTCATATATTATTTATCCTATTTTTTGTTTGTTTTAATGAATACCTGATTAATAATATTAAATTTATTGTCAGTACGTGACGTTTGATGGACAGTCGTTATTGTACTGAGTGGTCGATAATAATAATTATAATTATAATAATGTCTAACAAAACGTGTAAATATAAATTTAGACATTTGTTTGTCAATTATTGTTAACAACAAACCAAAATCAAATAATAAACACTACTATATATTATATATGTATATATAGTACTAGAGTATAGATATATAATTTATTTATCGCTAAATTTGTTCAAACATTTATTAATAATAAACAAACAAACAAAACATGTGTCCAAACACTACAACAAACAACACCTGACTATAATATAATAAATATTTTGTTGTTATATATCACTGATTGACAAAAAAAAATAAATAATAAAAATATAGTGACAGTTGTCTGTCGTCTAACATAAAAACAAAATCAAATGTCAAAACATTATTATTAACACAAAACACAACAACAATATTACAGTTAATATATTATAGTAAATGTTTTGATTATATGAAATACTTTCTCACATATACTCTCTCTCTCTCTCTCTCTCTCTCTCTCTCTCTCTCTCTCTCTMTAAACACACATAACTGTACCGATAGTTGGCTTCGCTGTATAGTATTAGTAATAGTGTTATTATTGTACATCAATTATGTCCACACAAAACCCAAAAAAAAAACATTTGCATCCAATTATGTATTGTATGTATATTTTTGCTGACAATTCGTTTGCCTTTTTTTAAACAAAGGGATCGATAATATTGTGGACATTATTGATGAACGACAAGACTTTGAATATTTGCCGCACACTCTCTGTTGACTAAATGGAAAGTGAGAGTCAATTATAATGACTAGAGATTAGTATTTATAGTATTTGTTTGAATTGTTAAACAATTTATAGGATAATCAATGATATTATTAGTAAACAAAAATAATTACTGACAATACATATCAATGTCTATGCAATCAATTGATAGTAATTAACATACATTTGATTATAGATTAGTATAGATTTGATAGATGTTTGGGCACTGGTATCCCAAGCAATAGTGAGAGGTCTACAACACAGGGGTATGTCTACTATAACTACAGCTGGCATTAGTAGTGTTGAAAAGGGCTCTAACTGTATGTCAGTATGACTGCAGAGGAGACGACTATCCCCTCTCTCTCTACATCTTTAACACACATATTGATAGACAGTTAGTTGTGTTGTGTTTTTGGCGGCTGTTATGCCAATGCCTCTACAGTATAGTAATTTGGGCGCCGATATGTACTACTGATGACATTAAATGGGGATATAGTGGCCAATGATCACTAAGTCTATGGACCACACTGTTGGTCACCATCAGTGTGACCTACTTGTGCCACATCATGTGCTAAATTTTACGTTAAAAGGAGGCCCTCCCTGGGGTTTCCGTATCAAACAGAGGAGGGATCAAGTGATCGTCTCCAAGGTATACCATATATATTCATATATATATATATCTTATATAATATTTTTTCTCTTATCTATTGATTATTATTATTATGTATATTATATAACATCTCTTATCTCTCTGTTTTCGTATCCAATTTCATAACATTGCATATCATATATGAGTTCATCACTTATTTATATTTTATTTATTTTTTTTAAATAAATTTATTATTACTTTAAATGCAATTTATTTTCAATGCTTATCCTAATGCTATCCTTGAATTTAAATTATAGTTAATTATTTTATTTAAAAAATAAAAATAAATTATTTTATTGTATGATATTTTCATTTTATTATTTTTCTATTTATTTTTTTTGTTATTTTTATATAATTGTATTGTCATTCAAAATTGATTATCATTACTATTAAAAAAGTTTCCTATATATAAATTTTTTTTTATAAATATTCCTATAATAAAATTATATATCATATAGATTTACATTGTATTTAATTTATAATATTTTTATGATGATGATGTCAATATATATCATATATCTACAGTAATTTATATAATTATAGATTTTATTATTTTTAAACAAAAAAAATTATTATTTAATTTATTATCTTACAATAGGGTGATATTTGATAATACAATTTTTTAAAGTTAATGAAATAAGATATCCAAAGTGTAAATACTGTTTAAAAAATTTTATTATTATTATTGTATTTATTGTCGTTGTTTTACAAATTGCAAATAAAACAATTGAAAAATGATATTTTTGTTATCAAACTGTAATTTTATAATTATTTCAACGAAAAAAAAACAAACATATCGTTTATTGCCGATTTATTTCAAGTGAAAATTGAAATAATAAAAAGATAATAACAAACAAAAAAACTAAATATTAGTTTACAACATTATATACACAATATATACAGTATTATATCAATGATATTTAATAACAAAAAAGGGGGTCAACAATAATAACAACAACAAATGCATTACTTTAATGTTTAATATTTAATGGTATACTAACTTAAAGAGTACGGTATAATTTGCAATGTTATGTGTTTTAGTAGTACTGTAGTAGTGGCCCTCAAAAAAAAAAAAAAAAAATCATTGCAACATAAAACTATCGCAGTATTTATTTAATATGTTATACATAGTTATGTTAAAAAGCATTCATTATCAATGTTAACCATATGTGTGTTGCAAAACACTATTATTATTATTATTATTATTATTATTGTGTGTATCTTGTTTTTATAATGCATTGCATGCATGCATGTGTGTGTGTGATTCATAACATAATATTTACATCCCATTCCTCCATCCCCTCCATCCATACAATTCCTGACCCTACCCCCACCCATATCGTCCATGAGATGCAAATGTTAAAGTCCATGAATGAAACATTGTGTCGGTTAGTTTTTTTGGGATATCAGTGTTATCTATATAGTAGTGATGAAAGTATATATCTCTAAAAAACATCCAAATAGATAGTGTTTTCACTCAATTAATCGATTGGATTTTTTTTTGTTGCTTTTCCAACAACACAATCAATACACAAATAAGAAAACAAAAATTGATTGAAATCGACGAAAATAAAAATCTAATGACAAATGAAGTTCAAGTAAAATAATAAAACAAAAATATTTAAGAGACAAATCTATAGAAAAAGATTTATTATTATATATTAGAGAGAGAGAGAAAAAAATTAGTTTGAATATGAATATCAATTTTTTTTGTGTGACGAGAATTTCAGTTTGCTATGAATTTGAAATTGATTTGTGTGTGTGTGTGTGTGTGTGTGTGTGTGTGTGTGTGCTTTTTTTAGTTTAAATATTTATTTTTCATCCTCTCTGTATGCTATGTACAGTATTTTAATGTTATGGTTCATATATTTATTTATAATGAGTATTAAAATAGATGACAAACAGGAAAAGACAGTACAAATAATGATACCAATACACACACAGAAAAACTCTGAGGTCATGTCATATAAAATAACAAATAAAAGTATTCATTATATTAATATATTATTCATAATATAATGTTTGCAATCAATTGTTTGCATAGGGCTTTAAGGCCAATGGTCTGGTAATAAATAAAAATGTTTGCATATATAACTCATCATAACTGATGGCCATTTGGTTTTGTTAGACTAACTTAAATAACCACCAATTCATATAAATTTATGTATACACATACACACTGTTCACAGTATTGCTAACACACACACACACACACACAATAAATATTGTGCTATCAGTGATAATAAATACGATTTCACATTTGCATATGTTAGATAATACAGTATTTCATATTGTATACATACTATACATATACATAAATTGTTGCAAAAAATAAACTAATGTCGATTAGATTGCATTGTATTTAAGTTTTTTTTATATATATATAATATAATAAACTGTAGTATCAAATGATGATACAAATTATATATACACAAAAAAAATTCAGTACATCAAACACACACACAAAATATATTATACAATTGTTGTGACATTTATTTGTTAGTGGGTTGTGTGCCGACTATACATTTATTAAATACCGTATATATTATACAGTATACTATAAATGCATTAACAAAATGTCTAAATCGGTCTAATTTAGTCTACATTTAGTATACATATTTTTTTTATTATTGCCTCCTCTTTATTATATAAATTGAGTTAAACTTTATTATTATTCTTATTATTATTATTTGAGTTTAGCACACATACTGTACGGTATATTACTGTACATACAGTGCTAGTTATCACTGGTATTGTACTTTACTTTAGTTGGACTCTATGTTAAATAATATCAATAAATGTTTACTCAGCTCATTGCTGGAAGAGTACAGTATCTCATCACAAAACAATCAATATATTTATTTATTTATATATATACTGTATATATATATATATATAAGAAACGGCAATATATTAGTTGCGAGTTTGAGAGTCTATTGATATATTAGTTTTGTGGTAAAATAGATACTCTTAGATATATATATATATACAGTATTATGTAATGATGTTTTTTGCAGTCAATTTTGTTGGTTGTAGTGATAGTACTGAAAGATTAGTTGGTATATTACATATTAAAAACATGTATTTGTTTGCAATAAATTAATTATATAAAAGTGTTTTGATATCACATATTTTAGTTAATATTTTGTTGTTGTTGATTATACGATTTAAATTTTGCAATTATTATTAATAATTAATTGATTTTATTTTGAGATTATTTTATGGAAAAACTAGTCTAATAAAAAAATTTTTTTTGAATGCCATTAAATTTAAACTATAAAATTTGTTTTAAGGAAAAATATTTTTATTTGAGTTTTTTTTTTAAAAAACATAAAAATAACTGTATTTTCAACAAAAAATAATTGTAAATATTTTTTTAAAAAGACAATTTTTGTTATTAATATATTTAATATTAAAGATAATAGCAGAAAATATATTACTACATATACTGTATATATATGTTAACTTATATCAGATAATAATAATGATTTTCAGTCCACAGTTTTACACACACACACACACACACACACACACACACACACACACACACACAGATAAAAACATAAGATTTATGTTTAACTTTTGTATTTCATACCTACAAAAAAAATCCGTCTCCAATAGAGTCCTGATATCAGTGCCATAAATATATTTAATGTTAGATTTTAATATCAAGAGTACATATACTGTAATATATAAATATATATATAAAAGTATAACAAAACCCTTGAGTTTATCTGTAAATATTATATAAGACCAATACATTTGAAGTCATGTAATAATAAATACAAAGCAACAACAAAAAAAACGTAAATTTTAAAAATTTATATAAAAATATATATATATAATTGAAATAAAAATCCTTTCCTTTTAAAAATTGTGTTTTCAATCAATTTCAATGGGACTTAGTTTATAATAATTTAAACATTTTTCTTCCTATTTTTTAGTTTTTCGCGTTTTTTTTTGTATATGTGTAAGTGTTTAGTATAATAATACAGTATTATATTTTTTGAATCAATTTTTTGCAACAAATTTTGCTATTTATTTCTTTTCAATTGTTGTTCACTTTTTATTTTGGAATTTTTATACACAATATTTTATCGATAAAATATTTATTTTATTTATTTATTTTTGTTTAAAAAAAGATATAATATTTTTCTACAATTATTACATCATTATTTCTATTATTCTGTGTGAACAAAAATAATAATAATATGAAAAATGGTTTATTTAGACATGTTTTGGATGACTTTTATTATTTTATTTATTGTTTGTTTTTTTGTAAAAAGCGTGACATTAACTTAATTTATCAGTTAATTGAATTCAATTGGTAATTGAATTATATATATTTATTAAATTTAATTTAATTAGTAAAATTGAACACTCAATTTTTTTATTATGCAAACATAATAGACAATATAATAGTGAAAACAGAAAAATGGGAAAATATTATCCATTTTATGTATCGGTATGTGTTTTATGTATATATATACTGTATGTCCTTCAAACTAATAAAATTATTGTCTTAAATAATATATTATTAATGAATAATAATAACAATAACAATATATCGTGTATTACAACAAAGAATTTTCCACTCACTCTCTATTGTCTTTAATAGACATTTAAAAAAATATACATTAAATTATAATATATTTTTTTAAAAAGCATATAATGGAAATTGAATGCTAGAACCCACCTCTGCATTGAAAAACTATTACATCACAAACACTATACATTTCCTGTTTTATTTTTGTGTGAATATATTTAAAATTAATTTTATGCAAAATCTTTTATTATACGTATAATATTTTATATTTAAGTTAGTGTTTAAAATAGTTTTTTATATATACAAATATATATAAAAATACTGTACTGTACATATATAATGCATTGTATATAAATTTAATTCATAAATGTTAGCTATTAAGGGTCTGGTTTAATGTTAGGAATATATTGAATCATTAATTTGGAAATAATTTTGTTATTATTATTATTTTTTTTGTATACTCTAACTAATGATAGTGATTTATAGTTTATTGAAAGCAAAAAAAATGGTGTTAATTTGATGTATAAATAACATTGTTTTTATTATGTACTATACTGTAGTTGTCGTTTAGCGCATAGGTGTGTAATATACACTTATTTTTTGTTTTAGTTATGATTTATTTTTTGTTATTATTTTTATTTTAGACAACCATTATTTTCAACAATTTCAAACAATACAACAAAATTTATATATAAATTATATATATATATATATATATATATACTTTATATAATTTTTAATTTATAAAGTAAACTAATTTTCTAAATGGTATAAAGTTGTTATATATATTTTTTTTGTGAACTTTATCTAACGGCAATTATTTTATTTTTATTAGGTTTGACTCATTATATAAAACATTTTTGTTTTATTTATAATATCAATTTTCATTAATTGTGTTAATCAGAGATGATGTTTTATTTTTTGTGAAAATACAAAAATAAATTATTGCATACATAGTGTGTATATATTTGTGTTGTTAATAAGTTTGTTTGTCGGAGAGTTATGTAATTTGATAATTGCAAGCATTTGTCAGATATGGTTGAGCTCCACCCTAACAGTGCCCGAAAAAAAATTATATCATATAATACCATATCGACTGATGATTACATTTTAACTGTTTAAATAGCCATTTGGATAGTTAGAGAGGCACTTATATAATGCAAGTATTTTAAGTGTTTTTGCGTTCAAAAAATAAATACAGTAATGATAACATTTATGATATGTTGTTTAATATATATAATACTGGTATAAATATATTTGTGAAATAGTTTTTTTTTGAATATAATATTGTATAAGAGTTGTATGTTTTCTCAAATGGTTTCATTTCAAATAAAAGTGAACCACTTGTGTGCTATAATACTCTAATAATAGTAATAATATTTCCACTTTTAAAAATCATTGAAAATGTTGTTAGTTTTTTGTTGTTTGTTGCAAATTAATCGTTAATTTTATCGATCTTGCATTCAAATAATCTTTGCCTACAAAAAATACATCAGCTTTTAATAGTCAGTTATATATAATTTATATATATATAAATATATCTGACTAAATACCCATTGATTTGAAATGAATGAAATTAAATGAATAGTTCAGTAATAATGCTATTATTGAGGAAACTATTGAAGAGAAAGAAAGTCAAACAAAATGTATGTGCCTTTTGTTGGCAACAATTGTCATTAATATAAACTGTTTTCATTTAAATATCACTATTCCTGTTCCCCAACCATCTATTGGTTTTGTCTTTTTCTATATCATCTCTCTCTCTCTCTCTCTCTCTCTCTCTCTCTCTCTCTCTCTCTCTCTCTCTCTCTACTTACTCTTTCATTCATTCATTCATTCACTTATTTTGCAAACTATTGTAAAAAAGATCTTATTGTAAATAACAATCAGTTAATTATGATTCTAACTTATATGGCATATAATAAAATTTTAATACACACTGCTGTACACATGTTTAATGCACACACACACACAAACACAAACACACACACATATACATACATACACACACACACACATACATACATAGATAAATTTTCAGGCGTTGATATCATTAATAATACTATGTATATATGTATGGTATGTATCTGTGTGTGTGCGATGAATAGCCCAAATAATTAATGTAAAAGTTTCATAAAAATACAATATTATAATATTATTACGAAAACGCCATACAGTTACTTGTTTTACACTAGTTTTACGATTGCATGCCATATAAAAACGATAATATTATAAAAATTAATTGAGATTTAGTTTATTTGACTCTTTATATGTATTATTATTATTATTATTACTTTATAGATAAACTGTGGCAGTAGAGCCTCGAAGAGTGGGCTCCGGGTGCACGATGAGATCATAGCAGGTATGACCACATTTGTAAATTATATTATAGCATATCATTTGCATTTTGTTAACATTAATTTGTTAATATATTAATAATTTATTAATAATAATAATAATAATATATATGAAATAAATCTGTTTTTGTAGTTCATATTCATTAAGAATTAATGAAATTTTCATATTAGTCTTTGTTATGATAATTATAATTAATGAATATTTCTCTTAAAAAAGTATATTATTATTATTGTAATAATAATACAATACTTTAAGTTTATTATGTGTTTGTGTAAGTGTTTTATTTAATTATATTATTTTCTAAAAAAAAAAATTTATATTATTTATTTTTGTATTTTTTCTCTATCTTTCTCTCTATGTGTCTATAATATTAGTGAACAATTTTGAAGTGGATAAACACCCGCCGACTTTGCACCGGCAGACTGAAGAACAGGACTCTAAGGGTGGGCCAAACAAATTAAATATTATTTTTTTGTAAAAAAAAATTAATAAATATGTGTAAAAAGCAAACATTGACTACACATTTTAAGACTTTTTTTGTTGTTGTTGTTATTGTTAGTTAGATAGAGATTGTATTGTTCAGCAATAAAAAAATGTGTTGTCAATTGTTTTTTTTGTTGGTGTTTTGTGAATAATAAGTCTATTAAATTTATTATTACAAGTGAATGCACTTTCTCTTTATATCCTCCGTTAATACATTACAAATAAATAATAATAATCTAATAATGCTATTAACTTTAATTTGTTAACCCATTGTGTGTTTGTGTGTTGTGTTTTTTGAAAAACTAATACAATGACTTTAATAATTACAGAGATTAGCGAATCGGACCAATTGACAAAACTAGACTTTACTTATCAACTAATTAAACATACACTCAACCGACAGTTGCATCTAACTGTCCGCAGGTTTGCCTAATTATTGATTACTACTTATATATATATATATATATATACTTACTCTAAAAATAATATTTTTAAATTTTATTTATTTGTATGTTATATAACTTAACTAATAATTTTTTTTAAATATAATTTCTAATGACATATCAGTAAAAATCAGTTGTCAATAGTATTTTTTATTTTTATTTTTCAAGACAAGCGATGACATTAAATAGCATTTAGACATCACTTATCATTACTTTTATTATTTTTAATATGTTTCTACACGTCTATTGGATTCAAATCAAAAATAATATCTTTATTAACTATTAAAAAAATTGTCATAATTTTTTTAAAAATGTTTTTATTTTTAATTTTAAAGGCATAGCGACTCTGAGTTGGCCCGACATATATACTATCACGTGGACGATGAAGATGAAGAAGGTATGTCTCTGGCTATCTATTGTTTGGTTTTTTTTATATCTATCAATACCCGTATAGATATACAGTTTAGTTGGTAGCAATTGATAGGGTATTTGATATATATATTTATATTACAAAGTTATATAACAATCAATAAGCCAATCGACTGTTTCTCAGCCAACAACAACAAAAAATCACGAAACAATTGTATTTAAGTAAAATAAAAATTGTTCACAAATTGTTTAAGTAATACAATTTAGTATTGAACGGTTCCGCCCATTGATTATTGTGTCCTTTTTTCTCATTTAGTTGTTGTTGTTATTGCCTAACTGTTCACATTATATTGTTCACCAGGTTTTATCATTTTTAATGTATATTTTCCTGTTTTTTAAATATATTTTATTTTAACTTAATGATAACATATTATCTAATGTAATCTCTCGATTATTACTATATTATAAATTGTTTTTTATATATACCCAGCAATATGCTATTAATGTTATACAGTATAATTATTGGTATAATAATAATATTATAAGTAATGAGAGGTGCTGTACATATACTGTTGTGTTGGTTGTACTGTAATATTACTTATATATAAAAAGTTTGTATTTTTTATATTTTGCTGTCATTCGCTGTGTATGTGTTGAGTAAGCGATCGGCTAATACATACCCAAACACACACACATACAGTCACAGGACTCCCCTCTCAATAAGTTATTAGTTGTAATGGTTTTCTAGTTGTTGTATGGTTTGAAAAATGCCTTTAATTTGCGCAAAACATTATAACCAAAATGATCTATATTTATGATGTGATACCCAATGTTTGAGAGGGGCTCATGGCTTGTGATGAGGGCTAACCATGAGAGTAGTTTAGATGAATAACTTATAAATACATTACTCTTATTCCTTATGCATTGGACTAATGCTAACAGTACTGCTCCGGGGCGTTGTGTGTATGTGTATGTCTGTATTTTTTTCTGCACAGTTATGTGTTTAGCCATGAATTGGTGATGTGATTATATATTTTGTTTCAATTGGAAAAAAATATAGTTATAAATATCATATATTTTGTGTATGTGTTTGTGTGGTGTTATCCGATAAGTTTTGTCTATAAAAAACACATACAAATAAGTTCTGTGTGATATGTTTTGTGTTTTTCATCAATAAAAAACATTTATATGTGTTTATTATGACTGTATTTTTTTGCTGCTCTACTCAATGACAAACCTATCGATTACCGGTGCGATTATATGAATCTCTGTTTTTTTTGATCCCATAATTTATCACAATATTAATGTTTGTTTTTTTATTCTCTCTCTCTCTCTCTACTAGACATTACATTGTATGTAATAATCAAATAAAAAACACACTCTGAAATATATAGTTATAAATATTTAGTGTATGTATGTATGTATGTGTGTGTATTAGTTGTCATAAAATTTTTTTGTTTGTTTGTTATCAATGGCTTTGAAAAAAGTTTTTGAATTGAATTCGCGCCGGGATTTCAATGTTTTCGCTGATTATATCAAACGCTGTGACGTTGAAAACAGTGAAAAATTTGCTGAATTCATATATATTAGTGATGATGATGGAGATGATGGAGAAAATGGTGATTTTATTATTAATAATAATAGTGACAATAAGTTTGATGACATTGACAATAACGGCAATAACAACAACTACTACTACTATTACGGTAATGATAGTCGACAGTTGACTGATGTGTCGAAGGAGGACACTGTCAACAACGGTAATAGTGATCAGGAGATCAGTGAATACACTACTGACTTAACAGATGATAATTTAGTGGATTATAATAACCAATATTATGATTATCATCACTACTGTATGAGTGACAATGTATTGCCGCCACTCATCGGTGGTCTCGAAACAATCGATGAGGAACTTGAGGATAACCTAAGCTGTTCCAATGGTGGTAGTAGTAGTAGTAGAAGTAGTAGTAGTAGTGTTAATAGTTTTACCAGTGATAGTGCCTGTGTTAGTCAAACTACTAGTTCATCTGACAAATGTCATGCAATTGCTGTCAATGATGGCGGTGGTGACGATGATGATGATGATGACGACGACAACGATGACTATGATGATAGCACTGGTAATTACAGTACAATAGCATTATATTATATAGCAATATATGTAATAATTATTGCGAAAATTTTGTACACGTATATCATATAAAAAAATATTTGAAGTGACTTTTAATTATTATTATTATTATTATTATCGTTATGTACTTATATATTAAAATGTTAAATGTTATTATTATAAGTGTTTTGTTAAACAATATATAATTGCATTTTCATACAACAGTGTTAAATAAAATACTGTATCATATGTTATATTATTTTTCGTTACTACTGCAAAAAAAGGCTTATGAAAAAAAACATAGATATCTTTATATATTTTTTGTTGTTTGAAAATTATTTTTTAGACTATTATATATATATATATATATATATTATTTATTTATTGTCGAAAAAGAGTCCATTAGAAACAATATGTTGTCTACAATTTTTTTTATTGTTGACTTATTTTTTGTCGTCCTAAATATTCATGTAATATTTATTTAAGCAATTTGATTTTGATGTTTAATCGCATACACATATAAAACATATAAAATACTTTCAATGAATATTTATTTTTGTGTTTATTTTGTGTGTGTGTGTGTGTGTATGTGTCCTGCAAAACAAATTTAATAATTAAAGGCTTTATAATGTACTTGTATTTTGAAATGTGTGTTAAAAAACATGGACTTAGGGTTTAGGGATTTGTAGCTTTTCGTTGTTGTTGTTGTTGTCGTTTCTGTGTGCGTGTGTTTGTCGAGTTGTCGGTTATGTTGCCTACAAATCCCATCTATTTTTATAATTTCCATAAATAGTTAGGACAGTATGGGATGGTGTGTATGGGTTGATGAGGATGATGGAGGGGAGAGGATGTGTATGTGTGTGTGTGTTAGTTAAGACACGCGTGTTATTTCATTTGTGAGGCACATCCATCTCTTGGCATCTCTCATATGAATCGCTGATCCCCTTCTTTGAAGTGACTGTTCCTCCCGTATCCTCAGCCCTATTGCATATCTAAAGTCTAGATCTTAAATACAGTTTAAACATAACACATACGTATACTGTATAACATTCATCACTATATGTCTCATTGCTTAATATTTTTCAATCATCGTCTCAATAGATTATGTGTGCGCTTTTCAAAGTGAAAAAAAGTTGATAATAATTATTATTTGTTTAAATTAAAAAGTTTTTAATACAAATAAATACAATGTAATGTTATTATTAGTTTATAGCTTATAACCCGTATGTGTTTGATGTAAATCATTTAATCATTAAAAAAGACAGCAATTTTTATTATCAACATATTTTCTATATAAATATTAGAGGAATTTTCAACAGAAAAAAATAATAGTTTATTTTAATGTGTTTTCTCTAAATATGAAAATATTTTAAAACTATTTTAAATTATAAATATAAATAACTCTTTATTTTTGATTTCAATTTTTTAAAATACTCTTCATTGACGTCTTCATCATCACCAGCACTACACCAGCAATCGCACAGCGAGGAGGAGATACTCTCGCCATCGGAAGACTTTGATGCAAATGATTTCCTAATACCGCCGCCAGATATAGACTTTGGTGATCCGTCGCCGGACAACTCGCCGATTCACGCGGCCATTACCATCGGCGACCACATTGACCAGCAAAGCGATAAGACATCCGACATACTTCCCTTAGCTCTGTCTCCCGATTCTGATGATAGCGATATGCCTGCCTTTACCGGCGGACCGACATTCAAAGCTAAAGCACCGAAAAATGGTGAGAATATTCCTATTGTTATATAATATACAGTATATATATATATAAATATTTGATAAGAATATTCTGTCAATTATTTTTGTATGCATTATTAATTGCCAAATATGTGTTAAGCAAAATATGAAGTATTAAATATATATATATATATATATATATTTGGGTTACCATTAGTGCTAACATTACACATATGAAGCCATACACACACACAACTAAATGCATTTACTTATTTTTTATTTTAAACGCTTGACTGCCATTAAAAGAAACACATAAAAAGAGAGATAGATATATAAAAACAGAGATGTTTTGAGATTTGATGCTAACTGTGCTCTCAATATACTCACTAACACACAAACACACACCACTACCGATGACTACTTCGCTGATTCTACAGTACAATCACTGTTAAGTTTTTTTGCCAACTCTTTTGTGTTATATTCAGGAGTTATCAACTAAAAGATTATTTTCGGAATCTCTTATAATATATATATTTTTATATATTTGACAAACGCTTATATAATAACTGAAAATGCAATTTACGACAACTAAGTCGTGCCATGATTTTCATTTAGGTCTTACTTTTATATATTTATATTATTTTATTTGTTTGCCAGGAGTTTATCCATTAATTTATGACTTTACCCCCCATTTTCATATCGATTACTTTTTTAGGTTGTTATTTAGCATTATTATTATTCAATGCCAACCCCCACAAAAATACTATTATTTAATCAAATATCCGTTTATTGTCTTATTTAGTATTTCTTTTATAAAATTTTGTCAGCTTTTTGTTTTATTTTTGTTTTTGACAATTTATTTTACTTACAAATCTATAAAATTGTTTTTTATTTTGTAGAAACATTTTTTACGATTGCAATACTACACAGCAATACTTAAAATAAAAATAGGATACAGAAAATCATTTTAAAAAATAAAAAAAGATTTTTTTTTGTAAATATTGCATAAATATTGCAAATTCTACATACAGTAGTAACTTATTATTATTATTAGTAGTACTTATTTTATGCAACATTTGTATCAAATGTTTATTTTAACAAATATATTGCATGTAATTAATAGTTAGTATTACAACAAAAAATTTTGTTGTTATATATACGGCATATTTATAAATATATTGCTGCAGTTATATAACTGTTATATATTTATACATCGCCCACACCTGATATTTGGTGACAGTATAGTTGAGTAGTAAACTAAACCATAGGCACCTACAACACCCAGTAATATACTGTATATATATATAATACTAAATATATAATATTACCAACACTTGCACATCATATTCATATACAGTATAAAATAGACAGTACTTATGTTTTTCATTACAAAAAAATGAGTACAAAAGCTGTATGTCTTTCTCAACAATTTTATTTTGTTTCTCTTCCTATTTCTTATTATAAATATTTTTAAATACCGTTTTTTTTGCTGTGAAACTAAATAGTATTATTTTGGGAACACTTTTTTAGAAAATAAAATATAGTTATATATTATTAAAAGACCCAAAAAACAGTTATTCAAAAATGTATTTAAGTTATAATATATTTTATATGTCTGTATAATATGTTTTTGACGCCTAATTTTTGTTTCTTTGCTTAATATTTACTTAAAACATAATCAATTTTTTGCAATAATTGCAACAATTATTATCGTTATATAAATACTGTATCTAAACTACTGTATTTTTTATCGACAAAAAAAATGTTTAACGAAATTAATTATATTATTATTATTATTATTTAAGTTTTATTATTTATTATGTTTAGTAGAGAATCAAATCAAAGTTATTTAACATATTTTTTTAACAACAAAACCAGGAGAATGTGTTTATTTTAATTATGTCATATAAATTATATTAAAGCAATAAGTTTTGCAATTTAAAAATAACTATATAATTAACTTACTTTACCAATAACTAAATTTTGAAATTTTTATTTTTAACAACTTTTTCTAATATTATATATATATATTGATAAATTATGAATATAAAACTTTAAGTTTATAGCTTATAATTTAATAAAATCATAGCACAATAATTTAATAATAAGTAATTATTATTTAGTAAATATAAAATTTGATTACTTAATTATTGAAATAAATAACAAGTAATTTTTGGGATATTTTTAGTGACTTTTGATCAAATTATATCAACTATAATTTGATACTTTAATTATTAGTTATATAAAGTATTATTTTATATATAATATGATTAATCATAGGATTTTCACCAATAGGTGAACTGATTATCAAATGAATATCACTTTAATGGCTAAACCTATAAAAACTTAACATTTTATGAGATGATTATGAACTTTACGTTCAGATTATTTATTAGATAACAAATGAGTTTTAGCTTTGAATGGCATTTTTAATAGCATTTTCATTGATACACACAACTCATTAATTGTATATAAAAATCAAATTGAAATGATTTTTTCTATAAATAAAATATTATAATTGACACTTCAATTGCAATATTGTTAATACTGTATTAAATAGTATTATAAGTATATAAATTTATATATAGTTTACTGATTATATACTCTAATATATTAATCGGTAATTAATTTGTGAATAATTTATTTTTATTGAAACCATGCTTTTTAATTCTCTTTAAAGTTTATAAAAATAATTTTTTTGATATAACATAAAAATTATCTTAAAATTTTCATTTTTAATCGACAGAGTTTTATTTTGAGTGATAAATAACATTGCATTTATCAGATTATCAAATATAATAAAAAAATGTTTTTTAAACATTAAGCAATTGATTTTTTAAAGTGATTAACGATATAATTAATAAGAAAACCGGCGTTTTATAAGTTTTTTAATCAAAAAATTGATTTATTTTTTTTATTTTTTTCTAAATATATCATTTAAAAACAGGGCTATTGATCTCATTATAAATGATATGACATATCATTTGTCAAATCATGTTAGTGTCTATTATTATTATTATTATTATTATATTGATATTTAAATATAATTATGTAAAAAACTGATTAATTTTATCATATGCTAAACGATTAAATATATGACATATAAAATGGAAAAATATGAAAACAATTTGTACACGAAATTTATTTGTCTTTTTAATTTTTCAATCAAAAAAATTATAAGTTATTTGATACTCAGTATACATATTCATAATTATTTCATTAATATATTTTAGCAAAAATAATTTAAATATTACTGTATTTATTTGAATGAAAATTTTTGAGACACATTTAATGATTTATTTACATAGAATTATATGTTTATTTTATGCCAAATATTTTATGACAAATAATTTATTTATATAAAAATTAAACCGTTTGTTGATTGCATATTATATATGTTATGTCATATTATAAAAATAGATTAATATTAAATAGCGTAAAAATATTACTATAACTATTATTTATTAATCTTATTATTTTTTGATGAAATTGTATTTATATTGAATATATAATTTTATGTAAAAATATGTACTACTACTACAACAACTACTACTACTACTACTAATAATAATAACAATAATAATAATAATAATAAGACTTTAGGGCATATTGTCTAATATTATATCATTTTTAAAAATTTCGGTGTCATTAAAGTAAATCTCAAAAAATATGAAATATTATTTTTATCGTTAAATAAACTATTTAATCAAATGATTGATATGGCCTTTAGAAATATTTATATACATTTATTTATTGTATATGTGTGCTTGTATTATACATTATTGTGTTATAAAAATTAAAATATATATTTTTATATCTTGTAGTATAAATGATAAGTGCAAACACTATTTATATAAAGATATGGTATAAATACATACTGTTATATGCTTTGTTTTTTATCATAAATGAAATATTTTGATTAATAAACTTTTCAGTTACAATTTATTATATATATATATTGTATATACCGTAGTGATGGGGTCAATCTAGCATTGATAAAAATATGTGTGAGATTTATGTTGTTGTTGTTGTTGAATATATTATTTTATTGTTTTATGCATACAATGATAATAGATTATAGTATGTATTTCCTATGATTTCCTATTTTGCATAATTTACAATACAATATACAGCTAAAATGTAAGGTTGATTAAGTGTGAAATAAATTTAATTATATAAGAATATGAAAGTAAATTTATATATATATTGAATATATTGTTATCAAAGCATACATTTTGTGATTTGTGATATCAGTTTTAGTCAATAAAAACAACGGCAACATTATTACTGATAAGATATGTATATAATTAAGTATACGATGAAATTTATTAAATAATATATTATATTTTTAAAAAGTTTTTTAAAATATATTATATCAAAGTTACCAAATAGTTAAAAAAAATATTTGTGATAGTAATGATTTTTTACTTTTGTATTTATTTTCACTAAATACACTAATATTAAATGTTTATTTTTTTCTTAGTATAACATTTATTGTTAGTTTCATAGTAAACGTTTACAAAATAAATAAATTATATTTGAATTTATTATTATTATTATTAAATTATATTTTTGATGTTTTATTTAAATATTTGTTTGTATATACAGTACAGTAAATACATATAATTAAATGCATTTATTATTAGTATTATTCACACGAAAATTCAACGTTTAATTTAAGTGTAAATATTTGTCAGTAAAAAGACCGACAGCTCTTTATTATATCAATATATATGTGGGTTTTGTGCCATAAAATTAGCTTTTATTAGTGATATTGAAATATATATTTACTTAAGAGAGTCGTCGATATGTTAAATGCATCGGACATTTGGTCAGCAAATAATTGATTCAACAAAATTCAACTACAAATGACTTATTTACTATATATTTATTATTATTATTGACTTTTCAATCGTATTTAATATATTGAGATATAATTTATATAAAAGTAAATTCAACTAATATTAGGACTAATCGATATAACAAAATTGGCTAATACATCAAATTTGAAATTATTATTATTATTACTAAATAAATAAATTGCTTACTGTATTTAGTTATGGGAATACATAAACAAAATTACAGTAAACTGTTTTTATATACTGTATATAATTTCTACATAAGTTTATATAATATAATTGTTTATGTTATCAATTATTTGACAAAAGGAGGAATTTTATTAGTGAAATGTTATTTTTGTTATTTATTTAGAAACAAAAATCATTATTAAAAAGAAGTTTATTTTTAATTTTATTTATTTGTCAAAATGTTTGCCTGAATTTAATTAACATATGGCAAGAAATTATTCATTTATTAATTCAATCCGACATATGTGTAGTATTATTGATATTATTATTATTAAAATGAAAATTAAATTTATTAAAGTTAATTAAATATTGTTTTTCCAAGAAATTTGTTTTTCACCATGGATTTCACTAAACCCCTGATAATAAACTATATTTTTCTATACAAAAAATAAACAAATAAAAACTATTAATACATAAATATATATTTACATAATATTTGCATTAATTTTATGCAAACAATTTTGCGATTTTTTTTAATTATCAAAAATCTATGATATTATTAAATCATCAAACAAACAAACAAAAAATTGAATATAAAAAATGATGCATTCAATTAATAATCCATTAATATATTTAGTATGGAGTCCGGGCAGTACAACCAACAGTTCCTGTAGTACAGAGACGACAATACCAGCGACAATACACCATCAGATTCATCCATCAGATCGCGATTCAATAGCCAATAGTAGTTTCCGTCCCCTAAAAGCGACGACACCGGGTTCAGCGACAACAGGTGCCAAATATACAGTGGAAAGTCATTTTACACTAACATCTCAGTCGCCGACAACCAGTGAACTGACCACCGATGAGCATCACGTCGAACACTTGGCCGAACTCTACGACCCGAACCAAACTGTAACTCCTGTTCACAAGTACTGGACATTACCGCGTAGTATAGCCACCGCTACGAAGACACAGTATATTATTGAAGACCAGCAAGAGTTACAAAAACAGGATCCAATAATTAGACAGTCATCTCATATACAGCTCAGTCATTCACATAAACCACTTAAGGAACAACAGCAACACATTCATCACCGACACGTCATAACGGATCAGCCGCCACCACCCGGTGCTAAATACCTGTATGAAACAGAAGATACCAAATATTTTACTCTACCAAACACAACAGTGTCGGAAACAGTGACGACGACGACGACAAATCGTAAGGTAATACCGGCGCCGCCTAAAACTGAAGGCATCGGACCGGTCGATGAAAGTGGTTTACCTTTGACTCTCAAATCGGTATATTTTATCAATTAATTTATTATAATAAAGTTGTAGTTTTTTAATATTAATTTTTTTAATGATAAACATTAAACTACAACCACATCCACCAAAAATAATAAAAACAGGGCGTAAAAGATGAATACGCGTCCGATTGGTATAAGGCATGGGTCAGGAAAATGCATAAATTTGACAAAACTCATACTGAAGAGGACGAGGAGGCGGTCAAAGTCAAAGTAAAGCCCACTAAATATAAAGGAAGAGGTAATGTGTAATATAAAAAAAAACAGTTAGTTTTTTTAAATAGTCAGTATATAAATGCCATTTACTATCACTACTCGTTTTGCACCGTTTGGTGGGTGCACTCATTTATCACACATACACACACCATATACTTGTTTTATCTAAACATAATAACTCACACATACCTCACACACACACACACACACACACACTAATTTTGATTATGTAATCCCCAAAATTTTATAGACTATCGGCTGAGTCCCGGCCTTAATGAGGAGGATAGTAAGCGCCGACACACTTATGTGCCTAAAAACATAGCCGACTACGAACCGGGACATTCCAGTATATCTGAACTTGAAAAACAAATGGTATGTCATATATATATATATAACTTAAATTTTATTTATATATAATATTTGAAAAACATATGAACGTGTGGTTTGTTTGATATATTTGTGACTTAACTCATAATAATAATAATAATATATTGACGACCACTTGACTTTTGACAAACACTTTTTTATAGCTAACTTTCCATTACAGTAGTAGTAGTAGTTGTAATAATACTGTGTACTTACACTATAAGTTACTATAGTTTTTTTTAAATTAATATATTTTAGATAATAACAAAATTTTATGTTTACTAAACACTAAACTTATGGTTTTTTATTCTTCATATAATAATAATAACCGCTAATAATCCTAATAATAAGTTTTACGACCATATATTCACTTATATCGACTCAATATTTGCTGAGGTCTTCTCCACATCCTTTCAGGTAAGGCCTAACAATTGTGCTTCTCATACAAAATGAAAAAATAAAAAACAAGCAATCAATCCCTTTATTATTATTATACACCACTGACACTCTCCAGACACCCCATACTGTGTTTGACAGCTATTTTAATAATTTGTTGTGATTTTGTTTGAAGTTTTCCTATTTTTTTTTATTCCAGATGTTTGGTTGTATTTTTTTAGCATTATTTTTATTGTTATTTATTAATATTAATAACAAAAAATTGCATTTTTTACACATAATTAATAACAAAAATAATATATTATTATAAAACATTTTAGTGCATCGTTTAACACATTGTTTATTTGCTAATTTAATCCCCTTTTTAAAAACAAAATACAGGAACCGCTACCCAGTGTCGAGTCTAACACTATTAGTCCGATGGTATCGCGCGTACCGATCATTCAGGTGTTTATTAATTGCCAATTTTGTTATTGTTGTTGTTTTATATGTGATTTTTATGATTATTTATTGATTATTTATATAAATCATGTTAAACCTATGATTTATGATTAATAATATTTTATTTTATTTTTTGTTGGTTGAATATAACAGGAAAGTAGAGATGATATATGTCTGGCCCAACGTACACACCAACCCGCACCACCCTATCATCACCCGAACTGTGTGTTTAATACATTGACAACCGGCAGTGGTTATGAATCAGATTCTTCGTATATCATTAAGAAAAAGGAAAAGAAAGGCAAGGATTTTATAAAAATGTTTTTGTTTTTTGGTTTTCTTGTTGTGTTTAACACTCAATAAGCTGTCAGATAAACAGCGATAATAAAATAACTAAAAAAAAATTACTAATAATAACTAATAAATAAAAAAAATAATAATTTGTTTGCCAATTGAACCAACAAAAAAAAAGGTCTGTCACCGACCTCTCGCGATGTTTACCTATCTGTGCAAAGAGGAGATGATATACCGCTGACAGGACTCCAGAGGCCGGCCCCACAGCCTCGCGCTCACAAACGTAAGTCAATGACATATCCTAATAGTTATTTGTTTTTTTTGTTGTTTTGTGTGATGTGTTTTTGCAAATAGGATTTAAAGGTTATGATTTGTTTGACTTTTGAATTATATTATATATATATATAATAAAACTATTTATTTTTTTTCTCTCTATAAATGAATGCCAAATATGCATGACTTGCAAACTGCTTAAATGCATGACACGATTTACTAAAATAAATAGTGTATATATATATTTTAAAAAAATTGATGATAACTATTATTATTATAGTGTTAAATGCCATAAGAAAGTGCTTAACCAATTGATTCACACATCAAAAGGGTTGTTTCAATTGAATCGATCGCATGAATGAATAAATCACAGCTAAATATAATATAATAAATCAGTTTTTGCGCTCAACTACTACTACTACTACTACTACTACTACTACTACTACTACTACTAAAGTACCGCACACTTGATCTACAAAACTGTTAGATAAATGATTATTTGATAATAATATTTAAGGACTTTTCAGACACATATTCAGACAGACACACACAACACTTATTTAAGAGCTCTTTATACTATACTTATTGAGGGTTACGGTAGCACTCAATTAAAAAAGGATCTCATAAATTGTAGAGACCATTGAAAATAATTGGTTATCCATTAATATTATAAGTTTCTATAATATGTTTTTCTGTGCTAACACAACACAACATCTATGAGAGGTTCAGACATATTTCTATCCATTTATATTGTATTTTTAGGCTTAAAAGGATATAACGATTATATAAAGTACTTATGTTTACACAAAACGTCGATCACATCGAAAACATTCCGTAGCACCGGTAGTCTCGACACAATTATTGGTCTCTATAGTAGTCGTAATGTTAATAATAATAATAATTTAATTTACTCTAAACCCACTATTCGTTTATTTAAAACACGAACAGTTAAAGAGATTTGCCAACTATTTGAAGTATTAAATACTAAACAATAATATACAGTATTATTTGTAATACTAATTTTGAATTTATTCAACAATAATATATTATATATATGTTAATATCGGATATGTAAAAAATAGTTTATTTTTCTATTTAAAAAAATCTCAAAATTATAAAATAATATATATTTATTGAATACACACATAAACACTGAGAGAGAGAGAGAGAGAGAGAGAGAGAGAGAGAGAGAGAGAGAGAGACCGGTATTTTAAAGCTAAGTTATGTAAATTTTTATAATTCAATAATATAGTTTTTGATGGTGATTATATAATTATGTTTATAAAAATTGTTTTTTAATATACTTATTAAAATTTTATTGAAATTTGTTGTTTTTTTATTTATTTATGTCTAACATGACAACATAAAAAATACTAAGATTTATAATTTATTTAAACAACTTTGCATACATTAACCAACAACAACAAAAACGACAGTCTATTTTTTTATTAGTTTATTTTATACTTATTTAATAAATTTGTTAAAACAAGTTTTTTTTAAAAATAAAAATTTAATTAAATTTACTAAAAATCTATTACTCGTTGGCCAACAAAAAAAATTAATTGTTTTCAAAGCCTAACAATTTGTGACATAATCTCTTAGACATACCTTTTTATATTTATGGCTTTATTTTCTAGTGTGTTGTTTACCTCAAATGATAAACTGATTTCAAAAAAAATGTTTTCTTAAATGGATTTTGGATTTATTGTTGAAAATTATAGTGAAAAATATTTTAGTTCTCAAAATAGATTAGAAAATATAAGAATAATAGTTTTTTACTGGTTTTTAGTGTATTTTCAATTTAATACCGAAGATTAGTCTAATATATTTTTTTAAGCATAAATTTTGTAGTCTATTATATCAAACCTATTGGTAATTTGGGTCTCGATTTTTTTTTTAAATAAATATAAATTAATGGGACAAACATTAAAACATATTAAAAAGATATGTATCTCACAAAATTTTGATAGCAAACATAAATTAAAGTGATTTAACTATTTTGTTGTTGTTTTTCATTAGTTACACTATTTTTTATAGAGGAATTTTCAAACACATACATAATTATTTGCTATTTTAAATATATTAAAATTAAATAAACTATTTTTTCACGATTTTTAAATTATACTGTTTTTAAAGTATTATTTAGTATTATATATAGATTTTGGTTTGAGAAATATCTTCAATTTAATGTTTTTTCTTTTTTTAAAAAAATCAATTTTATTTGATTAGTTCAGATTTTTAATGTATTTTTTAGTTATATTTTTTTCTATCAAATCTCTCTCTCTCTCTCTCTCTCTCTCTCTCTCTCTCTCTCTCTAATACCAGTTCTCCTTAAAAGGTCAGCTCTCGAGACTTTTAAAGGTTTTAAAATAAAATTTTAATTGTTTTTTCACCGCTCAGTCAATAAATGTAGAGTTTTTTTAAGGATTTTATGTAATAATTTGTTTGGAAAATTGGAATAAATTAATTGAAAAATTGTTAAATTTTTTGCTAAGAATGTTAAATTGAAAATTTATTATTTTTAATTTAAACTTATATTTTAAATTAATTTTATTGAAATTTCTATATTTATTATTAGTAAAAGATTAATCATTTAAGTGATTCATCTAATTTGTTATTTCATAATATTAATTATATAAACAAAATTAATTTAATTGAAACTAATTTGAAGTTTTTAATTAGGTCTTAGATATATATTAATATATATATTTAAATGCCAAATATCTTGTTTATTATTTTTTTTATTAATATAAAATATATTCAATTTAATGTATATTTTTATTGTTAAAATTAATGGCAAAGTTTGTCGTTTGTCTCTATTAATGTTAGATATTTAATGACATTATTTTGATAAAAAAAATAATAAGTAACTAAAATAAAAACGACTACATATTTATTGCTATTTATTATTGAGTTATTATACAACACATTAAATATATAGGATATATATAACATTATTTTAGTTTACGATAATTTTTTTTTGTTGACCATTGGTTTGAATTGCAGTGATTTTTTTTAATTAGCATTTTGTTTGCTGTGTGATCTGAATTTTTATAACCATTAATATCTAAATATATTTATAAATTTATATATTAATATATATTAGAGATTGTGTGATTTAAAATTTAACGACAAATTTATTAAAACAAACAATTTTGTCTTTAAAAAAATATAATAATAATAATAATACAAATCAACATAAATTCAGACCCAAACTACAACAACCCAGGAATTGACTACTATTCGGACAGTCTTAGGAGTCCACCCGCTCCTCCTCTTCCTCCACAACGTCCACCACCGCTGTCTGACCAGTCTATCGACGACTGGCAGCAACAGATTACTGAAGATTTTGATTTTATTTATGATACTCTTCAGCGAAAACAAGAGTCAATTGACTCGTCGACGAAACAGTTGATTGACATACAGTTGTTGTCGTCAAGTGTTGCGCCAAATGTTGAACAACCCTTAGATGATGACACTGTCGATAGCGAAGAGTATTTAGTCATAGGTCTTAGTGATCCCAAAGAGTCGATCTATAAGTCCTATAAAGAGGGAATTGAAGGAATAGTTGACAATCCCATTGACTTCTCTATTAATATGCCGACAAAAGGTATTAAAAAAAATAATTCATTCATTCATTCATTGATTGATCGATTGGACATCCCTTTTGAAAATTATTATTTTTTGTTATGTATCATATTATTCATTATTATTTTTTTATTATCTCAATGTATTTTTTTGAATGACATTTTTTGTGCTCATAATCTAAAAATCATTATTTTATTTTTTCCTATTATATTATAATTGACAATTGAAAAAATCTCTAGTGTCTCATCATCAGTACGATGAACAACAGGTTAATATACATTTTAAAACACCAATAAATCAGTTAAAAATGGATCAAATAAACGGTGATGACTTTGGTAGACAACAAGCGGAACAAGTAATGCATTTTTAAATTTAAAAAATTCAAATTTTTGTTATATCTGAATATCAATTTAAATGCAAACTTAACACTTGTTTTTTATATTATTATTTTTTGATAAACTATTTTTTTTTGTTGAATAATTATTTAGATGAGTGGTTATTATGATGGCGATTATCAGAGGACCGATAAAGAAGATACTTATAATATACGGCGACACCATTACTCGCCTACCAGTCACTCACCCGTGCAATTGGATAGATATGATAAGGCATACTCTGGCAAAGGTTTGATTGTTTAATATATATATATATATATATAAATAGATATTTAAAAATATATTTAATAACAATATTTATTATTATTAATTACTTATCGTTTTTTTGTGATTTGATTGCAAATCTACACAGAGAATAGACAACAGAGAAAATTAGGCCGAGTTTTATATGACTTCCAGGCGTTGGCCAGCCGTGAGTTGTCTGTGAAGAAAGGAGATCTCGTTCACATTAATCGACCCAAAGATCATAATTGGGTTGAAGTGGAGGACACATACAGCGGACTAATTGTATGTTTAATGATAATGACATTCAAAAAAAAATGATTTGTTGACTTTGATAACATATTATTAACTTTTTTTTAAAAAAAAATCTGTGTGTAATAATCCCTATTTATTTTGTTTGAAAAAAAAACTGTTAGGGTCTGGTGCCGCGCACATACCTCGATCTAGAACAGGAGGGTTTCGCAAAAGCCAAGTTTGACTTCATCGCCAAAACTCCTGTCGAAGTTTCATTCAAAAGAGTGGGTTATTTTTTTTTTAAAATAAAAATAAAAAATATTTTGAGTGAATAGTAAACTATTTATATATATATATATTTAAAAATTATATACCAATTATTATAAATTAAATTATAGGGAGAAAAGTTGACTTTATTGAGAAGAGTCGATGAGAACTGGTATGAAGGAGTCAATGGTAGACAAGAAGTGGGCATTTTTCCGTGCAGTTATGTCGAAGCTATCAAACAGCCCTTAGGTTAGTATAGATATAAAAAAAAATTCAACCAAAAAAATAAATAAATAATAAATAAAATTACTCAATATGTATGTATATATGTTGTGATTTAATGACAAATTAATGTAAATAACTTTTTAGATTTTTAGTTTGGATTATATACTGTATATAATATTTAATTAATTGAACGAAAGCTTTGAAAAATAGATATAAAAATATTTATTATATACTTTACGGTAATTACATCTAATAAATAGTAGTTACGCTTTAATAATACTGTAGTAATGTATATAAATATATAATCTAATATTTTTGAATGGTTTTAAAAAAAAACTAGATAATTATATAGTTTATTATAGCTTTTTAATGAGTTAATTAATTTTTAATTAATGGTGTTTAAATGATTTGTTGATATGTTATATATGCCAATAGTATACTGTATAATAAACAAAATAATTAATAATAGATATTAGCAAATAATATATTGCTTTTTTTAAACTACTAATGCTTATTAATATTTGATATGTTTGTGTTATGCATTTTTTCTCTAATACAATAGCACTTCGACCTAATAATCAGATATTATCTCCGGTTCAGTCTCTGTCACCACCAGAACAGCAGTCAGTTCCGGGTCTTCCTCGAAGGCCTGAATCACCCATTTATGTGAATCACCAATCGATGCCTAACAAGAGATTTGATCCGCATTTCAGCAGACATTCAATCCGGACTAACGTTAAGCCTATGTTATATAAAGTGATGTATCCATACAAACCACAACAATTGGATGAGTTAGAGTTACAGCCGGGAGACCTGTTAATGGTGACCATGCAGTGCGACGACGGCTGGTTTGTCGGCCGATCGACCAGTTCGGGTAAAATCGGCACATTTCCCGGCAATTATGTCCGACAACTCTAACTATCTAAATAAATAAATATATATAAATATCTCATTGATTTTAAAAATATATAAACATCACATCTCTCTCATAGTTGTTATTAAATTTTAAAAAATTAAAAACAAATTGATTGACAATTATATTTGAAACGCTAGTCTTTTGAAACGCTCTAAACAACAAACAGTAAATTTAAATTTAAAAAAACACTAATTAATTAATGTTTTTATTATTGATTTATAAATTTAGATATAATAACAAATTAAAAAAAATAATAATGAATTGTATTTGATTGCCAAAGAATTAATTGTTAAATAATATTATTATAAGTTGTTTTGTTTTGTTTGAAAAATAATGTCGATTAATAATAATAATAATAATAATTTTAAAAATATATATAATTAATAAATTTCGATGAAACATTTATAGACAATTATTAATGAATTTTATTGACAATTATTTTTCAAATGAGACAATTTTTTGATGATAAAAAAATCTGACTATTTTTAAGTTTGTTTTTTTAATTATTACTAATTTTTTTTAGTCGAGACTTGTATTGAATGATATTATAAATTATAATTTATAAAATTTAATTTGAAGTTTATTTTTCTCTGAATAATTCAATTGATTTGTTAATTGTTATTTGAAAATAGTTTTTATTATATATATATATATTTGGAGATTTTATTATTAATTATTATTAATTTTGTTGTTATTGTTGACTTTTGACAGGTCGACAGCTATTCATTTATTTATATATACAGTATATATGATTTGTAACATAATTATTACAATTATTACAATTTTATTTACTATTATCTATTAATATGATTATTATTATTATTTAAAACACTAATATACAGTATATATATATAATAAAACAAATTGTAAATATATATAATTAACACTATTTTTATTTTTGATCTAAGTTTTACTCAATAAACTATAGACAACAGTAACAAAAACAAAACTACTGAACAATGATTGCCTCAATTTATAAAACTAAACTATAATTGTAATTATGTTCAGTGAATAAAAAAATCGCTCATTAATTGTTTGATAAGTCGATAATTATTATAAAAATAAATAAAATTGATTTTGAAAATATTAATTTGATTTATTATTTTTTTTTAATTACAAATTTATTTAAATCAGTTATAATATATCATTAATAATAATAATGTTAAATAAATTTTTTTTTTGATAAATGATAACAAAAATACAATAATTATGAAATACAGTATTTGAAAACTAAAGTGAAATACAATGTGATTATTATTATTACTGTATTATTATTAATGGATATACTTTTCCATAAACTTCTTGTGAAACTCAGACCTGAGTGTGTCGTTAATAAATGGCTTCTCTTTGCCTTCGGGTTCACTTCGGGCACAGTTCTTGAAGACCACGTCCTCATCCCAACGGCGCTTGACTTTGAACTCTGTTTTCGTTGAATTCAGTAATGGATTGCCACTCAAGATGTTCTCCATTCGGATCCGTTCTTCATTGACTTTACGTTCGGAATCACGTTTTGCTTCTTCCTGAGCTCTTTCCCGTTTAATTCGATTCAATTCGGCCAACAATTCCTGAGTATCGTCTTCCGATTCGTCTGAATCGCTGTCATCGGAGTCGTCGAGCACTTCGTCAGCGTCTATATTGGCATTTGTAATGGCCTCGAGTCGTGGCTTCTTAGTTGCCGACGAAATGGAAGCACTGGACGATCTGATGGCTGCCGACGAAGTGCTGGCAATGGATCCACTAATAGATGCGGACGAAGACGATTGACCTCTTTTGTTGTCCTTTTCATTCAACGCTTTTCGCTCTCTTTCTTCAAGTTCTCGTCTGAAGTCCTTGTCTTTGAGCTCTTCATTGGTTCCCTGACCTGATTGTCTGAATTATATAATAATAATAATAATAAGACAATTAATAAATAATTGAAAAAAAGAAGAAGTGGTCACAAAAAAAGTGATCAATTGATTACCGATATTTGATCTTCAGATGCGATGGCAAATCACGGGATGAGTACTGTTTGGAGAGTGCGCTCAGACTCTTCTCTCCCCTACCGGAACCACCCTTTGCCGGTTCAAAGGTCGGTCGGGCAGCGGTCGTCATCGTTGGTCACAAAATCAATCGGATTATTGATAGACACAAACAAATGGCAAACAAATTATTGTAAAATATTATTGTTTTGCTAAATGTGTATTGCATTCAATGTAATCACACATTTGTATCAATAGATGGCACTAACTATTGAATACATTGATATTTTTTTAGTGAAGATTCATTTGAATGCATTTATTATAAATTTAAAATTTATTAAAACTAATTATTAGTTAAATCATAACAATTAAATATATTGTAGATATATTGTAAAAATTATTTATAATTATTTGCTTATTTAGAGATTAAAATTGCAAATTAATAATTGCAAAATTAAAATAACATAAAATCAATATATTATTAAATAAAATAAATATGTTTTGCAATTAGTGTTTAAGTTTAAGAATATTATTATTATTCAATAATTGTTTAATAAGTTTGAATTGCAAACAATTAAAGTTAATAATAAAATCTATAAAAATAAATATATTTAATTAATTGTTTAATATTATACCATATTTTTTATTAAATAAAATATTTTTCGTTTAATTATAATTATAAAAATAGTTAAGTTGAATAATTAAATATAGTTGATGTCTATTTTGATAATTTACGAATAAACATAATGCTAAAATAATTTATCATTTAGTTTTTAAAAAATTTAATGTTCATAAATAATATAAATTATAATATATATCGTATGTTAAATAAAATTGATAAAACTTGGCAATGAATAATCGATTATTAGCTATGATTAATATAAATTTTATAATAGTAAAATAAAATTTATTACTAAATAATAATTTGTTAACACTTGGAAACTTAGTAATAAAATTAAAAATAATAAAAGTAATTTGTTAATTAATTAACAAATAATCTACTAATATATAGGTTATGTATTAGGCTTTTAAATATTCATGAATATACTAATAAATGCATTTATTAATATTCAAATAATTATATAAAAAAATTTATCTAAATAATTATTGAATTTAACACTAATAAATAAATGATAATGAAACAATAAAACAAAATTGTTGCAAAAAAATATTATAATTATTGCATAAATTATAATTATATAGTTGCAATATTTTATCATTAATTGCTTAAAAATTACAATTAAATTTTTATTCATATTATATTTAATTGTTATAATATATTATAGTTAATAATAGCTAAAAATAAAGTTGTCTCTGAAAAAAAACTATTAATAATTTAATGTAATAATAATAATAAATTTAATATTATAATATTATTAATTAGTTTTATTTTAATATTAATGTAATAGACCTATTTATTTATACATAAAAACATTGTAATAATTTTATTTTGTATGTATTTAATAAATCAATGTTTTATAGTATCTGATAATAAATTCATCCATACATTTGATATTTATTAATAAATCACTTTTTATGTGTAGTAGACATACATAAAAATTTTTATAACTGGATCACTAATGAATCAGTCAATAAAACTTTTTGAATTATAAATATCATATATTATACAAAAGTATTTGTACTGATTTTGCCATAAAAAATAACATTTATATTGCTTTATTTTATTTATTTTTTTAAATAAGCTATAATTTATTTAATGTTATCTTCAAAAAATGTTATACCTTTAATTATTTAGATTTTCAATAGAAAAAAATATAACTTTTAATTCAACGAATTAATATTAGTATATAATTTTCAATTGAATACATATTATTGTTAACATTTTATGCAAATAATATAAAAAAATATTGTAACTTATTTTTGATTAATAAGTTGTTTGTTTGTTTATTATTATTTTTATTAAAAAAAATGTTTTCAAACTAATATTTGAAAGTTTTAAAGGAAAACGAAATACTTGTTAAAACTAAGATTTAGTTCACAATTTCTATGCAAACATCATATGTTTTTTTTATTGTTGAATATAAACTCTCTTTTTTAATTTTATTGCTAATTGTATGCAAAATTAGTTAAGATTTAATCAATAATTTATAAAAAATAATAATAAGTAAAAAAATTTTAATAAGTCACACATACGCTATTTACACAATGATTGTTAAATTAACCATTAATTTGACCGTAAATTTTTAATACAGTACTAATAATATTGTTGAATTGATGGCAAATTTAATGAATATTATTATTATTATTATTACAACAAAAACTTTATAACAATAATTGTAATAAATTTTAGGATTTATTTATCAACAGTTTGTTATTTAAACTTTTTTTCTGGTTGTTGATATAAATATTTGCAAACACACTACTATATTATTATAATATTATAATCAATATTTATTTAGTAAACAAACTTCAAAATATTTTTTTCTAGCTATATATTGACTATTATCATAATATTTCAAAATCTAAATTTTTTTTAAAGTGGTTTACAATTGATAATAACAAAAGAAATTGTAGTCAAATAAGTGTTATTATATTGAATGAGATGCGCTTTTTTATCGTTTTAAATAAAATTGTTTTATTATTGTTTATTAATATTTTTTTTTATTATAAAAATATGATTTTTATATAACTTCAAGACCACCAATGGCTTCAAAACACACATATATATAGTGAAAGTTTGTCCCAAATTTTTTTTTCAGTGAATTAAACAAGAATTCGGGTCACAAAAAACATTGGCTTTTTTCACTGATAATTACAGTCAAAATAAAAGCATTATATAATTATTATTTTTAATACAAATGTATATTTTAGAAAAAGTTTTTATTTTATTTTATTTTTTTGACTTTATATAACCTTTGACATAATAATTTTATTTATCATTTTTATACAATTATTATTATATACTTATCTATTGTTTGCAAATTTTCAATTTGCCAATCAATACAATTGCTTCACTTATTGTATTAATATATAATTGAAGTGATTATTGAAAACACTGATGATTATACTGTATATATATATAGTATATGGGTATATATTTTTATGACTTTTTATATTTAAAAAAAATTAGATTTTTAACGTTGATAATAATTATAATTAATTTTATTTACACTATAATTCAATGATAATTTTTATTTGATAAATTAATTTATATACATATATATATTGTTGATTATCTAATATTAAAATAACTGTATGATGAACGATATGATTCACTCACTTAACTTAAAATAATGAGTGTTAAAACCCATTGAAAAATTAACAAAAAGGTTAAAACCTTGATAATTAATACTATAATTAACATAATGTGTTTTTTTAATATTAAACTAATCATTAAAAATCTAATAATATTTTTTTTAAATGTTTAATATAATATATAAAGCATTTGTTTTATATGTAAAAAACTTATTTTTTTATAAATATTGTCTGATATATTTAATTTGACCATAAAATTTATTTCATAAATGAAATGATTAATTATCAATATGACGATTACGTTAATTATGATTTATTTTATTGTTTGTCATTAGTTTATATATTAGTAATAAAAAAATATTTTTTAAAAACTTCAAATATTTTTTTTTTTGTGAATAGCTTAAGGTTTTTAGATTCACTCGATATCTGAAACCTTGAAATTTTTTCCTAATATGTATTTATTATAATGTATTATAAAATATAATACAAAAATATTATAATAGATATACTCATAAGCTATATATATATATATATATAAATGTTTTTGTTTGTAGTTAATCTGCTTTTATGTTTTTAAGCAATTTATAATTTTGAAAGAATAAAATATATTTATTTTTGTTAAAAATTAATTTCTAGACATACAAAAACAATTTATCAAAATATATTTATTTATATCATAGTATGTTTAGACCATAGGATATTTATATGGATTAATATATTGTATTACCAGATACTATACATTTGACAACAAATACAATAATTTATGATAATGTTTAATTCAACAACAAAAAAATTAACATTTACTATTTAAAAATAGCTCAAAAATATTATATTATAAATATTTTCTAAAAGTATATAATTTATGATAATATGCAAATTATAAAACAATTCAAATGCTAATTTTTTCCAAATATGTTATGTATATATATATAAATATCAGAGTTAAGCAAGATTTTCAATTCTAAGGGGAGGGGTATTAGATGGGGTAAAATAGCAACAAACAAATCTCATAGATATTGGGTGTAAACTTTTGTTGCATTTTCAAACAAAATTCCAGAGGGGATCAAATAAAATATCCCCATAATTTCCCCCAATATTCCCGGAATATTTTCTCAAAATAATAATATTTATTTCTTTGTTACTAATATTGAAAAATTAGTAATCATTTTTTTAATTTAATAATTTAAATCAAGTGAGTTATAAATTATATTTTGATTTAGTTAGCAAATCTTACGCTTAATTTTAATTTTAACATTTTTTAAAATAATTTTTAATGACTTTATCTTATTTACTGCCCTTTACTTGCTTAACCCTGCTAAATGTGTATAATAATAATAATGTAAATTTTATTTATATATATAATTTTTAGATGATTAAGCCTTCAGAGAAATATATGGTTTTATCGTTAAATAAGACATTAAACAATTCACACATTTTTTTAAAAACTTTCTACTATTTTAAATAATAAGCAAAAATTTAATTTACTAAAAAAATATTGTTATACTAATTATAATATACAATGGATTGCTCTACAAAACAGTTTACAATAGAAATACTAAAATTTCATAACATTTTATAATAAAATATATTTTTATTTGTTTTTTATTTATTTATTTTTTATTTAAATTGATAATACAATTGAATTTTAGAATTTGTTTCTGAAATCAGTTTTTTCTTTATTTAATTTATATCTAATGATAATATAAAAACATTATTAAAAATCATTAAAAATTAATTTTGATTAAAAATTTCTAATTTGACTAATATATTAAAATTAATTTTGTTTGTCTAAATAATTATATTAATTTTCTGTTTGTTTGTTTAAACTGTTCATTAATTAACATTTAATTTGTTTACTATTGCAACACTGTTTGCATTACTATATTAGACTCGTTTGCATATAATTTATATTATGTAATCAAATTTTTTGTTGTTTTATTGATTTAGTTTTTATATTTTTCAATCATTAGTTTTTATTTATAATTATAAGTATATTAATATCAATAATTTTTTAATATATATTTTATTTTTTAACTAATTAATAATAAATTTTTAATAACATATAATTATTTATATAAAAACAAGTTTTAAAAATATCATATATTTTATAATTGAATTCTGAATAAATAAATATTTTCAATGAAAACTATTATAATAAAAATTATCGAAAAATTATTTTATCATAAACTTTTAAATAACATATGTAAAAGTTATTAAATTTAAATTATTAAGTGAATTATGACTTGTTTTCAATATGAATATATTAAATAACTAAATAAAAATATTTACTATATTTATATAATATGCAAAAAACAAGTAATATTTGTCGACACCTATGGCAGTCATTATACATACATACAGTCAGTCAATGAATAGTTATTAAAAATTTTATATTTGAAATAAAAATTTAATCAAATAAAGCAATGTATGCCTTCTTAGGTTGAGATTGAAAATCATGACTATCTGTATGTATGTGTGTGTATGTGTGTGTGTGTGTGTCTATGTGTTACATAGTTTTTTACAGTTAGAGTTTAGTAGGACATGGATGCCGTCATTGCCTACAAGCGCAGGCCGTCCGCCAGTTGCCACCCAAAACCGGTCCGCCAAACACACCGACAATGCAATCATCAAATTGCTGAGAGATTTTCACTGTTGAGATGTGTAATACATTAATTGCAAATACATTATTAGTATGTTATTCACTGTATATTAACATAATATGAAAAATTACTTTCACTGACAGTTAAGTTTTTTTGTGCTCTTCTAGTGGTGTCTTAATTCAGGAACTAATAATCAATTCAATTGAAAAAATCATTTTTTCTATGAAAGTAAAAGTTTTTTATTATTACAAATATGTTTTATTTGTCTAATAATTTTCACTCATCACTGCTTTTAAACTAAAAAAAATTTATATATATATTTATTGATATTTTTTGTTTGTTTGTTTGTTTGCTGTGAAAAAATTGGGCTATACTTGAAATAAGATGACAAACATATGATATGTGAATATTTTAAATATCAGTTTGAGATCAGTAGTAACCCATCATTATTTCATTAACTTTTTTCAATCATATATTTGAATCAACAATTTTTTACTGTAAATATGTTTTATAGATAATAAAAGTAATAATTTTAAAAATTTTATGGTGATTTTTTTTACAAAAAAAACTCACTTATATTAAATTAACTAATTTATAATAAAATGAAACTCAAGTTTCAAAAGTGAGTGAAAGTAATTTTTAAAATTATTTTTAATCTATTTTATAATTACTTTATTATTTTTAATGATATATATATTTAATAGTAACATATTATATATTTTTAATAATATAAACAATTTATAATAAATTATTTTTAAAAATATTAATTATAATTTTATACTCAAAAAATAACAAATAGATTTTTATAATAACATTAAATAACAAATTGTTATTACAATAACATGTTATTATTGTATATTGAAATTAAAATTTCGTGTTAATATCATCAATAAAAAAATTGATTGTATTAAAATTAAAAATATTTTATTTTTTAATTGTTTTGTATCATTGAATCAAATTTATTTTAGACAAAATAGTATCCATTGGTTTTGGAGGATAACTGTTTGGCTGATTATAGCAATCAATGTATCCATTGATACTCAAGAAACACAACAATTGCGTGCAAAAAGAGCTTTAAGGATATATAGGCGTCAATTGAATTCAAATGATCCAAATGTATTGTTATTATCCTAATATATATTTTCTCAAAAAAAACAATTTGTTTAATTGTTATTTTATTGTCATTTTTTAATTTTCAATTTTCAATGCATTTTTTGCTGCTTAATTGTGTTCAATTACAACCAACAACATAATAATATCAATAATAATAATAATACTAATAAAGTTTGCATCGCATGGTTATGATGTTCAAGACCTGGATATTAGCGCCAAATTTCGTTACCCCCGGTTCTCGATGCCTAAGATTGCCGGCGAAGATCTGAGGAAAGCCGTCAGTATTGCTAATGAAAGGGTTAGAAAAAGACTGGAAGTGCTCGAACCGCATATATTTTCAAATGGTTTGTTATATATAAATATATTTATTTAAATTTATTTGCATATATTTTAATTATTTTTAACTTCAAATTTATACAAACTATTTAAAATTGTTAATGTTTTTTTATTCTTTACTAAATTAATGCTAATATAATTTATTTATAATTTAAAACTGTTAATTAGTAAAGTTCTAATAATTAATCTTATATACACTCAGTATATTAATATATGGGGATATTTTAAATTTTTAAACAAATGTATAAATTATTATTATTATTAAGTTTAAATTTTATGTAAATTATATTAAGTAGAAAACTAGCAAAACTCTCAATAATAATAAAATAATAAATACAGTATACAATTAATAATAGTAAAACGATAATATGATATTTATTTATATATATATATATATATATATATATATATAAGTATATTAGTCGACAATAAACTTATAAATATTGAAATGATTGTCTTAAAAAGTCATTAATAAAATCAAATTATTTATTTATTTATTTTTCGCTGAAAAATATTAGCCTTAAGTGTTAATTCAATTGAGGAAAGTGATGAATAAACTGTGAAAAAACATAGAGCAGACATACAGTAAAATTAAATAGTATTTTATTATATCATATTTATTAGGTTATAGCCAGTCGTGTGGATTATTGTCATGTATTTGAGTCAAGTCATGCTTTTATGGCATATGATTAGTATATCAAATTAATAATAATATTATTATATATAAATTTATACAGTATATTGTAATGTTAAGATAATAATACTGTAGTAATATGTTAAATAGCTACAGTATAATGTCTATGATTATAATTTTTTAAAAAAATATTGACATACAGGTGCCATACAGACACCGGGCTCTGTGGGCTGGTTTGTGGCCGCGTCGGCCAAAACCAAAGTCATTGCCAAAAACTATTCGCGTTCAGCACTGATATCTGAAGAAGCGACCAAACTATTAGTCAATAAGTAATTTATTAATATATTAATTATATAAACAATATATTATAACACAAAATTATTATTTAAAAATATATATATATAATTATTATGATTATTAGATATAAATTAGATGAAAACCAAATAAGCTATGGTTTGCCAACAATCGATGTAAGAGAAACAATATTAGGCAAAGAGTGTCTCCAACCGCTTGTCTCTCATCCATGCTATCCGGGAAAGTATCGGTCGTATACCGGACACTGTAATAACGTACAAAATCCCGAGTGGGGTAATGCTAACACACCGTACTTACGAGTGCTTACAGCCGACTATTCGGACGGTATCACCAAACCACGTATCTCAGTGACTGGCACTCAGTTACCAACAGCCCGTGAAGTATCACTAACGGTTCATATGGGCAGCGATAGTATACATTCACAGATGACAACGTTGACCACATTTTTCGGTGAATTTATATTCCACGACTTGGCCCACACGGCACAGACAGCCGGACATAAGGGTCATCGGATTAAGTGTTGTCATCTGAAAGACCAGCAGCTCAGACATCCCGAGTGTTTGCCAATACAAGTGAAAAGTGATGACCCAATAATGGGTCAGTTAAGACAAGATTGTATTGATTACGTGCGCTCATCCACTGCTATTAGGACGGGATGTACGTTAGGGCCACGCGAACAGATTAATCAAGTAATCAAATTTTTTTTTATTTTATGTCATTTTTATAGTCCATATATGATATAATATGATAATGTATTAATGAATATTTATATAGTGTCTTATCATATAATACTATAATAAAAGATTTTTTTAGTGAACTTGAATTAGATTTGGGGTCAGATTAAGTAATTAGTAATTATAGACTCATTTACTACTTAAAGTCCCTTAAAGAGAAAGAGAGAGAGAGAAAGAAATATCATATAATTTACTACCGGTTATTAACAAACAAACGGTTATTAAATTTGTGTAAATTATGGTGCAATATAAAAAATAATAAAATTTCCATATTTATTATTATTATTTTAGAAAAATTTGTTATTAAAAACAAATATAATGTTTGACATAATTAGAAAGTCTCTCTCTCTCTCTCTATATATATATATATATATATATATATATATATATATATATATATATATATATATATATATATATATATATATATATATATATATGTATTTATTGATAGTTTAATTGGGCCATTAGTTTGTGAGAAAAAATTATTTATTATATACAGTAGTTATTATTATACTTTACTAAATTGTAAAAGACTATGAAAAATAATAATAATAAAAATATTAATAATATTGAAAAGTCATATAAATAATTTTAATATAATTTAAATAAAGTAACGATAACTCATTTTTATTTTAATTTTTAAAATTTTTTTTATTTATATTTTTCTTCATCTTCATCATAGGTAACCTCATTTCTGGACGGATCAGCAATTTATGGCTCATCTGAAGAGGAATCGCATGATTTACGGAAGTTTATTGGCGGCGAACTCAAGACACAGGATATGTCAGACTCAGGTATGTATAGTATTATTAATATTATTAACTAAAAGAAAAAAATATATATTTATTTTCAAATGTATTGATGCCATCATATATATACTGTATATTTTGATATTCAATTTATTGGATTACCTGTTGAGAGAGAGAGAGAGAGAGAGAGAGAGAGAGAGAGTTATGTTATAATATTTAATTAGTTAAGCCTTTCTACTTAATCGTGATTGTAATCAATCAAAATTTATTATTTATTATTATTTTTTATTTTTATTTATTTAAGTTGATAGCTATTAGTTTTATCATCAATATTACTGTAGATTTTTTTTGTATGTGTAATATAATGCTATCATTGTTAAACTACAGTAATGTTAAATAATAATTTATTATAAATTTTACGAGTGTTTCATATATTAAATTTTTTATATTTATGAGATGAGTTGAACAAAAAATAAATTTTAGTTTCAATTTATCAAATTTTTTTATATTATATTTTTATTTTCTGTTTGTTTTGTTTACTTTAATACTTTTCCTCAATTTTTTATTTGGATTTTTTATTAACTTTTGACTAATTAATGCTACTTTATATTTATTGCTTATTATATATCATATCTTTGACTTAATTTTTTATTTGTTTAAGTCAATCAAACAAACAAAAAATAGTTTGTAATATAATTTAGGATAAAACGTTACTATTTAAAAAAAATAAAAAATACAATACTAGAAATATTTTTTTTTCTGTAAAAAATGCCTTTTATTGATGCAATTGAAATCAATTTTATATTAAGATTATATAATAGATAGGAAAATAATATAATTTTTTCCTTAAATTAAAATCAAATTAGCATTAATTATGAATATCATAATTTTTTTTAAACAAAAAATACTGAATTTATCTGTTAATTATTGATGAATACAATAAAATCTTGTTTAACACAAATTTTTCATAAATAAATAAAGAGAGTGTGTGTGTGTGTGTGTGTGTGTGTGTGTGTGTATTCACGACTTTCAAATTAAATGAAATTAAAAGTTATTTTTTTCAAATACAATTAAAAAACTAGAAATGAGTTCAATAGCAAGCAATTGACCCGTAAATTACTTTTTTGTGTTTACAATATCTTATAATATTGTGTAACACAGAGGACAGGTATATATGTTAGACTTCATATCTGTAGTTGTCTGTAGACTACATCAGCTCATCATCACTGTTATTATAGCTTACCATTGTATGTGTGTGTGTGTGTGTGTGTATTATATCAGTATATTATAATACGATATGTAAGTAATACAGTATATTAAATGATAAGTTTTTTTGAAACATAATATTATATTATTTGCAAAAGTCTTCCTCATTAAGTTCATCATTGCTTTTCATTATATATTAAGTGAATGAACAGAAAGTAATAGTTTTATAACACAAAAAAAAATACTTTTATTATATCTTTTGTTGTCTTCTTTTATTTATTGTATTATTTATCAAAATTAGTCCAATAAGTCACTAACACTGATGATATATAAAATAAAATTATTTAAAAAAATACAATTTATTTATATAACAATTTATATTAAATATATTGTTATTTATTGTATACTGTAGTCTATCGTATAATATGATAATAATAATAGACTTTATGTGAAAATTATTAATGGATTGCAATTAATATTCACAACTAATTGTTATTACTAATTATATTCAACACATTTAAAAAACATTATTACTAAAAACATTTTCATTTTTCTTAAAATAAATATATTTATAAAATCTAGTAAACCAGGAAATATTTATTAATTTTCAATTTATTTTATTTGTTTTATATTTTTTTATTATACATCATATTATTAATACATTAGTTTTTATATTAAGGAATTTATTCCAATAATTTGTATCTAAATAATTGATACAACTATTCAATTATATATATATTTGTTAATATAAAGATTTGTTTTTAAAATCATGTAATAGACTAAAAGCTAAATTATAGGTCATCATTGCTATTTGTATTGTATGTGTGTGTATATACCGGTATATTATATAATAATTTTATTTGAATAATACATTATATATATAAAATACACAATTGAATTGTATTGAAAAAAGAGCTATTATATACAGTATTATTTTTAATGACTTTATTTTATTAGGAGATATGAATTGACAATTTTATTTGTTTTGTTTCTCATTATTTTTTAAATACATTTATAATTTAGGCATAAAAGTACGCGATTTGCTACCTGAGCTCACAGATAACCTTCAAGACTGTAAGAGTTCCGGAAGAGCCCGTTGTTTCAAAGCGGGTGACGTTCGGTAAAATCAGATAACATTTATTATTATTATTATTACAATATAACTTAAAACAAACAAAAAAGACAATTAACTAAAACATTATATAATAGTTAATAATAATTAGTGACATAATTATGACAATAACAAAAAAAATCATTAATTTTTAGGGTAAATGAAAATTTGGGACTCACTATAGTTCACACGCTATTCATGAGAGAGCATAATAGGATTGCCCGACAATTGCGCCAAATTAATGGTCACTGGAATGATGACCAACTGTTTGAGGAAAGTCGTCGGATATTAGTAGCCGAACTCCAGCACATCACTTACAATGAGTTCCTGCCGTCAGTATTAGGCCATCAGATGATTAGCAAATATAATCTACAATTGTTGACCACCGGGTTCTTCAAGAACTATTCGATAAATCAGAACCCGACAGTTGAGAATGCTGTGGCGTCGGCTGTTTTCGCTTTTATCTATACGGCTGTTCCGCCAAATATGGAACGGTATTCCCAAGAACTCCAGAATCTGGGTTCACTGAAAATGGGTGAATCCTTCTATGACCCTGGTGAAATCTATAGGAACAACAAATTTGATGAATACCTAATGGGTATGATCAGCCAGAATGCCATGGGATCGGATCCAGTGGTGACCAGCGAAATGATTAACGCCATTGTCAACAACGAGGCACTGGATTTGGTGGCACTTACTATACATCAAGTAATTAATTAGTGTTGTCTAATTTTTTTAGGACATAATTATTTTTTAATTGTTACACAATGTTAGGGACGGGATCACGGTTTGGCAGGTTATACCCAATGGCGTAGAGCCTGTAATATAGAGCCAAATGTTGAAGAGTTTAGCGATTTGGCAACAATTATGAAAAGCGATGCAATTAAAAAACTATCAAAACTTTATGCGTTTGTTTCTTAATATTATTATTATTATTGCTATTTTAAAATTATAGATATCTTTATATTAATCTAATATCTATAAAGGTCTGTACACGACATCGATCTCTTTACCGGTGGATTAGCTGAAAAACCAATGAAAGGTTATTATAACTGAAAATTTATCAGTTAGTTTAGTAACTGTTAATAATCCATTGACCACTGTCTGTACGGGTGTTTATACCTATAGGTGCAATGGTTGGACCAACATTCGGCTGTTTACTTGGCAGACAATTTTATTTTCTTCGTACAGGAGATAGATTCTGGTATTTAATTATATTTCTGTCCATTAATATTGTATAACTGATTGTTTTTTTTAATATAAACATATCGATTAGGTATGAAAACGATTTGCCACCATCTGCTTTCGCCAAAGATCAATTGGATGAAATACGTAAGACATCGTTGGCCCGAATTGTCTGCGATAACGGCGATCGTACAGACTTTGTTCAGCCGTCGTCAATGATAGCGTCGGATATATTTTTGAATGCCTTCCAGTACTGCAGCACCGGTACCATCGACAACGTTGATCTGAATAAATGGAAGTCCAATACCAAAGCCAGTCAATCGATGCCACATATTAGCAAAAATTTATTAATTGGTGAATTGAAAAGAGCTAAACGAGAAGTACAGAGTTTAAGAGAGACAGAGATGGATGACTTCATGAAGAATAAGGGAGTGGCCGCACCTAACAGTCCTCAAACACGACTGTCGGCATTTGTTAGACCTAAACGAGAGGCTCAGTTCATTAATAATCAGTCACTGGTGTTAGAGTTAACCACTAATGGTTTGGTAAACTCTTTGCTGCGAAACGGCAGAGACAGAGAATCTGGTCGTTCCATACGTGAAGAAATCGATGATTTTGTACAATCACTGCCACAGATGGATATCAATGAAATAGTAGAAAATCAATTGCTAACCAAAGAGAGTAATCCACTTTCCAAGTGCTACGAGTCGAGTGTGCCGTGCGATCACACGACACCATTCCGGTCGATCAGCGGGTGGTGTAATAATGTTAATAATCCCGAATTCGGTAAAAGTATGCGTGTTTTTGACCGTCTATTGCCGCCGGCCTACGAGGACGGCATAAAAGCCATGCGAAAGCGGGCCAAGTCTGGCAAACCACTACCGTCACCACGACTTATCTCTACAACTATTCACGACGATATCAGTTCACCGCACGTCAGATATGTAAGTAATGGTAAAAACCATACCATACAGTTAGTTACCTGTGCTGTACTTATATACAGTAAATTATATGTTTAATAAATTCACTAAAAAATAAATAAATAAAATATTTATGTTTAGGCGTTGGCAACAATGCAATGGGGACAGGTAGGCCACAAGGTCTCTCAATGTGATAAATACGGTAATACTCACCAGTGATCTTCTATTTTCATATTTTTTCAAGTTTCTCGACCACGACTTAACCTTCACACCCATGTATATGGGGGCGGGAGAGACACTGTTAGACTGTAAGGACTGTTTATCAAGAAAGACGGTACACTCGGAATGCAATCCAATACCGATACCGAAAAACGATCCATTTTTTCCAGCAATCGACAAAACTACCGGTGCTAAACAGTGTCTGCATTTTGTTCGGTCGCTCAACGGCCAGACCACACTCGGGCCGCGCGAACAAATGAATCAAATTACAGCCTATTTAGACGGTTAGGGCGTAAAAAATTAACTAAATGTTTATTATTAAGTTATATGTGAACCATTGGTTTTTTAGGATCAAACGTTTACGGTTCCGACATATGTGAGGCCAACAGTTTGCGCACATTTCAAGGCGGAAGACTTAACACTACCCGACATCCGGTCAACGGTCTCAAAGATCTGTTACCGCAAACATCGTTAAATATTGAATGCAAAGCTCCGTCGGGTTATTGTTTTAAAGCAGGAGACATGCGGGCCAGCGAACAGCCAAGTTTGGCGGGTATGTGGAGACAAGAGATTAACAAAAAAATATATACAATTTTTTTTGAATCAATTAATCTCAAAGTATTTTTTCAAAAGGTATTCATACGATGTTTATGCGACAACACAACCGACTGGTCGACGGGTTGGCTAAAGTGAATCCTCACTGGAATGACGAACAACTATATCACAACGGAAGACGAATATTGGGATCAATTTCACAGCAAATCAGTTACGGAGAGTTTTTACCACGAATTATAGGCAGAGATAATATGCAACGATTTGGTCTGAGCCTACAGACCAACGGCTATTACCGCGGTTACGATCCCCAGTGCAGTGCAACCATTTTCAACGAGTTTGCCGCCGCTGTCTTCCGTTTTGGACACAGTCTATTAAAACCACATTTTGAAAGACTCGACCGTAACTATCGATCGTCAGACGAACCGTTGACTTTGAGGACTGCCTTCTTTAACTCGGATATGCTTTACACGCGTTTGTATTATTATTATAAATATATATTTATTTAAAAAATAATTATTTATAAATTTTAATTATATATATATCTATTGTATAAATTATTAATAAAACAATAGGCAATGCTATGGATAATATAATAAGAGGCATAGCCACACAAAGTGCCGAAACACTGGATCACGCCATCACTGAGGAAGTGACTAATCATCTGTTAGAAGATCTCAAGAAACCATTTTCGGGAATGGATTTAATTTCTCTAAATGTTTGTTTTATATATGTTTTTTTAATTTGCTTTAATTAATTGATTTCATAAATTTGGATTAAACAACAACAACAACATATTCAGATACAACGAGCCCGAGATCATGGTATACCACCATATAATGAATACCGACGCTTATGTAATCTAACAAAAGCTAAGAAGTTTGACGACTTGTTGTCGGAAACACCAAAATTTATTGTCGAAAGATATAAGAAAATCTATGAGTTTGTTGTTTTTATTTATTATTATTATTATTATATTTAAATTGTAAACAAATTATCAATTAATTTTTTAATTATTTTTTTAATCTATTATACAGAAGTGTCGATGATATCGACTTATTTTCGGGAGGAATACCCGAAACTCCAGTTCACGGAGGAGTTATAGGACCGACGTTTGCCTGTATTATTGGTATGCAATTTGCAAGAATCAAGAAATGCGATCGTTTCTGGTAATTAACAAATCATTGGGGGGTTTCATATTTAACACCATTTCTAGACCTAAATTATTATTACTACTGTTATGGATAGGTATGAGACATCGGATCCGTTCATACGATTCAGTGAACAACAATTGGCGGAAATCCGTAAAATAACTCTTTCAAAAGTTTTGTGCGAAAACAGCGACAGTATTGATACTATTCAGAGACAAATCATGGACTTACCCGACACTTATCTGTTTGTAACTGTTTTATCACAAGAATATTCTGGTTATTGGTTTTTTAACATTAATTATTGTTTCAATAATATTATTTATAAAAAAAACAATAGAAATCCGCGACTTCCGTGCGAATCGATGCCAAACATTGATCTAATTCATTGGCGAGAAAGAGGTAACTCTTGTATTGTCAACAATCGGGTTCTGGCTATCGGTCGGTCCGATCGGCTGTCGCCGTGTGTCAACTGTGTCTGCACTTTTGAAGGGGTATATCATTTGTAAATCAGTGAAACAAATACAGTATAATCTATAAATATATTATTTTTGTCCTCAAAAAATCTCCCAATTGTTAGGCCAAATGTCAATCGTTACGGATAACCAATTGTAACGACTTGTTTGCACAGTATTCCCGACAACAGGTGCTCAGCGACAGTGTCTGCAAAGTCCAGTGCGCCTTCACTTTCAGCCAAAACATGCGTTCCTCACAATCCAGAAGAATATCCACTATATTTGGATTCAGTCAATGATTTATTAGTAGTTTAATTAATAATTAATTAATTATAAAATTCATTATCCCATTAATGATATCATCATTCATTTAATGTTAAATAATTATTATATCATCTTTTTGTTTGTTTGTTTGTTTTATCGATTTTTTTTGAATGCCTTTTATTGTATTATTAATTATTTAATTTTAATCATAAAAATAAATTGAATCGTGAATTATATATAAATATATATCTGTTTTTACTTATTATAAATTAAAATTTTAATAACTATTTCATAAAGTTATCAAACTATAGAAACTTATAATAAATAATTAAATTATACAAAACAAAAATCCATTGATTTTTCAATAATAAATTTTATACAGTAGTAGTTGTACTGTATATACCGTATTAAAAATCTTTAAAATACATATAACATGTTATAGACATTAAAATATCATCAAGATAATTTTAAATACAGGTATATATATATAGGTATATTTAATTACTATTTTTTTACTACTAACTTAATAATTAAATTATTATTTTATTAATACATTTATCATAAACTCATTAAATTTTTTTTAAAAAACATTACTATTTAAATTAGTTTATCTTTAAGTAGTTTACAATAATAATAATATTTGTGAGAAAAAAAACAAGTATTGAATTTAATTTATTATAACTGTAATTATTACACAAAAATATTAAGTCAATATATACACATCAATTACGTCAACCAATACATTGATACCCAATGATAATCATAATACAATATTGTGTATACAATTAATTGATCAGACAGTGTGTGTTTGTGTGTCCCCTTTATGACGTAATTTATGTTGACATCAATCATATGTGAATCCATACGTCATTCACTTATATTTTACTGAAAATATTATTCAATGGTTTTGTCGACTCATTCATTGATCGCATCACTCGTCGGACCAAAAGATTTTTGAAAGACTTTTAACAATCAATTTGTTTATTATCGGGTGATTGCAAACCATTGGCCAGTTATTACATACACACACATACAGTCTTATGATGTCCTCAAGCGCTTAAATAAAAGAAATTATGACCCAATCGACGCCCAACCCGTTTACCGATCTGTTGGCCTCAATGGGTGCCAAACAGCTGACACCAACAGAGGTCGCCGATCGCCAAATCAATGACCTCTTGGTATCGATATTTCGCTTTTCGGTCGATAAATCTGTTGCCGCCGATGATGATGGAAACGGTTCTACGATTGCCGTCAAATGCGTTTCAATGGCCGATGAAGACAGTGATGGCAGTAATAGGCTTTCATTTGATAATTTGGACCAATTATTGTACGAAAGACTAATGTTGGCCGACATCAGTAAATCGGTGATCGATTACCGACTGAACAAAAATGTCACCAATTATTTGTCCTCTGCTACCGACGGTTGCGAGCAAAGAGTTCTACACTATCTGTACGATTGTTTTGTCAAAATCGAGACCATCCGTACCGACGACAGTGTGGCCGCTATTGCAACCCAACAGCGGATCCAACTGAGAGACACTGTGGTCAACCAATCGGCTCTAATTCTGTCTCACCCAGAATTTGATCCCAATATCGACGGCAGTAACAAAAAAATTGCTCCACTACTGGATCTGTTGGAAGATATTGATCAACATATTGAACATAAGCCACATTTGAAGTCATTTATAGTTCGCGTTTTTGACCGAATTCAACAAAAATTCCAGTCCGGCGATGAAGAAATTACAACAGTTATGGCTCTCAAGTCTAGCTATGATGTCCTAAATGAACGATTCACCCGAATGTCTCTAATGGATTCAAGTCTTACACGAAATATCGATTTGTTGAACTATTTTGTCTTAAACGAGAATACATCTAAAACTTTACTATCATTGAACGAACCGGACACCCGATTAGTACCGATAATGTCCAATCTCTATCAGAACACACTATTCGGTGCCCTCTTAAGCATATCATGCCTTCCGCGACCAATGGTTCCCAATTTTGAGTACTTTCTTGAACCGTCACGTTTCTCAAAACACGAACACAAAATGACCGAAAATGGTTTGGCCTTTCGGCTCAATGAGATCACCAAACAGTTTCATAGTTTGTTTCACTGTCTACTCAAACACGACCGCCAGCGGGCCATCAACTGGATCGAGACGTGTCTGCACTCATTCAAAGATCGGTGCAAAGCCTGGACTAATGAGATGATTATGATGTCAGGGAATGCTAACAACTCTTCTGATGGATTTATGCTAAACTTTTCGACAGTTTTGCTTAAATTTTGTAAACCATTTTGTATACCATTGAGCGATAAACTATTGAAAGTTGATCCACGCTATTGTCGTCTGAAACAGAGCGGACATCTACCGTATCTGACGATCATTGCTGAAGATTCGTTTCTAATGCCTGGCGAACAAAGCGAAATAAATGGCGACAACTTTGAACCGAATTTTATGACTCAATGCTTTGTGGCCACACATAAGGCTCTTCATCTGGGCTTTCGTTCAGTTCACGAACGGTTCATCAAATTGGTACAAGACTTGAACCAAATGGAAGGCATACTACGAGATATGGAGCAACAGTCAGATCGATCAGATATGGCCGAACAGCTCAAGAAGCGATTCGAAAAAGCGATGACACAGTTCCTGTCGATGAAGTCCATGCTATCGGAACGCGAGTTCACTGAGATGGCCATCCAGTTTCACATATCAACTGCCGTTTGGCTAAACAATTTGGCCATAAATTCTAACGAAACAGAAGCGTCAAAAGGATTCAAAGAGATCTTACCGCCGATTTTGCGTGACTTTGACTCGCACTGTCTTAAATCGGTTCCCGAGTTTATAATGGAAAATGTGTGCGATTTTATAATATATGTCCGACGATTCAATGAGGAGATGCTGGCTCTGCCAACCATTGATTTAAGACCATTGATGACACTTATAGTCATTTTTATGGGTTCGTCGAATCGCATGAAAAATCCACATTTGAGAGCAAAGTTGGCCGAAATGCTAGAAGCGTTGATGCCTTACGAAGGATCAACTCATTACACGATGAGGTTTGATATCAAATTAAAAAAAAGATTTCGATTCCAGAAATTTATCTTTTAGAGCCAACACTCAGCATCTCTTTACTAGCCATCCATTGAAAAGTGAATTAATTCCAACACTGCTTCATGTGTTTGTCAGCATTGAAATATCGGAAGCAAGCGGTGAGGCCAGTGTGGCCTTCGAACAAAAGTTCGGTTATCGTAGACCAATGTATATCGTATTGAAATACCTCTGGAACAGTGCCGAACACCGAACCTGTGCCAAAGAGTTGGCCGACTATGCCATCAACAATATGGAGGCCATTACTCCGCCACTGTTCTTGCGTTTCATTAATTTGCTTATCAATGACGCCATCTTTCTTCTGGACGAATCGTTTGTTTATATGCAAAAACTTCGTGAACTCCAACAACAGCGCGATTCTGGCGAATGGAAAAAACTAACGGCTCAACAACGACAACAAAACGAAATGAATTATCAGCACACCGGCCGTATCGCCCGATTTCACAACATTATCGGCAGAGATACCATTCATACGTTGAGTTTTATTACCGATGAAATCAAGACAATATTCTGCGACAAAGCACTGGTCGATAGGGTGGCAGCGATGCTCAACTATTTTCTTCATCATTTGGTTGGACCACAGAAACGAAACCTCAAAGTCAAAGACTTGAACCAATACGAGTTCAAACCGAAAGATATTGTTCACGACATATGCAAAATGTATGTCAATCTATCAGCTCAAGACAATCAAAAATACAGGCAATTTTGTTTGGCCATTGGCCGCGACGACCGAAGCTATTCCAAAGACTTGTTGCTATTGGCTTCCGATGTGCTCATTAAGTCAGGTTTTGTTAGTTTGTCAACCGATACCACAGCGGTTGGCACTCTCATAGAGAAAGCATTACAATATCAGAGACGTATGGAAGTCAACTACGACGACGCTCCCGAAGAATTTATGGATCCAATTATGGGCGATATTATGGAAGATCCCATAATTTTGCCCAACTCTGGTGTACGCGTCGAGCGCTCAACTATTCAACGACATTTGCTCAGGTATTTGACATAATTATTATTAACAGATAACTGATTATAACTTTTGATATTTGTTGTAATAAACTCAGTGACCAAACGGATCCGTTTACTCGATCTCCGCTAACAATGGATATGGTAGTGACAGACAGTGAACTCAAAGAGCGTATCAAAGCATACAAAGATACGAAACGCAAAATCAGAGATCAAACTAATAATAGCTAAAATTAATTAATATATTTAATATATACAATATATATATATATATATATAACTAAATTGTTTGTCTTTTAAAAAAATATATTTGTTTTATACTACTATTCACATGTCAGTGATGTTCACAATATTCATGAGATAATGTGATATATTTTAGTAAAATTTTTTTTGTTTCGGTGTCCTAAAAAACATTATAATAATATTTATGGAAAATAAACGAAAATTTAAATGCAATTACAATATTAATAGAATATTTACCGTAAAGTCCATGAATTAGTGAACAAATGACTGACTGACTGACAAATGTGTATAAAACAAGAAAAAACTGTTTACATATTGTATTCATATTTTATAATACACTATATATTTGTAATAATTATATATATTTTATAAAGAAATTAAAATGAAATGAAGAAATAGATTCAACGTCTTCTTGTTCTCTTTGTTTTGGTCACCGAATTCCTAGTGCTACGAATTTTTTTACTCTTTTCTTGCTCTTGTTCTTCATCTTCATTGTCGTCGTTGTCAACTTCATTCACATCATTATCGTCGCTGTCGATAACCATTTCATTTGACTGATTTGATTGACGATCATTGATTTGACTGCCCTCACCATCACCAGTGGCAAACTGTTTGGAACAATTGGGACACCGGTTGTTCGGTATGAAGTTAGCGTCACAGCAGTGGTTATGCAATTTCGTATCACAAGTGACGCAATTCTGCCCGCGAACACAAAGTATTTTGCACCGGAAACAGTCCTGTAGTCCAAAGTGATCGCGAAGATAGACATTCATCTCAAGTAGTGTACGAACACCCAATGCCACTCTTCCGTCGTCGATTTCATCCAACCATTTCTCTCGAATCCATTTGTTGGTCACCCGTTCGGCTGCTGTTATAACCAATTTGAGTTCGTCGTCGCGACCAATGTTCAACATTTTTGTCGAACTAATCGACGAATTATCGCTGCCGACAATGGCGTCCACTATTTTCCTAAAATACAGCAAATCTTTTTGCGACCAATTGGTTGCCAATCGTGTTACTTCCGAGTCGGCCGTATTGATAAGCGCATAGTATATCGAGCCATCAGTTTCATTGGGTCCGCGGCTAATCTGCATATGGAATGGCTTAAGCATTTGGTTGACCCGTTGAACAGTTTGCGATACCACTTCTGCTGACACAACCGTTTCAGTGATTGTGACTTCTTCTTCCGATGTGTTTTGTGAATTAGCTAATGACAAGAAGTCAAACAACATTTATTAATGGCCGACATATGATATTCATATGAAATGACAGACAGACAGACAGACAAACCTGAGATACAATTAGTGACCAATTTCTTGAAATTGTCTTCAATGACACACTGTCTCCACATCATCGCCTGAATTATTAGCTTTTCGGTTGTCATATCTTCAGTATAGAAGAGTAACACAACAACAACAGTGTTGTTGATGTCTGTGTGTGGAAAAGGTATGAATGAATCGGCGGTTAATTTTCAACTTCAAAATGAAGTCTTGAATAGCATTTGGCGCTCAAATGAAAAAAAACATATATTTACACCATTTGTTTGGTGTGTTTATGGATACTATTGTACTGTATGTTAACCAACAGTACAGTAAAGCATACAAAATACATGTAATACTGTGAGTGTACTGTACTATAGAGTTGAATGATAGCAACACTTAAATTATGGTTTTTTTTTGTTTAATTGTATTAATAATTTAAGTAATAAATATAGTAATAAATAAATAAATATTTATTACTAGACATAAATGCATACAAATTACAACAATAAAAATATTTTCACAAACTTTTTTACATAATTATTTTTAAGCATACATTGAAATGTTTTTTATCAAATCTTTTTTTTTAATGTCAATTATACTGTAATTTATAAACTATTAATACATTACTGGCAACTCTAAGGCAAATATACTAATAATTAGTTTTTATTTTAATAAATCAAATAATTTAAACCTTAGGTAATAATAATGTGTTAAATAATTTGAAATATTATTATTGTTAAACAAAATGTCAAATTATAATTATCAAATAAAATTTGTATTACATGTATAAACTCTCATATATTATTAATAACTAAATATTCAACAACAAAAAAAAGTATTCAAATTTAAATAAATAAATCTCTTTTATTTAAGTTATATATTAAAAATTTATAGCATTTAATCAATTTGTCCAATAAATTAGTTGATCGCAGTCTAAATATATATAACTATAAATTTTTTTTTAGTTTTAATACAATACTGATGTCTACAGTAATTAGTTAGTTATTCAGATTAGTATAGCATTAATAATCAATTATTATTTACTGATCTGATTATAATCATTATAACTGTACTGTTATTACTAACAAAAAAAACAAAAATATCGATACATATTAAATATATGATTACTTTTATAAAGTGATTAAACAATCAAATGATGAGACGATAACTTTAATGTATAGAAAGATTGAAATTTAAAAAAAATATACTTTTAGACCAAAAATATGAGTGAAAATGATATGAATAGAAAATGAAAGACAATTAGAAAAAAACATATTATAAGTCAATCCTTTTGGGATCAATCACTTTTAGTGGCCCTAAAAAGGGCCGTTTGTGTGTATCCACAAAATGTGTGATCATTTTGTTTTGTTGGAAATCCATTTATTTGGATGCTTTCGCGGGTTTCTTGGCTGCCGCTGCCTTTGGTTTGGCTGCTGCCTTCTTCACCACCTTTTTCGGTGATTTGGCGGCTTTCACTGCCTTTGCCTTCTTCTCGACGGTCTTCTTGGCCTTTGGGGATTTGGCTTTGATTGCTGCCTTCGGTTTGGCGGCGGCTACAGCTTTCTTTGGCGACTTTGCAGCCTTGGTTTTCTTGGCTGCCGGCGCTGCGGCCTTCTTCTTGGGGCTGGCCTTTGGCTTAGCGGGAGCCTTAGCCTTGGCTGGTTTGGCGGCCTTAGTGGTGGCGGACAGTTTGAATGAACCGCTGGCGCCCTTTCCTTTGGTCTGCGACAGTGTACCGTTGATGACAGCGGCCTTCAAGTACTTTCGGATGAATGGCTGTAGACGATCGACATCGACCTTATAATTGGCGGCGATGTACTTCTTGATGGCCTGAGCTGATGAACCGTTTCGCTCTTTCAGGGTCTTGACAGCGGCAACAACCATCTCGGCGACCGGTGGGTGACTGGCCGGTGCTTTCGGCTTTTTGGCCGCAGCGGTCTTAGCCTTTTTGGCCGAAGCCGTCTTTGATGGAGTAGTGGTGGCAGTGGTAGCTGTAGTTTCAGTCATGTTTGCTATTTTGTGCGGTACGGACACAGAGATAATAAAAACCTTTTGGGATCAAAATAAAACACTGAATTAGTCTTTAGCGCCAAACGTCAGTCGCTTTTATAGCTCTACAGACAAACTGATGTCCAAACTGAATGAACCAATCAATAGACAGTACACTACATACCAGTGCTATAGTTATACACTAAAATACATACAACAGTGTTGTGTTGCAAATACAGTGCTGCCATTGGCTGGTGATTTGGACACCAGTTTCTGATTGGTTTGTGATTTGGACACCAGTTTGCAGAGTATATAAAGAGAGTGACAAACAGTCAGTCATTACATTCATTCGTGAAGTCTTTTAGTTTTATAATTATTTGAAAGTCTCTCTTAAAACTCATACAATGCCTCCGCAACCGAGTGGTAAAGCCGTCAAAAAGGCCGGAAAAGCCCAAAAGGCTGTCAGAGCCGGAGACAAGAAGAAACACCGAAAGAAGAGGAAGGAATCCTTCTCGATCTACATCTATAAGGTATTGTATTAATGATTGACTTGGAATTGATCCCAATTTTACATCAATTGTCTAACTCATTGTCTTGTATTGTATCCATAATAGGTGTTGAAACAGGTCCATCCCGACACTGGTATCTCATCCAAAGCCATGTCGATCATGAACTCGTTCGTCAACGATATCTTCGAACGTATCGCTGCCGAGGCTTCACGTTTGGCTCACTATAACAAGCGATCGACCATCACTTCTCGGGAGATCCAGACCGCTGTCCGACTTCTATTGCCCGGTGAATTGGCCAAACACGCCGTCTCTGAAGGAACAAAGGCTGTGACCAAATATACCTCATCCAAGTAAATGGATTCCTAAGACCACATTGTGTCCCAACAAACGGCCCTTTTTAGGGCCAAAAAATGATTGAACTAAAGGATTGACTTATTTTTGATATTGTCTTTTGATTGTTGATTATTATGTGATCTCTTTTTTTTAAAAATCACTTATTTTTTATGTGTATTTCATCTGATTTTTAGTCATTAAAATAAAACATATTTTTTGCCATTAAATTTAATCTATTAATTGATTGTCTTTTGTTGTTTCATTTGGCGCCTAATTTTTTTTCATGTCTATTGTATTCATTATACATTGGATGGCAGTATTTGGCGGCACCGGTAGTAATACATTACTGTACAGTTTAGTAGGTGTTGTGCCCATACATACTGTACTACTGTATGTGTGCCTCAAGTCATGTGCACTACTATTGGCTATACTATTGAATTGTTATGAAAATTGATTTATGATTTTCGTATAATTTTTTACCTCTTCCTTTGCATCGATGATCATAAACAGTAACCATTTGTGTCTATTAAGACATTTGATACACAGTAGTTGTCGTCACCACAATCGGCGACATCCATCACTGCATGTATGTCGTCGACAACTACTATCAACAGTGGTTAGCGTTGACCGCAACAACAAAAGTGATGAACAAATTAAAGAAGAAGTTATTAAAATACCGAAAAGGATTGAAAGGTTTTGTAAAATCGATTTCAAAACTAATTGATTGATTCGCTCTGTCTTTTGTTAACAGAGGTCCGACCGATATATTGCGGGCGTTGGCCGGAACCGTTCAACGGGTTTGTAGATAACTTTATGCATTAGAGACCAACTAATTGAAAATAAACTAAATGATGTATATGTTAAATATGATCAGGACTTAACTGGTCCCGACTATCGTTTCGTTGACGACCCGTTTTTGACACCACTTAGCAATAATCAAAAGGTTTTTTCTAGTCTTTTGAATTAACGATTGATTGACAATAATCCTATAATTTGTTGTCTGTTTTTAGCGCCTTTTTTCATTGTCTCGCGAATCGGGCAAACGTGCGGCCAAATACGTGTTCGATGAGTTCCCCGAACTATTTATTCGGGACGTTTCAGAGCCGAAGATCGACGCCTTCACATACAAAGAATTGATCGACGAGTCTGTTGTTGTCGACGAGATTGATATACTTCAGTGTATTGCGCGCAAAGAGGTTAACAATGCCATACAATGTTTCAAAAATATGACCAGAGATAAGAAGCCGATGAGTGCCGAAACTGTACAAAAGCTATTAGAATTAGTCTGCTTTTACAACTGCGATGAACCGCCAGATATGGACTTTCTGGTTGAGAAGAGTTACGCCGCCGGAGAAGTGAACAGATCGGCCAATATCTGGAAAGACAATGGTTTTGCCGAACAATTGTTTGCATCGATTGAACAAAAAACTAGTCAAACATATTGTACACTAATCCAGGGTTTAGTCAAGTTTTCGCAGTCAGTAAAGGCCGACCATTATTATAAAGAAGCGAAAGAATTGGGACTCAAACTGAATATCGAGACATACAATGGACTCATAAAAGTGGCGCCAATGCTGAGAGAGTCATCTGACTCGCGTTGGCTATATATGGAGGATGTGTTGAACGACATGAAGTCGTGCGGAGTCAGACCTAATTTACATACAATGAATAATATGCTTGAAGTGGTCACCCGATTCGGTGCAATAGGCTTTTCGCATAAGTTTGCAAAGAAGATACTAAGCGAAATGGTCAACAAAATGGGTATTGAGCCATCATTGGCCACCTATTATCACATATTGAATGTGTTCGCCAAAGACAAGAGTCCTAACTTTCCTATTCTGTACGAAATTATGGATAAAATTGATGGCAAAGAGTTTACAATTTGTGACCTAAATGATGGTATGAATTGTTTTAATTACCGAATTTATTTATCGGGTAATTATAACTATATATTAATAATAATACCCTATATTTGTCTTGTAGTTAACTTTTTTACGACTGCAATGTTTACCTGTCATTCAAAATTAAACGACAAATCAATAGCTTATAGAATACATCGATTGTATTCTTTGGGAAAGAATTCAAAACTAATGGGAAACTTCTTAAATGAAACCAAATATTTGTGAGTTTTGTTTAAGAAAAAAATAATTTTTCGTTTGTCGTAACATTTGTTGTTTGATTTTTTTATAAAAAATTAAGTCAAAGATTTTGTCGCATATTGTGTGCCACTGAAGATGTCGACGTTTTTATGACCGACTTCTACGACAAATATGTACCAAACGTTTACATACCGGAACCGACAACTTTCTTAGAGATTCTGCAGATGATTGAACTGTACGAAGCATTTCGTTATCTACCAAAACTGCGGGAAGACTTTAAAAGTTTTGATTACCGTATAGACCCACATATGCCCTCTCCTGTTATTACAGACATTCAAAAAATACTTGAATTAAATTAATAGTTTTGGGGGTATTTGATAATTCATTAAAATCAACATTTGGTAGGGGGTGGCTATATCTCACTTAGTGTCCCACATTTTCACATATAACCCCTGATGGCCAGGGAGGGGCTATATGCGGGTCTATAGGATACATTGATTATTGGTGAAAAAATCTACTATTAATAAATTTAATTAATAACGACGGGAATTGATTAAATGATTATTTAACTAAACGTTAATTGTAAAGAAAATTATAATAAAAAGATTCGATATATATTATTACAAGACTAATATCATAATGATTTTGCAATTGAAATACCCTAACCTTATTATAACCTTAATATTTATTAAATGACTTAGAGCATTTAAATATTAATTAAAATCATTTATTAAATATTAAGTTTTTACTAATTTTTTTAGTTGGCCACTCTAGTTACGTATATTACAGCATCAATTCGCCACATATGAGGTCTGTTCGATTATATTCAAAACCAAAACAATATTGGCCACACACTAGCACAGTAGTGTATACATTTATATATATATATGCGCGCAATATTAGTGTTTAATGCTTAGGGACGGAGCATAGACAGTGTTACATAGTTATTATACACACGATTTTATTTGTATGTATATATATATTAAGTGTAATCTATGATATAACTATGTGTTTGTGGTGCGTCTACTATTGTTTTGGTTTTGAACAGTTTTATACAGTACAGTGCAATACAAATGTACTGAAAAAAAATATTTTTAGTGCCAAATGTTAAGCCAACCCATAGATTACACGTCAATTGAAAAAACATATATTAATATTCATATATACTGTATATGACTCGTGTATCTCTCTCTCTATCCTATTATAAGCACACATATTGTATTCATTTATTTAATTTAATATTAAATTTATAAATCATTTTTATTTTTGATTACATAACTATTTCTTGTGAAAGTGATGGCCGATTCAACTGTCGAAGAATTAGTTAACAAGATTAACGCGACGATTGGCGAAGCCGTAGTCAATGGCACCGATACCGAAAAGCCGAAAGCCACGACCGAGGGTATGCTCTGCGCGTTTGCCAGTCTAATGATTATGGCATTGATTCCCATTGTCATCGGTGCCAAACGATCAGTTCATTATCATCTGAAACAAAAAGTAATTGACTGACTGATTGTTATCACCATTTGATTAACTTATTATTATTTTTGACAGGAATCGGGCGAAAAGCCGGAAACAATGACCAGCAAAGATGCGGCAATGTTTCCGTTTATAGCCAGCGCTGCACTCTTTGGTCTCTATCTGTTCTTCAAGGTTTGCCATCAATAGTTTATTTTGTTTTTTCTTATATCAATCCAATTGTGTCTTAAAATGAATCAATCATTTAGTTGGGATTTGTTGTGTTTTTTTCTCGACAAAAAAAATCTAGTTTTTCTCCAAAGAGTACATCAATCTATTACTGACCGGATATTTCTTTTTGTTGGGTATCCTCGCATTAGCCCATTGTTTAAGTCCACTCGTCAACCGAATTCTTCCCAAACAATTTCCAGTGATTCCTTATCATCTGATGTTCAATAAAGGCGCCGAAGAAGAGGAACCCGAGTCGCTGATTGACTTTCGTTTCGATACCCGAGACTTTGTTACAGTCGGCCTCTGTTCGGCATTCGGAGTCTGGTATCTCTTACAAAAAGTATTTATTCTTTTACCTTAAGATATTATTTGTCAAAACTATTTTTAAACTGAATTGAATGTATTTTTTTAAAAAAAGCATTGGATCGCAAACAACATCTTTGGTCTGGCCTTTGCCATCAACGGTGTCGAGTTATTACATCTGAATAGTGTCAAAACTGGTTGTATACTATTAGGCGGTCTATTCTTCTACGATATCTTCTGGGTATTTGCCACTGACGTTATGGTCACTGTTGCCAAGTCTTTCGAGGCACCAATTAAGCTGATCTTTCCACAAGACTTTCTAGTTAATGGTGTCTATGGGACCCAATTTTCGATGTTAGGTTTGGGCGATATTGTTATTCCTGGCATTTTTTTAGCACTTTTATTAAGATTTGATGTCAGGTTAGACATTAATTTTTGAAAAAATAAATTCCGATATCTATTTCTTTACCATTAAATAAATCTGTTTACCACCAAAACTATAGCCAACGAAAAGGAAATGTCTATTTTAATACATGTTTTGTGGCCTACATATTGGGAACAGTGTCGGCCATGTCTGTGATGGTCTACTTCAAACACGCACAGCCAGTCCTCCTCTATTTGGTACCACTTTGTATCAGTTTTCCATTAGCCTTGGCTCTGATCAAAGGCGAACTCAAGACTCTCTTGAGGTTTGGACATTGTTTGATAAAAAAAAGTTTTTTTTATATATGATATGATAACAACTTTTTCATTTTAATATACTAATAGCTATGAAGATCATCCATCTGATGACAAGAAAGATATCATCGACAAAAAGTCTTCGACAAAAGTGGCAAAGAAAGCACAATAAGTTTTGACAAAAGCCAACAATAGTATTAAAATAATAAATTAAATATTTATATCTTATATTGTTTTATATACTGAATATTTATTATCTATTTTTGGCGATAAAATACAGTTAATTATTATTATTATTATTATTATTGTCATTTGTTATGCATTTTGTTTTTAAAAAAAAATTATTTATTTTTAAATTAAATAATGAATTATATTTACCGTAAATTAAATAATTTTATTAAATATTCAAATAAAAAGTTTTATTTCCCTTCCCCCCCCCAAAAAAAATTGATTGCATTTTTTTATTGCAATCATTTTATTTACAAATAAAAAAAACCTTTAATTTATGGGGCGTTTTGTATGTTTAGTATTACACTGTGTTTACAATAATATACACAATGTTTTTGTTATGAAAAAATATTGTTATATTTTATTATTAATATAATAATACTGTAATCCCATTGAATCGCATATAATATTGAATTGAATTAATTGTTTGTTTATTAATTAAATTGTAAAACAAGTTGTAATCCAGTAATTGAAATGAAATGTGTTTTTTAATAAACAATTTAATTGTTTGATTGATTGATTGATTGACACGTGTTTTAGTGATCTTTATTTTATTTGTATTGGTGTCACCATTAAATTGGTCCATCAATATATTTCAATTGATATGGAGGTCAGTATTTTTAAAAATAAATATATGAATTAATTGATGAAATAATAATTGGTCTGTGATTTGTTGTGTCCATCAAACAGTCTTCGTCGTCGTCGTCGACCAATCGTTTCGCCGATAGTGAAGACCAACCGATTGGCGACACAAATGTTACCGATTTGTTAGCCAATTGCCCGAAGTGGACACTGAAGAATGACTTGGAGGTATGATTTTAATGGTTATATATAGGATATGTCATGTCATGTCAGACCAGATTTGTTTAGTTTTTTGTTAACTAATAATTATATTATCATATGTTTTGTTTGTTTGTATCATTTGATAACAGCTTTTAACACATTTGAAGACATTAAGTAATAAATTGATTACAAGAACCGAAACAACCAACCAATCAGTCAATTCTCTAGTCTTTAATTCAAAGGTTTATTATAATAATTATTATTTATTTGTAATACTTGTTGTTATTATTTGATGTGATATTTGATCTGCAGATGCATTGCGTAAAAGTCGATAACGCCATCAATGAGTTGCAAATGTTAGCCACTTCTCAGTTCGTCGAAAACCGTGTTTACGACGAAGCCATCGAAGACATTGTTGCCGTAAATAGTGTCCAAAGTGATGAACATATTGTTCAGAAAACTACTAAAGAAGAAAATGATATTTTACCGAAAATCAAAAGTGCTTTAAATATTGGATTAGATTTTCTTTCTCAACGGTTTGATAGTATCTCACAACAAGTGCCACAAAACGATTCCGACGACGAAAACGATCAGATAGTCGAAGGACTTCTTTCGGACACAACTAAAGATGAATATTCAAAACGATTGCTTCCATATCTTATTGGTAGCCAAGAGTTTTTTAGCGACAACTATGTAGGACTTGGCGATGATATCGAAAGTCCTACTACTGTCGATATTATTAATCCAATCGATGATGATCTTCAAAATGAAGTGATTAGTATTGAATCAACATCTGATGATTTTGGTGCTGTTGTCGTCAGATCAAACACTATTGTTAAGGGAACTGATTTGATTGATCACAATCTCAATGATAGTGATGATGAACCAACTGATATCTTTGGGACTATTCATCAAAGTAGAGCAAACCATGCGAATCATAGGCTTAGCAGTGATGATAACGATAGCGATTCTAACTTATTTACCACAGTCTCCGCTGCCACCGTCACAACCACTACCACATCAACTAAAGAAGTAATAGAAGATAATGATAAAGTGATTGAACCGAAGAAACCAACATTTTCATCATTTCACGAACAATTATCGGCAGTTTTGTCTGCAAGAAATCCAGATGTTCGACAAAATTCTGTCATCAGTGATGATAACGAGGAAGAGGTGGTGAAAGTTAAATCTAAAGAATCAATTGCTAATAAAATGCCAACAAATCAGACATCAGTTGGTTCGGACTCGGATACCAGTGATAGTGATTCGATATTTAATGTGAATAAAAATAAACCGCAAATTGAGAAAAAACCGAAACCCAAACCCAAACCTAGAATTCAATCAAAATTATTTGCTAACGACAGTGACGACGACGACTATGCAGATGAAGGTATTTTTGATAAACAAAAAATTAGACAACAAATAAGTGAAACGTTAGCTAAACCTAATAAACCTAAACCGACTACAAGTAAAATAACGGCTAATTTGTCGAATATTTTTAATGATAATGAAGATGACGAAGATGTGGACGACTTGTTCAATAGCATTACTACTAATCAAACTGTGATCAAACCTAAGACCAGAACAGTTGTTAGCAAAGTGGTGACAACGGAAACACCAAATATTGTTAGTAAATCAGATAATAATAAAAAGTTAGATAAAGTTCTGGTAATTAATAATAATAAGAAATCACTGTTTGATGACGACTCTGATAATGACTTATTCTCTGTGATCGCTAAGAAAGATATCAAAACAACAACAAAAGTTGTCGACAAATCACACAACAATTTAATTGAAGAAAAAACTAATTTGTTTAATGATAGTAACAATGAAAATATAGTGAAGAAGAAAACAGAAAAAATAAAACCAAAAGAAAATCCTCTTTTCGATGACATTAATGAAATTAAAACGAGTGATAAACTTGAAGAAGAAGAAGAGTCTTTAGTTAGAGATAATAGCAAAAAACAATTGAAGACCGAAGAGAAATCGATTGTCAATAATGTTGATAAGGAAAGCAAAAAGTCTGAGAAGAAACCATTGATATCTAAGTCATCTATTTTCGATAGCGATGATGAAGAGGACGATCTCTTTAGCTTTAAGAGACCAACAACTGGTGGGGCTATTGATGTCAAAAATAATATCATCAAAAAAGATTTGATTCATAATTCAATAGACAATGAATTTGGTATTAAAGACAGTAGTAATTCTAAGTTAAAGACAACAACAGATTTGTTGGACAATAAAGTTGGACAAAAAATTGACAGTTTATTTGCAACTATTCCTCAAAGTGTGAACAACAATAAACAAACACTTCATTATTCGAGTGAATCAACTGAAAGTGAATCCAATTTATTTAATTCATCGAAAAAAGTCATCAGCAGTAGTGATAACACTGTCAAAACTGAACCAAAACCAATGATTTCTTCTACTAAACCATCGAAACCTTTGTCCATCAGTGACGACGATGAAGACAACGACCACGAGATTACTAACAAATTACCGACACAGAGATCTTTGACATTAGACTCGGACAGCAGTGATAGTGACTCAATATTTACCGCTAATAAGACTCGGCTGACAACGACGACAACTGCAGCCACTAAGTCGCAAAAGTCTATTAATTATAGCAATCTATTTAACGACAACAGTGATAGTGATAAAAATGATAATGAAGTGTCCATTTTTGGCGACGGCGGCAGTAAAGTTGGCAGCATACAGGTTATTAAAGTCGAACAGAAAGTCATCGAACATAAACCTATTATTTCGACCAAACCGAAGACCACAACAACAACCGTTAACAATGTATCGGCAAAATTGACTAATATTTTTACTGAAAACGACGTGGACGGCGGCGATGGTGCTGCTGATGATGACGATTTGTTTGGTAAACTCAAGAATAATATTATTTCCAAATCAAAGATCGTCGAAAATGTGATCTCAAAACATGTCTCGAATGATATAGAAAATAAAAAATCTGAAAAACCGACAATTGTTAAGAAATATTTGTTTGAGGATTCAGATGAAGACGATCTGTTTGGTGGTAATAATATCAACAAAAAAAGTCATAAAATCAAAGAATCTGTTGTTATCGTCGATAAAGAGCTTATAGTTGAAAATACTGGTAATAAAAATAGCGAACAACTCAATAAAATAACTAAAGAGTTTACCACTAATAATAAGTCACAACAGTCTGGTACTGATGTTGTCACTGACGATGACTTTTTAATGAACAAACCGATCGCTACTTTGGCTAACGACGGCCTTAAACACAAAGCAATGCTCGCATCGAAACGCAACAGAAGACCGCCATCGATGAGATTAGCGAAACAAGAAGAAAGACCGCCAGTTGTGGTCATCACTAATAATAATAAAACAAACTCGAGATCTTTGTTTGACTCGGATGACAACGACGATGATAATAATGGTTTGTATTATAATTAATTATCTTTAGAATCATTTATATATAGTATAACTTTATAATTACGGTATATTTAGATTTATTTTCGGCCAAACCATCAAAAGCTAAGCCACAGATAACCAAACCTAAGCCATCATCTGCTGATACGAAACCCAAAACGGTATCCGAAAGTTCGGATCTCTTTGAGGACCCGCTATTCGCTATGCGTTTTTAGCTATAGATATATTAATCTAATAAAATAGGAAATTGTTTTGTTTTTTGTTTTTCGATTTTTTATAGTTTATTAATGTTTTAATTAAATTTTAGAGATTATAAATGTAAATAACATATACAGTAACTATATATTCTAATTTTAAAATTAAATGCTAATAATGTTGTTTTTATTTGATAAATGTATTTAAAAAATATTTATAATTACGAAAATAGATTTTAGCAAAAAAAAGTAAAAAATAAATAAAATAAAAGCAATTATATTTATACTCTATAAATACAATTAGCTGTTATTACAACACCATTAAATGGCATTAATATTTACATACAATTATTATTATCGCAAAAAATTTTGGCCTTTTCTCAATTTTATGGATTACAAAAATGTCAACAAAAAAATAATTTAAACTTACGATAATTTTATTTCATCATAAAAATGCTATTATTATAAATGAAACAAAAAAAATACAAATATTAATTTTTTTCAATTTGCAAAAATAATAGATAATTTCTATATACAAATGATTGAAAATTTTCCCGAAATATTAATATTTTAATAATTTTTTCCTTCAATTCTCAAAACCGGAGGCTAAATCCGCCGCCCTTTGAAGCTTTTCCGTGATCCGGTAGAGTCATATGAAAACCTTGGCTGTTGCTGTCGGTAACCATCAACTTTTCGTAGCCATCATCGCCCAGTTGTTTAGCAAATTGTTTGCCACCGCTCGGCGGTTTCGGACTATGGGCTTTACGGACACCGGCGTTTGCCGATTGTTCACTTTTTGCCGGCCACGTCGGAAACATTGACGGATCAACTGGTAGTGGACTTTCCTTAAAAAAATCATGTTTAAGTGCATCCTCGGCTGTAATACGCCTATCGGGACAGTAGGTTAAAAAACGGTTTAATAAATCGAAACCTAATTTTGTTAGCTTTTGATTCAAACGGTTGTGCATATTATTGTACGGATGATTAGCAAAATTGACTTTTTTGACAAGTGGTAGATCAGAATAGTTTGGCCATATCTTGTCGTTAGGTGTTCCCAAGTCTTTGAATATGGCATTCAACTGATCAATCTCTGACTTTCCCGGAAATAATGGTTTCATTGTTAATAGTTCACCAAAAATACAGCCAACCGACCAAATGTCTATCGGATAGGAATACTGTTTTGTTTGAAGCAGTAGTTCCGGTGCCCGATACCAGAGCGTCACAACAATCGGTGTGTACGGCTTGAGTGGTGAACCGTATTCGCGGGCCAAACCAAAGTCACCCACTTTAAGAATACCCCGATGACTGAGCAACAAATTGGATGTCTTGAGATCGCGATGCAGAATCCAATTGTCGTGCAGATGGGCAACAGCTCGCAACAGCTGCTGCATCAGTGTCTTGACTTCACCCAAAAGGAACGGCTGTTTCATAGTTTCCATCAAACTTTTGAGATCGTGTTCAACAAATTCCATTACTATATAAATCTTATCCATATTAGATCCGACCACTATTTCCCTAACAGTAACAATGTTTTCGTGCTGTGCTTTCAATAGTGTACTGATCTCACGCAAAGAAGTGATGGGAAAACCTTCTTTTTCTTTCTCCATCTTCAATCTCTTGAGTGCAACCGTTTCATTAGTTCTCTTATCTCTGGCCCTATAAACTACACCATAGGTTCCCTCTTCGATACGATTTATACATTGAAACTCTTCGACACTTCGACAACCCTGTATAGCTGGGAAATAGTCGGGCAAATCATCTCTGCCCACTACACCATTGTTTGGCGTCAAATCATCACAATTTCTGGAATTATTGACAGCATTTGATTCAGAATAATAGACAACTTCTTCTTCGATGACTATTCTTGGATTTTCATTAACTTTATTGTCAGTTACTGTTTCTACTACTACTTCTTCTTCTTCTTCTTCTTGATCATCAATATCATCATTAACATCGTCATCATCTATATCTTCATACAGATCAGCTCTATTGTGATCACTTACATCTGATTTTGTCCTATCATTGCTTCTCTCAGAGTTCGTATTCTGTTCTTCGCTAACAATTTCCTCTTCACTCATTTCGACTTCTTGTACTTCGATCATCGCTTTGTACTTCTTTGCCAATTGTTTTGATGTCGACGACGAAACAGTTGCCGTTTCTGTTGCTACTATTTCATCATTTTTATCGTCAATTTTAGGCGACGTCTTACGATATCTATCCCTATCGGATGAGCTGACAAATTCTTTATCTCTGTGATGATGGTGTGAATGTGAATGTCTGTGCGATAACCGATGAGATGACGATGAAGAAGATGTCTGTTGCTGTTCATTGCCTTTCATTTTATTCCATTTATTACCAGCACTTCTCTTATTCTCACTGGAAGCACGTTCTTCATCCAAAACCATCCATCGTTTTGATGGTTTCTCTAAACTTTTGCTTCTACTCGATGTTCCACTTATTTCAATATCAATGTCTTCATCCCGTTGTCGGTGTCTGCTATAGTCATCACCACTTTTACTGCCACTACTTTTATTAGTAGTCTCTTGATATCTGCTGCGATGTCTGTCTTTGTCTTTATGTTGTTTAAGCGGCGATTCTTTCGGCAATCGATGCGATACTGACGACGACGACTTGTCGTCCCGGTATGACTCCCGATGTCTCGATGATGATGAATGACTGACCCTATGCTGTGGCGGCTTAATCTCTAGTCCTTCCTCATGAGTCTCGTCTAAGACATCGTCTTCTTCTTCATACTCATACTCTTCTTCTAACTCCTCGCCAACTGACGAGTTGTGTTCCTCATCGGACACTGGAATAAACTCTTCTTCTGGTGTACGCTCTCTATGTCTTCGTTTATATGGTCTTTCTTCGTCCCGATAACCGCGTCGATGGTCTCTCTCTTTCGTAAATCTCTTGTTATATCTATTGTAGCGATCAATCTCTCCGTCTTCAGACTCACTGCTTCTTATGCTTGAGTTTGACATTTGGCTTAACTATCAATCACTTCTTCACTCAGTGATGGATATGACTGACTGACTGACAGTCAGAGCAGTGTCTGAGATATAATCACTTCCGCACTGATATATCAAACCAAAACACATACACAAACATAAAGTGTCACCTCTTCGCTGGCGTTGATCTGATCTTTAAATAACTTTTTTGTTTGAAAATAAATCACAAAACAAAACAAAAAAATAAAGCATTTATTTAACCAAAAAAACAAAAACAAAACAATTTTTATGACACTTGTGTTGAATGACTGCCAATAATAAGTAAATTTCAATCAATTTCAATACAGTCTTAAATTTTATCTAAAAAACAAATCAAATCAATGCTAACCAATCAATTGATTTGATAATACATTTTATTTTTTTAGTACTAAATAATTGATTTGTATTTTAAATTTTAAATTTTTTAAATATTTCAATCAATATTTTACCGGTAATTGCTTTTATAACTAATTAAATATAAACGTAATGTAAATTCAATTTATTTATTACATACACACAATGTATTGCTTTAATAAACATGTTTTTATTATATAAAATAAAAATTTATATAACGTTACTGTATTTTTTGTTGAGGGGATTATAAATATATTTACTTATTATATATACTGTTGGGAGACATTCAAACAAAAAATAGGGGTTTATATTGTTTGTGCCATTTAGTAACGTATTGTATGAATATAAAAGTAATTTATATATACAAAAAAATTATTATATCATAATTAAAACGATTGTTGCAATAGTTTTTTTTGTTGGCAAATAAATTATTATATGGTTTTATAGTTATAGTAATATAAGTAGTGTTTTTTAATTGAATCATTCAATTTGAATGCCAAATAAATTTTTTTGTTTTATTAATTTTATGATTTTAGGCAAATATTTTGATCACATATAATAATAATAATAATTATAATAATCAGCCAAAATGTGTTTATCGTCTACTTTTTATATCTATTATTAAATTTGAAATATTTAGCAATAAGCCAAACACAATAATTATTGCTTAAAATAACCTTTTTTTTAAATTACAGTAAAGTAAAGTATCATAAATGAATTGTAAAAAATAGATATATTAAATTTTAAAATATATCTATAGGTTATTATATAATAATTATCTTACAAAACATTATAAAACTATTACAATTAGAAATATTTTACAAATAGATTTTACAAACAATAGAAATTACTTTAATTTCACATAAATATTGACTGAGAAAAATATAAATTTACTTTTTTTTAATTGATATAATAATTTCTTTTCTATACATAATTTAATTGCAGTTTATAATAATAATAATGTTATTAATATTACTACTATTATTAATAATTTATATACAAATATTGTTTTTTTAATACCGATATATAAATTATAATTTTTTTTTAATAATTACAAGATTAACGTTTTCTGCCCTTAGATTTGGGTCGCGTAGAGCTACCGGAGCTCTCATTGTTGGGCGGTGTCTGGACAACGATATGTCCGCCGGCAATCTCATCGCGTGTTTCATCTGATACTGTCTTCAACTTTTCTTGTGTTTCCAAAAAAAACATCAGATCCCTGACCTGTTCCTGTAAATCCTTTAGCTCTTTATCTTTACTATCCTTAAGCTCTTTGAGCTGTACTTCGGTTTCAGTAATTCTCGATTGCCATCCCATTTGATTTTCCCGAAGACAAGCATTCAATTCTTTTTCCTCTTTCAGTTCTGTCTGAAGTTTGTTCAGTTTGGTCGACAAATTAACAACTTTTTTATCTAAACTTTGCTTCTCTTTTGTAATTATTGTCAATTTCTCTCGCAGTTCATCCCGTTCTTCACATATAATCTTATTCTTTTCAATTACTTCGTCGATCTGTCGGTGAGCGTCTGTTTCAATCCGATTCAATGTTTCTTCGAAATAGTGTCGTTGAGCCTCCAATTGGTTGGTCAACAAATAGGTGTACTCTAACTGAACCGAATCAATCTTTTCGTCGCTATTAAACTGATTGCACTCCACTTCTACAGGTTTTCCGTCTTTGTTTTGCAACAATCGATGGACATAATTATCGCCGGCATAATCCCAGACCCGGTTATTTGATCCCAATTGCATGGCATACGTGTGCTGAGTTTCCTGATAGTGTTTATAGGCGTGACCTTCGTTATAGCGGCCGCAACCAATGTGGCCGCAAATCAAACAAATCCAAAGTGTGTCCTGTTGTGAGGCCTGTGAACCGCATTCAGAGCATCGATTGTCGGGTATGAGTTCCGGTGTTTGACAGTATCGACACACCGGACAACTACTGTCGCCCCACTTGTCCAGACATCCGCTATGAAAGGAATGATTACACAGAATAGTGAGTATACCCTCCACTGATTCGTCCATACGTTCGAGACAAACGGGACAAGTGGGCAGTTCGGTAAATCCGGCCACTGTTAGAACTGATTCTTCAGATTCTTTAATAGTATCGATGTGAGCCACAAACACTATGTGACAGATGTCGGGTTCAATTGAGTTAAATGGGACGCCATTGAAGGCGTTGTAAAATTCATCGGCACTTCTTTGATTAGAGAACTTAATCAAAACCATGTATTGATTGGGTTTATTGTCGCGAATAATCCGTATGTGTTTGATGTCTGAATTGACGGCCGCCGTGAACTGTAGTACGTCATGTATGGTCATTGTCGCCGGAACTGACAAAATACATACCATTTCGCTTCTTTCCGACTCTTCACTCAATGGAGTCATTTTGTTTTCCTTATATAAATGAAGAATACCTTTTGTCACTTCCACAAAATGATTGCCAGAATAAAACTGGATCTGATTGAGCGATGCAATCGACGACAATGATTTCCGATCGCCAACTGGCAAACCAACGGCTCCGTCGATTGTCACTTCGGGCGTCGACTCTTTACTAGACGTCGACGACATCATCGATGTCTGTCTGGACATCATTTTCGGCTCGTTATTGTACGACTCGATGGAAATGTCGTGCAATTCACGACTGCCTCTGTGTTTCGGTTTTTGATTGCTAACAGACTGATCATTGCCGACGGCAGTGGCCGCTGAATGATCGCCAACAACACTGGTAACCAATGACTTCGGTGATGTACTTAATAAGCTGTTAATATTATTGTTGTCCACAGACATGGATTTATTGGCAAACTTTGAAGCTTTTTTGATTCAAACAAATAAGAGATAAATTTTTTAGTTGTCTTCATATATATGATAATCAATCGGTGGTCAACTGTTATGTCATTTCTTTCAAGAAATTTCTTATTCATTACCTTTGAATTGGATATCCGTTGAGATGTCGTAGTCGTCGTGCAATTCAAGTCTTAATGAAATCAATGAGACGGACATCTCTTCATACCATAAATCGGTAACAATTTAGATGACATTCAACTGTCGATTGAAAAACACATTTACATTGTTTGACACAAATGTTGAAAAAACATATGACTTCTGTATTATTATTATTCACTGATTCACTGTTTGTTTGTTTGTTTGACTCAATATTTTACTATTAATTGTAAGCATTGACTAAAAGATGGCAATCATTATATATATTACACACAATAAGTCAAGTATTGAATAGATTAGGAAATAATTGTAATAACTTCAAGAATATTCTTAATAATATACATTACTATATATTTTATTATATATATATAGTTTGGCACCGATTAATAACTTTTAATATTAAGTATTTTTTTATTAAACTATTATATAAAAGATACTATAATTAATAAATTTTTTACAGAATTTACAAATTTATTAGAATTACAATTAATTATTATTAAATTAAATATTAAAAAAATAATTATATACAAATAGAGAAAACAAATTAATATTTTTAACAATATATATACATATTATATTTAACAACTCAAACGATCACTTAATAGTTACTTCTAATAATTTTCAAACAGTTAATTATAGTAAATAATTTTCTAATATATATTAATAACATGAAATTATTATTTATTTATTTTTATAAAAATAAATAGTATATACAGAATATGAAAATAAATTTTTAGTATATTGTAATAATAATAATAAATTGTTATGACTATAAAAAAAGTTTTTATTTGTTTTGAATTTTAATGATCAATCATTGATCACCATAGAAATGCATCGATTTGTATTCACAAACACACAATAAAATATTTAAGATATCTATTGTTTAATTTTAACAATTATTGTATTTAAATGCAATTTTATTTTATTTATTTTTTTGAAATAATATAATTTATATATTTGTAATTATTTTAAACCTAATTAATTTACAATAACAACAACAAAATCAAATGGAAAAAGAAGTCGAAAAGATTCCGCCGATCAATAGTTCCGACGGTGAAGACAATGATGACGACGACGAAGACGATGATGAAGAGAAAAAAGTTTCTTACGAGGGGTTAATAATTTAAAAAAAAAATAATTATCTTAACTATTAATAATTATATGTTTAAAATGAAAAGAAAATAAAACAATTAGATTTAATTTTTTAAAAAATATTTTTTGGTAAAAATAATAATAATTACTTTTTCAGTGCTTATGATCCGCAAGACTACGAATCGTTGAATGTATCGCAAGAATTGAAAAATATATTCAGTTATATAACATTATATTCGCCGCAAACTATTGAATTGGAAACCAAACTCATGCCCTTTATTCCCGATTTTATTCCCGCTGTCGGCGATGTCGACGCTTTCATCAAAGTTTGTTACACCAAAAATATATATATTTTCATTAATTAATTACCGATTAATTAATTGTTTCTTGTTTTTGAATTTAAATTAATTAATTTTTTTAGGTGAGAAGACCCGATAATAAAGAAGACACGTTAGGCCTAACAGTTTTAGATGAGCCGAGCGCTACCTCGCAATCGGATCCGACTCTAATGAGTCTCAAATTGAAAGCCATTTCCAAAGATATCAAAGTATCTGATGAATTGGATACTTTGGTAAAGACTGCTAACTCAGCCAAAGATATTGATTTATGGATTGATAATATCAATCATTTGCACGAAACAACTGCCAGTACGTCGACATCGGTAACACTCTTACACAGCCATCGGTTGCCAGACATCGAGCAACTGATGCAAGAATGGAGTGAAGAGTTCGAAGCCTCACTTAATGTCAACTCATTGCCGACACCTGATCTCGATTGTTCTCTCGAGGATTATATCAATATTATCTGTGGTATAATTAATTTTAAAAAAAATAATTAAAGATATTGTATTTTATTGTTATTTTTGTATACAATTTATTAGCAATTTTGGATATACCGGTACATTCATCGAAAATAGCATCATTGCATCTATTATTTAATTTATACAATGAGTTTCGCAATTCACAGGTATTTTATTTATTTACTCAAATAAGTATTTTAAATAAACTAATTTCAATTTTATTGATTTATGTTTTTTAAAAAAATGATATCACAAAATAATTAAATAAAAAAAAATTAATCTTTTTTTGAAATGTTATTTCGGACAGCATTTCAAGCGATACGTTTGAATAAATTCGTCACAATTGTTGATAATTTTTGACATTTTATCCTTATTTTTGGCCAACTTTTCCGTACGTATTGTCTGATATTTTTCCATCAAATTGTTAATTGTAGTCAATTTTGTTGATATTTTCAAACTGTTTCTCAGCTCTTTTTCCTAATATTTTTGTTGTTGTATAACAATAATAATAATAATAAAATAAATAATTTGCAAACAAAACATAAAATCAAATATCTTATTCAAAAAAAATAATATCATTACAACTTTGTGTGGCACGACTTCAATGTGTGGATCAGATTGTGTTAACGACTTGGATAGCAGATCCAAATCAAAGTTAATGCTAACAGGTTTAACAACTTTGAGTTCATATAAATCATTGATAACATAATTAATACTTTCAACCAATTGGTTCTGCAATTGTGTGATAATTATGAATAAATAAATGCAATAAAACAAGTGGCAAACAAATTCAATTAACTGATACTAACAATTTCCTCGACAAAGTGTCGCCAATTGGTTCCGTAACCATTGCTGTTGTTGTGATTATCGTTCAAATTGTTCAAATCATTTGATCGCATTATATCCGATGAATGAAACAACTTATCATTTGAATCGATGACAGCATTGATCGCCAATAGATTTGTTTGCAATTGAGTGCCATATTTATTCTTCAGCGATATCTTTTCGCAGACATCCACCAACAGTGTCGACAAAAACAGTTTGTGTTCATTGTGTGACACTTTCGACTGTTGACAGTTGCGTTTCAATTGTTCGGCGGTAAACTCGTTGCGGACCGAATTTACCCGCAATTCAATACTGTCGACATTGGTCTTCACGTTACGTATCTCTTCTTCGAGAAGAACGGAATCATTGAAAAGTTTAATTGATTGACCATTTCTTTTAGGGGATAAACAAAAAAAAAAGGAAAGACATATCATATGTCATTAAAATTGTCAGTTTTTTTATGCAACTTATGATCTGATAAATGGATCAATACTCTTGAGATTTGATGAATTCAGACATATATGTCAACAACTTCTTAAACGACAATCCGTTTTTGGTCCGCAAACAACTGCAACAACAAAAAATAATAATTTGTGTCAAGTCTTAAGCTATTTGTGTTTTTTTGTGGATCAGATCCCAGAAGTGACAATAACTTACTTAAATGATTCTTTGCTGTTCACAACTTTTACATTCAACTCCCGTTCGGACCATTCGGTTAACTGTTCTTCCAATTGGTTCATAACTGTTGTCTTCAGCGAAGATAATCACAAATTGATTTCAAATTTGATTTGACATTCAAAGCAAATATTGTTTTTTATTTCTGTATTAAGTATTCAATAAAAATTTGCGCCAAATATTGTAATATAAATTGAAGTCATAAATAATGTCCAATAATTGACAAACATTTGTGAGGAGTTTGTGTTATAACTTATATTAGAAACTCAATTAAAGTGACAAATACTATGCAGACGTTATTTTTGAACAAAATGTATTACAGTATAAATTTTTTGAGGCAATCATTACATAATAATAACAAACAAACAACTCGTGGATCAACTTCTTTAGCCAATAATCTGTTTTTCTTAGTGGTTGACATCACTAGAAAAAAAGATAATGTCGTCATTTTTCGGCCAAAGAAACGTGTATTTATTGCGAAAATATTTGCATCCTCAACGTTGTATTGTCACCCGTCGGCGACTACTGTCCACCAATCGTGATGTGGTTCGCGTCCGATTTGGTCCGTCGCCGACCGGTTATCTTCATTTAGGTGGTTTGCGGACAGCATTTTTCAACTATTTGTTTGCCAAACAACATCATGGTAGTTTTATTTTGCGCATCGAAGACACGGATCAAGTTAGGTGACGATTGTCTGTGTGTTTGATGTCTGTCAGCGCTAAATGTGTTTTGCATTTTAGGACAGAATAGTTGCCGACTCTCTACAGAATATCGTAGACATGTTATTGTGGACAGGATTGGTACCCGACGAAGGACCGCACGTTGGCGGCCAATACGGACCATATTTGCAGGTTTATCGACAGCAATAATTGCCCGACAAATTTATTTTATTGGTCTTAAAAACGTATGATTTACGGTAATTCATAGTCTCAACGAACCGAACTCTATCGGGAAATGATTGACAAATTGTTGGCCACTCCTGTTGTTTATCGATGTTTCTGTTCGGAGATGCGATTGAATTTACTTCGGAAAGAACAGCTGAAGAATCGAGAGACTGTTAAATATGATAACCGATGTCGACATTTGACGCAAAAAGAAATCGATGAAAAGTTAGCCAACGGTGACAAGTTTACGGTTAGACTTAAACTGAAATCAGGTTCAGTGACATTTGATGATTTAGTTTATGGTCGTCGATCGTTTGACTTATCGATGACCGAATCGGATCCGATTTTGATGAAGAGCGACGGATTGCCTACCTATCACTTTGCCAATGTTGTCGACGATCATCACATGAATATTACTCATGTGTTGAGAGGCGCCGAATGGCAAGTCTCGACACCGAAACATCTGATGCTTTACGAAGCGTTCGGTTGGACTCCGCCTGTGTTCGCACACTTACCGCTACTACTCAACAAAGATAACACTAAACTATCTAAAAGACAAAACGATATCCGAATTGATTACTATAGAGATCACGGCTATTATCCGGAAACATTGTTAAACTTTTTAACCACTTTTAGTTCGGGTTTTACCCATCGAACCACCGAAGATACAGTCGACAGACTTGACGATCTGACCAAAATGTTTAGCATTGAACGGGTTAACACCAATCACGGAAAGATTGAAACCGAAAAACTTAAATTATTAAACAGATATTCAATATATTGGTATCTGAATAATGGTTACGAAAATAAATTGATCGATGAATTGAAATGTTTACTTAAAGAGAAATTTGGATCAACTAATGAACTAAATCTTGATGAAAATTATCTATTGTTTTTAATTTCGTGGAGTAAAGTAATTATCTTTAATCCAATGATTACCATTTGAAATGATGTTAATTATTATTACAACATTTGTTTTCTTAAAGGAAAGAATATTTACATTGAAAGACCTATTAAGTGAAGAGTTCTTGTATTTGTGGAAAGTTCCCGATTTTAGTTGGAATGTCAATCAAGTGGCCACAGCTGAGGAATGCGGTATAGATTTTATTTCATTTTAATTTACTAATGTTTTTATATAACTATATGATAATTTTTTCATATTTACGGTATGATATAAACAGCTAAAGTATTGGAAACAGTTATATATCTATTGGAAAATTTGAATGAAAACGATTGTAATGCTAAATATATTTATGAAATAATTCGCAATGAATTTAATGACAAATTTGTAAATGTTATAAAATTCAAAAAGTTTATGAAAATTTTACGCCTATCGCTAACTAATATTGAGGTAACTTTAAATTATTATTATAATAATAATCGGTAAACTAAAATATTGCAATCAATTATAGGCCGGTTCACCAATAGGTGAGACTGTGGTATTATTGGGTAGGAATCGGTCCATAGATTATCTTAAAAGTGCTATAAGTTATATCAACACATATCGGTAAGTAAAATAATTTACAAAATATTTTTTTTTTTAAATAACAAAACATATATTTATAAAAACACCCAAAAAATTGATAACTAACTGATAAATACTAATCATTCAATTTGTTTCTCTTTGACCAAACCTTTCACTATTAGATCGGGTACTTCAACGGCCAGCCAGGGACCCAACTATTCAAATAATGATACAAATATAAGCATTAATAATAAAATTTAGTTCAATTAAATAGTAGACGAGTGTGACTAACCCCGAGTGCCATTGCGTGTGCGATACCAAACTTCGGTACATTTCGGGCCCACAATGGCTTGAAGTGATCCGATGTGCATATCTTTCCTCCCCTATACATCTTCGCTGTTTTTCCGTCCAATTCTGGAATGGCTATCTCGGGAGCTGTTGTCGGATATGTGACCGGAATCTAAGTGAGTGTTACGGTAATTACAAAGATCAAAGGGTCAAATCAAGTGATCAAAATGGATGTGTCTACTGATATCTTACATCAAACTCGATCTCAAATTCATATTTGATTAGCTCATGAATGAACCAACACTTGCCGAACCATTTGGTGCCATCTTTATTGGACTCGAGTCGGAACCAATCGTTATCATTATCTTTGTTTTGTTGGACATACTAATTAGTGGATCTAATGGTTAAATGATTACTAAATGATGTCCTGTAGGCAAACCTGAATAAGCGACTGATATTCCTCTTTAAGCCGTTGCGGCCACGAGTCGCGATCCCGTGGACCAGCTTTTGTCTTCATCAACGGTATACTGCCCAATGTCTTCTTGGTCTTATCGTCTGCCATCTCATATACCACTGTTAGATGTTATGGTTTGTATTACGATTGGATCCGATTATCACTACTAATCAAACAAAAAAAGTTCATCAATTGAAATGTCAAACCAAACAGTTGTTTACAAAAAAAAAATTATTTATTTTCTAAAAACCTATACACGTGTGCATTGGAGTCGTCCACAAACACAGTGACGGGGTCTACACAGGGGCTGATGTAACAGTGTTTATGACAATAATTGTGTTTTGAGATATAACACACCGTTTTGTTTTTGGTGCGAAAACTCATTGTTTTGTCCACAATATTGTTAAGTCTCAATCACTTTAATTGGTCCCACATTTTAGTGTTGTTGTTGAGGTGTGATCTTTGTTTCGATATCATCGTTAGATTAGTTATTGTTGTTGTTGTTGTGTGTAAGGTATGGCAGTCCCGACAACACTGATGGACATCCAGAACAGCGAAAACTTTCGGACCAATGAAGAGCCAAAGTTTCGGTCGCGAGTCAACAAAATCAAGTGAGTTGTCTGTCTGTCTGTCTGTCTTCAGATGAATATTCTAGTCTTCAATTGTCTTAATCATTAACTCTTTATTTCTGTGATTTTCACTCCAGAGTCGGTCGCATCGATTTAGGAGAAGTGACACCGCATAACATTAAACTACTTCGCCGACTAAATCAAGTAATATTTCCGGTCAGCTATAACGACAAGTTCTATAAGGATGTGTTAGAGGCCGGCGAGTTGGCCAAACTTGGTATGTCTCGGGGGGTTATTTTTGACAATTTTTTATAGTGTGTGTCCATATCTTTACTGATTTGATTACTTTCTCCCCTCCACTTTCCCCCACCAAAAGCCTACTACAATGACATTGTTGTCGGTGCCGTCTGTTGCCGATACGACACATCCGATAACAGCCGTCGACTATATATCATGACATTGGGTTGTTTGGCGCCATATCGGCGTCTGGGTATCGGTTCCCAAATGGTCGAACACGTACTAAAGATTGCCGAACTGGACGATGCATTGGACAGTATTTTCCTACACGTTCAGGTCAACAACGACGGTGCCATTGATTTTTATAAGAAGTTCGGCTTCGAGATTGTCGAAACCAAAGAGCATTATTACAAGAGGATAGAGCCGGCAGACGCACACGTACTGCAAAAGACATTGAAAAAGGGCCGCAAAAGTCAAAAGTCAGGCGAAGACCAGTGAATGAAGTGAAGAAAGGTCTCAAATCTACAATTTTTTTATAAGTTATATATAGATTAAGATATTCTTTATTATTATAAACTATTGTTTTAATTATTATAATTCATTTGATTGTATTGTGTGTGTGAAGTACTTTGCGGTATATTTTTAAGATTTATTTTAATTTTTGTTTTATAATCAAATCTACCGGTAATAAGACATTCAAAATTTATTACACTCTGTATTCAAAACAAACAATTTTTTTGATTATTTTTAACGATCAAAATATTGGTTTTTTATATAAATAAATTCAAAGTCAATGACTGATTTGTCAGTTTTATGTAATTATTTTTATTTTATTGCTTTTAATATCACTTTTTATAAGTTATTTCTATATAATTCGTATATACAACACTAATTGTATTGTAGCAAAATTTTTAATAATAATATTACTAATATTATAAAATAAATATCACTACAAATTGTATAATAAAACTAATTGGATGCATTATACTTAACATAAAATTATAATAGTTTTAAATACAATCTTAACAACAATAATAATAATATATACAATTAAATTAGTAATAAGCATCTAATTTAGTTATGAAATTGAGTTATTTTTTAAATATAAAAAAGCGTAGACATAGTGTGCTTGACTTGAAATTATAACTTATAGTATATAATAATAATAATATATAACTATATAACAATAGTAATAGAGATTACCGGTAAAATAATAAATCTTTAAATATAACATAAAAAATAATTTGGTAATCATTTTAAATCATAAACTTAGTTTAAATTGATTTTGAAAAAATAAAATTATAATCAAATTGCAAAAATAACTGAAAAATCATATCAGCTTTTAAATTGGGGTTTAAATAATTGTTTTTTTTTAAAAAAACATTTTGGAGATAATTATTAATAATAATAATAAAGAAGTCATTGGATGACCCAATTGTGGTGACAATCAATCAAATCAAATGCTTATAAATCTAATCGATGTCTGTATTCTTTCTCCATTTCGGGTGTAAATCTGGCCCGACATACGGGACAATTCAATTGCTCTATGAACCACTTCTTGATGCATCCTCTATGAAACAGGTGTCCGCACGGCAACAGTTCCAGCGGTGCCGACCATTCCGTACAACAGATGACACAATGATTGGACGGCTGCGGCGGTATCGCCGAGTAAGTGGCTTTTGGTCGTGTTTCGCGTGAGTCCTGGTGTCTGTGTTGTCGTTGGTTTTGGTTTCGTTGATATTCTTCGTAAGCCCACATCGCAAACATAATGACTGCGCCGCCAATAGCGGCCACACTAGTGGCCACCAGACCGACGTTAACCATAGTGTGTCTGTGTATTGAGATTTAAATTTTAATGAAATTTATTTGCAGATCAACTGATAATCACTGTTTGGTTTTGTTTTTCACTATAAGTCAGTCATCAATGTCTGACTCCGTCTGTCTGTTAGTCTGTTGTCAAGTGATTCATACGTTTGTCTCAAAAAAAAAACTATTAATAAAAACAAATCATTAATTCATTCAAAACATAAATATCAATAAATATTACGTTATTTATGATTATATTTAACTGTATTTATAAACACAAACACATGTTATGATTGATTTGATTTGTTTAATAAAGTATTCAATAATTAGTCAGTGATTGCCATCAAATTTCTGACCCGAAATGACGGCCACCGACAACACTGTTGTCGATGGATATACGGTATTGAATGTCAAGTATTCAGCCGACAGTCAAGTGATTAGACAACTGTTTCTGAAAGAGTTTAACGCCAAACAAACACCCGACGAGTCGTCGCCGACCAAAAAGTCGTGTACTTTGATTGTCCTCAATGTTCCGCCGTTTGCCGATCCGTTAGTCATCAGACATTTGTTCAGTAATTGCGGAAATATTACGGACATCTCGTTCAATGATAGACCAGTTCCGCCAAAGAAGAAGTCCGATAACAAAAGCAAATATTTCGACAAAACTGAAACAATCAACGGATATAAAGTGGCTTTTGTTGAGTTCGCCAATCGATCGGCACTTCAGAAGGCACTGAATCTTAACAAATCGTCGGCAAATGTGCCGACACTGAGACCCGAATCCAAACAATACACTGTCGGTCTGATGGCAATGAAATGCAATTATAACAACTCGATTGTTGATCCGCAAGAATTGAAGAAAGAGATCAATGACTTTATGAGTGATTACGACAAACGTGTCGAAGAGGAGCGACTGAAAGCCAAGGAAACAGATGGTGTGCCCGATGCCGATGGTTGGGTTAAAGTGGACAGACATTCGAAGAGCAAGAAACGATTCGCTAGTGACCACTCGCGCGACGAAAAACTCATCGAAAAGCATAACAAGAGGCTGAAGAAGACCAACAATAGTTTGGTTAACTTTTATTCGTTTCAACAGAAAGAAAGCAAAATTGAATATTTGGCTCAATTGAGGAACCGTTTCGAAGAAGACAAGAGACGTATAGCACTGATGAAAGCTCAGAGAAAGTTTAAGCCACTGTAGTAGTAGTGGAAGACATGATATCATCGATGACAACAATTATCATTAAAAATAAATTATAAATAATTTTTGTAATAAAAAAATTTATTAAAAATATTTTTCGAAAAAACAAAAAAAATGATCTTGGTTAATTCTAAACTACCGATAAATTGAATCTAATTATTAAATGATTGATATATTTACAAAAAAAATTGAATGAAGAGTTGAGTTACATGTCTTCAGTGGCCCATTTGTAGGCCTCGTCCTGAGTGGCCATCCGATTGGCTATTCGATCGAAATGGCGTTTCTCAAAACCATTGGACCGATCGACACCATCCCATCGATAACCGGGTTGTATATTGAATCGGTTGAGCGGAGCAGTCGGACCCTTATAAGCGGGTCTAACCTTAAACGTCCCCTCTTTTATGGCCACTTTTTCCTTATTCTTGCGTATCATTTGTAGCATCGGGTCATCATCTCGTTCCTGTTCTCTCAACATTTTATCCAAATCGGCGTCGTCTTCATATCTGGCCAAAGGTTTGGACATTTCGTGTAGATTTGATTCACGCTTTTCCTGTTGTTCCTTCTTCTGGACCAAACCTTTCGACCATTTATCATATTTAGCTTTCTTTTCCGCCTCTATTTTGTCTTTAATTGAATCTTTTTCCCTCTGAACTCTGGCCTCTTCATCCAGATCTCGAATTTTACCCGATTTTGAATCTCTGAATACAGTTTTGGCATTTTTGCCTAACATCTCATCGCTAATCGATTCAAACAGTATCTGTTCTTTCTTTTTTGCGTTCATAAGTTCTTCGCGCAGATGTTTTCCATCAGAAAGACCAGCTTTCTTACCGCTGAGTGTTGTTTTCGGCTTAGGTTTGTGTGTATCGTTCCGTGAACTCCTCGGTGGACTCAAATCACTGCCTGAATCGTGTCGTTGACTTCGATTTGGTTGTCGACTTCTCGGAGGTGATAGATCTTCATCGTCATGTCTTGATCTCTGTCTTTTGGGTGCTTTTGTCTCTCTTATTGGCGAAAGATCACTGTCCGAGTCGTGTCGCGTTTGTTTCGTAGACTTATGTCTTGGAGGTGAGAGATCGTCATTGATATTATTTTTTGATTTCTGTCTGTTTGATGCTCTTACTGGCGACAGATCGCTGTCTGAGTCGTGTCGCTGTCGATTGGAAGTCCTATTTCTTGGTGGCGCCAAATCTGAATCATCGCTATCATGTTGTTGTAGTCGTCGACTGGGAATCGTTGAGTCGTCGTCCGATTCGTGTCTTAATCTCTTATTACTATCACTTGCCTTATCGTTGACCACCGAACTGTCGACAACCGGTTCAATAGTTTTCCATCGATTTGTGTCCAAATCTTTGCGTCTCATATGAAGCGGCCGTTCGTCGACCACAGCGGCAATCTGTGGCTTTTCTTCTTTGGTACCGAAATACAGTTCATCATCGCTGCCATTCTTATCAATCTTCTTGAGATCGATGTCATCGTCAAAGATATGTATTCTGCGGACACAACAAAAACAAAATCTTAAGATATCTTTACATTAAAATAAAACTATTACTAACTTTTTGGTCTTCGGTTTAATCAATTTCTTAATTCGTTTCTTCTTTTTGATCTTTTCTTCATTTTTGCTGTCATTTGATGTCATATACTTTAATCGGATGTACTCTTTGTGTTCAACTGGTCTGTCGTATGATTTTCCCGACATTTTCTTTGCCCGTAATTACCGATTTAGTGGTCAATTAAAACGAAAATTCATATGAAATTTGAAAACAAAACAATTTGATTGCATTTGTCTATTGAAATGAAATGTTTTTCTTTCAAAACATTTGAATGCATTGCAAGTGTTGTTGTGTTGTGTTTGCAGTTAAGCGATAGTAATGACACCAAACGTTACGATTTGTGTATAAAAAAATTAATATAAAAAGTATATAAGTTTTTATAATTATTATTAAAATTTATAAATTAATTGCAAATATTTAGTTAAAAGAAAAATTACAATTTAAAAAAAAAATTTCCTTAAATATACATCCAATGATTTTTTAAAAAATAACTGTGAATTTTAAAAACTTATTAAATTTATTGAAATATTTATAATATATTTTAATTTATAAATAATAAAGTTTTACTTATAAATGACTAATTATATTATTAATATTAACAATACAACGATTTTTTCTATTTATAAATGCAATTAAATTTAATTGAACAATTATTATACTAATTAAGTTTATTATACATGTAATTTATTTTTCATTAGTTATTTTATTTAATCAATTTATTTATTTACCATTTAATCAACACTTGGCTAAATAATAATTTATTCAAAAAAAATACAACAAAATTTTTATAATCATTGAATTTATTAAAATATATATATATACATTGTATAAAATTATTATTATTATTATTATTGTTTGCAACAACAACAAAAAAATTATTAAATTAATTATCTTCTTTTATAAATGATATTGAGGTGATATCTCTGCAAAAAAAACAATTAAATATATAATAATTAATATTTTTTATAATTAATTAAATGTTTTTAATTAATGATTTTATTAATGATTTGATATAAACCTTTGAAGCAAACATTTAGCTGCCGATAATCTTTTTGATTCATTATTGTTTATAATCCTATTATTTGATGATTTTTGATAGTATTTTTCGCCAATTTTTATTACTATAGTAAATGTAATGAGTGTCGCAAATGTGAAAAACGTGTAGAGAATGGGAAACAAAATTGTTTTTTGCAAATACTATAATCACATTAAATAATAGTAATAATAATAATTTTATAGTTATTGTTATATTTTTTAAATAAAATTATTTATTTTTTTAAACTATACTTTTAATGGAAAAGACAGTGTAATTATAGTGAGAGCTGTTCCCAAATTTTTGATACCAATCTCTATAGCTATAGTTTTCTTGATTTTATAGCTCAAACACAATAGACTTGCCGTTAAATAGCCAACTGAGAGACCGATTATCGGTAGTAAGGCATCGGTGACGAGCACTTCCAGAGGAATATTTTTAAATATATTGGGAAATATAATAACTTCGAGTGTATGGCAAACAATGATAACTGCAAAACCAGCTATCGATCCAATCTATTATATCATTAATAATTAATTTTTGATCACAAAAAACAAATAATAATCAAATTTACTTTTGTTATAAGTGGAGATGCTTTGGGAAATTTATAATTAACAGCAATACCTATGAGGACAGGTATTGTAATGAATAGCAATGTTAGTGACATTTGCTTATAGGGTATAACCAGTGACTCTGTCTCTAGACTTTGGCCGTAAAGCCATATGTTTAACGGCATCGCAACTAAACCAACAATTGTGGCCATAGTTGTCATTGTAATACTTTAAATCAAATCAAATTATCACAAAAAAATATATTATTTATATATTAATTAATAATTTTATCACTTTTTTGTTGTTTATCTGATATTAATAATCAATAAATACCTCAATGGTATGTCTCCTTCCCAGAAATATGTGAACACATTTGATAAAACTCCACCTAATTATGCAAATTATTGTTTAAATTAATTATTAATTACTTATTTCTGGCACATCATTATCTTATAAATAGATTTATTATTATTATTAGTTATATAACCATAATAATAATTATGTAGGTAATGGATATAACCTTCAATAGTAGTAATTAAATTATTTTGGACATTAATTTTTATTTACTCTATAATAATATATATATATATATATATAATATGAAATAAATTTTGTTATTTAACTAACAGGAAGTATTAAAAAAATTTAATTACAAATATACCTGGACATGTGGCCAAAATAAGTAATCCTAAATTAAAAAATATATATTTTTAAAAATTTTAATTAATTAATAATATGTATTTTTAAACAACAAAAAATTACTAACCGGTTGCATATAGTGGTTCAATAGATAAAAATTTGATTAATAAAAATGCAATCAATGGATAAATTATAAACTGTGAGACCAGACCCGCAAACAGTGGTAAGGGTTTCATCAAATGTTTAACAATCTTATGGATAAATTGTTAGTAAAACAAAATCAAATAAAACTTATTTTGTTTTAAAAGATAATCAAAATGTTTTCCTTTCTTTCAAATTTTTTTAAATACCTGTTTCAAAGTGACTGTACATCCCATGGCAAACATTATGATAATTAATAGGAAAACAATCAACACATCGTGTATTTGTTTTATCAATAATTTTGTCGGAGAATTAATTAGCGATGTATCAGATATATCGGTAAAATTGATAACATTTACTAAATCACTATTATTTTCAAACATTTTTAAAAATTGTTGTTATAAGTTATTTGGTTTGTAAGTTATAAAGAAATTTTTTAGTGTAAAACTAACAATTTTTATAGAAAAATTTTCGAAAAATTTTTCAAAACAAAATACTAGTAGTAGTAGACCTTTAAAAATAAAATACATGTGAAAACTAAATTAAAAGTAAAAAACATTTTTACAGAATCTAAAACAAAATCGTTGCAATCATTTTTCCAGTTATTAGTAAACCCATCCCGGTTTGATTTGATAATACAGGTAATTTATATATATACAGTACATACATATGCTGTATATACTACAATGCATACTAATTATATATATATTTTTTCATTTGAAAAATTTAAGTTAAAATATATATTTGACTGTATATTATTAGCCTTGAATTCTTGTTTAGCGCATTTTGCTATTCATGTGAGTAATTAATTTTCTAATGATATAAATTATACATATATGTAATATATGTATGTACTGTATATATATATATACTCTATATTTTTAATTATAAAGTTTTAGATTAGACACTTCCAAAAAATTACAATTAATTTATGTACAGTACAAATAAGTAACAAACGATTTTTAAATAAGATATTGAATTTACTTACGTAACTATAATATACGTAAAAAAATTATAATATATATCATATATTAGTTTTTATTTTAAAGTAAATAATGTAATTAATATTCAGTATATTATACTACTTACAAATATATAATTTAATTAATTTTTTTTGTATTAAACCGTATTAACTAAAATATATTAATTAGAAGTTTATTTGTTTGTAAAATTTAAAAAATTGAATGTTTATTTGTATTAAGCAGTTATATTATATTGTAATAAATATATAATTAATAATAACATACATAATTAATTTATTATCATTTATGTGTTTGATGTTTTTTTAGTTTTATTTTAAATATATGTGTGAAATAGCAGTGTCTAATAATAATATTAAATTGGTATTACAATAGTAATAAAAATGATATATTTGTCAAAATAATAAATAAATAAACTGATTAATTGAATAGATAAGTGTGTTTTGTTTAAAAAGCATATTTATTATTTTTGTTTATATAAATATTGGCAATAAATATATTATACTAATCTATATCACAGAGTATTATAATTTATAATTACTTATAGTAGTAATACAAATAAGTTTTACAGATTTTGTAAATTAATTTTAGTAATTAAAATATAATAAATACAATTAATTTTATGAAATAAATTATTTTCAACAACAAAAAATACAAACAAACTTTAAGAAATACAATTAAGTAATTTTCAATTTTATATAATAAATCAATGAATAAATTTAAAAGTATTAAATACAAGACATTAATTAATTTTAATGATAACAACTATAACTAATTACCAGTTATTTTAAATTTTTAAATCTGTTAAAACAATATATTTATAAATAATGGATATTCATATAATGTACTTAAGTTTTAAACTAAATCATTTTTATGTTGAAAAAAACAAAAATTTTTAAAATAAGTTTTTCTTATCATTGATTAACATATTAGCCGTAAATATTAATAAACAAATATAGTTAAAGAATTTAGACAAAAAAAATATATTTTCAAATCAATTTGGGTGTAAATCTAATTTATATAATACTTCAATGAAATATACTCTTATAATATACTGTATTTACAGTATAAGTACTTAAATATGTTTAAGTTGAAATAGAGATGAGCAAAATAGAAATTACTAAAGAAATTTCCCTTAAAAGAAAATTTCACAAAATTATAAATTATTTTAATTTCAATATACGGTATATAAAAATTTTAATTTAATAAAGCAATTAAAATATGTAATAATAAATGTTTTAATTTTGATTAGATTAAAAATTAATTAATATATTAACAAAATTAATAGTGTATAACAAAATAACAATCATTAAAAAACTGAAAAATTCCCATTTATTTTTTTAGAAACTTTCGCTAAATAATTCCTAATCTTCTTTTTTGTGGAAATTTTCATTTTTGGTCAATTCTAAGTTGAATGCAATTTATTTTGAATTTTCAATAATTTTTGAGTGCAATTCACCTTTATTTGTGACAAACATTCAATTATTAATGGGCGACATATTATTTTATTATATCATTTAAATATTGGGATTTATTGAAAATTATTAAATATTTAGATTGTTTTTAGGGATTTATCTAGAAAATCAATATATATATATATAGACACAAAAAAATAATATATTTATTAGGATTTACATATGTACGTACAGGTATATAATTGTAAGTTAATTTTGTTTGTTTGAATATTACCAAATAATAATAATTATTATTATTTTACTAAAACACGTTTTCTAATATCTATTTCTATTGCAATCTATGTGGAAAAAATGCCTTATTTTAAATTATTAATATAATAACTATTTTTGATGTATAAAAATAACAATAAACATAATTCTTTCTTTAAAATGATTAATGCAATTAAAATTTAAATATTATTTAATATTATAAATATAAAAACAAATTTTAAATATAAGAATTGATAGTTATATATATATACATTAAAACAATTTATATAATTATATTGATATTTCAAATAAATACTGTATTATACCGGTTATTATATACTGTAGGTTTACTATTATTATTATTACTGTATTTAAATTTGATGTGAAAGCAATTTAATAATTTAATGGTTTCATCATATTATTTATGGATTGAATATTAAATATTATTTTTTTCTGCTTATGTTTTCATAACATTACAGACTATTTGAGAGATTTATTTTTTAAATGTTAAGGTAAATATCATAACAAATTCAAGTATTTTATATATTGATATAAAAATTTTACTGTATGTATATATATATATACAGTACATATTAAATACTTATATGTAATAATGGGCGGTATATTTTTATAAGTTACGAGTTGCTCAATGCCTCGGAAAAACTAACTGACCTATCAATAGGAAAGAGATTCACACTTTTTGTTTTGAAAAAAACAGATAAACTTTTTTTGATCACAAACTATCTAAATCTACTGTTATACTGAATAGTGTAATAAAAAATATAATTTGTGACAAATATATAACCAAAAAAAAAATTTGATTGAAAATTATTTTATGTTTTATTATATTTAATTTTAATATTCTATATAAAAATTTATTGTCTCTCTATTTATTTATTTCATATAATTAATTACAATATTATTTAATAGCAGTTATATTGTTTATGTTTGTTATATAAAGTTTAAAGTATTATTATTTTCTTTCTAAAAAAAATTATTTAATAAATATTTATAAATTTCAAGTAAGTATACAATATTTTGAATAATAATTTTTCTTTAGTAAAAATAATATTTTTAAAAAAAAAATTTCCCAAAACTGATTAAATATTCTTAGAAATAAAGTATTTCTCAATAATATATGTTTTTTTCGGGTGAGTCTTACTAGAAATAATTATTAATGACTTTTTAACTATAATTTTTTAATTACAATGTTTTTTTCCATGTGCAGCAAAATAATATTGATATTATTTTTATGGTTTTTGTTTTAATTTTAAAAAGCAAAATATATTGATCTATAAGTTATTAATCTTAATGATAGTTCATTAGACTGTATATAATGTATTTTTTTCATCTGTAATATTATACAATTATAGGCTGATTTAAGTCCAAACCCTTTTTTATTAAACTATAACTAAATGTAATGAATCATGATATTTGATAAATGATTTTTAGAAAATAAAAATTATATATATACTGTATATAAATACATATATGTGTGTCTATATATATGTGCAGGGTAAATTTATATATAATAAATATTATTATAATCTATATAAATTTAGCTTGATATCAATTCATCGATTTATATATGCATTAATGCAAAATCCAAAAATAATCACACGTTTTGTTTAATGTTATTTTAATGTCTTATATTTATCTATTTTGTAGATAAAAACCACACGACAGACATACCGTACTAAACAAAAACTAAAAATATTTTAGTGATAATAATAATAATATTTATATTAATAATAAGTGACAATAAATACTGAATATATATAATATGTAATGTATTATTAATAATAATAAATGTTTAAAATAGTTTATTATCCGTTTGTGCCAATAATGGATTTATAATTATTTATAATGTGAATTAGTAAATAAAAATATTTTTTAAAACTAAGTTAAAAATAAAATATCGGATGAAATTTTTCTATATATTGTTTGGATTTTGGATAATAATAATAATAAATAATATTAGTATAATTTTATCGGCTAAAATTGTATCAGGTATTTATATATATATTGTTATGTATATTTAAATATTTTTTTATATATAGTATAAAATTTGCAAATTACTTATATTAATATTTTAGATATTTTGTTTTTGTTATTTCAAAAAATATTTATATTGAGATTCGTAAAGAGATATCAATGGTGTAAAACAATTTTTTTTATTGTTTCTGTAAAATATGATTAATTATATTGAAACTCATGAGAATTGTTTTTGGTATTGTATTAATTATATACAATATATATATATAATTAGAAATATTGCATAAATAGTGTACAAAACGTGTGTAATTTATTATAAAAATATAGAAAACATACATATACAGTATATACAGCTAATCTAAAATGTTAATTAAAAATTATTTAAACAAATTAAACAATAAATTATTAATAAGCTAAAATGTGTTTAACATTGTATTTTTTATATTAATAAGTATTTGTTTAGAAATTTAATTATATATATATATATATTTGAATTGAGCTATATTGTGTATATATATTTTATTTTAAAATATATATAATATAGAGAACTAACTTATATTATAAAACAATTGAAGAATACATAATTTTTTTAGGTTATATAATTAATTAATTAGTATATATATAAAAAAGTTTAGTTAATATTATTGCAAACTATTATTGCAATATGATTATTAATAATAACAGTTGATTTAATTTTTAAAATTAAATAGTATGAATAATAAAATCAATAATTTATTTATCTGATTTATTATGAAAAATATTGAAATTATTATTTATATATAATGTATAATTACAGTATTACAATTATTGTTGCAAATATATAGTGTATATACAATGCATACATTATATATGCTAATCAATATACCTAATAAAAAATATGAAAATCAATTTAATAATAATAACTATTTTATTTGTTTGAAATCCTAAATTGATTGTCACATTTACTATACATTTTCAATAGATTCAGCACAACATTCACAACAATTATCGATTACTAATAGTAATAATAATAATAATAACTCAACATTTCATACGTTTATTGATTATTGTAGACAACAATTGTCATGTAATTATTTAATTTATATATTTGTAAACAATTTGTATATTGAAAATATTAATTAAAAAATCTTATACCTGTATATTAATATATATTTTTATTTTATTTTTATATAAACACAGCCAATATCTATGATAATGGTATCGAAATACTTGAGACAAACAATAGTGAAAACAATTGTTGTTTTATCAAACTATCAGATATTTCAGTAACTCATTTGAATACATGTTTCACAGATCCCAATGAACCCATATATATCACATGTAAGCATATTTATAATATATATATATTTTAATAACATTTGTTAATTTATCAGTTTATTTATCTACGATAAAAAATCAATAATTTATTTATATAAAATATACATATTTTTTTGTTATTAAACTGAATCTAGAAATAAAAGTTTTTATTTATTTAAATTCATTTACATTGTATAACGTATATTGATTTCTGAATTTATAAGTTTATTTTATTAAATACTTTTTTTAATTTACTAAAAACTATTTAATATATAATTTTTAATAATTAATTTAGCTATATAAGCATAAAAGTATTTATATTGTATATAAATATTAATTTATTAATAATAATATTTAATACATAATATAGTATTATCTATTGATTTTATTTAATATTATCAATAATTAAATTATTATGATTTATTAGTTTGTATTTTACAAGTAAGCATTAATTTTGCCACAAAAATATTAAATTAATAGTTGTTTTTATAAAAATGTCATAAATTTTAAAACAGCATTCAATGAATACAATTTTATGTCCAAAAGTTATACTATAAATAATAATAATAATAATAATAAATGCAATGAAACGACACTGAAATCATTTTGTGAATATATAATATCACATAATTATAATAATAATAATAATAAAATTGCAAATACTGTACACATTCTGTGGGAATTCAATCAATTGTGTGGAATATTGCCTAATAATAACAATAATAACACAAATTCCTATATTAATGATATTATTGTGGTCACCAAAAGTATGTAAAAAAATATAGTGAAATAAATTTATTAATAACAAAAAAAACTAATTATATAAATAAAAATATTTTTCTATATAAACTATAACTTTTATTTGTTTGTTTGTTTAAAGGTAGGCCTACATACTGGCGGAGCTCACAGAATATAACGATGCGGTCGTTTGAAAGCGAAAAACTAGAGCTCATGTGTGTGTTTAAGGGCTTTCCTGAACCGCAGATTCGTTGGTTTAGAAATCAATTGCTAATTACGGAACTGAAAACCGAAACAAATGTCTATAATTTTCGATCAAATTATTATAGTTTTTCGCACAAATCGACAAATATTTGCACAATAATTACTATATTCAAGATATCGGTCATCAATAATCCTAATATTGTGGCCAACTATACGTGTATTGCCAGCAATAATTTGGGCAACTCTTCCAAAACATTTATAATCAATGGTAAACTATAAAAGATAATAATTATTATTATTTTAAATTATTATAAATATTTTTATTTGTTGTAATCTTTATTATTATTAATATTATTTACAGAAAAAATATTACAAGAATTAAAGTCTAAATTAAAGATAAGACGTTTCAATATAACTGGTTTTATCATAGGAATGATACCGCCGTTATTCATATCGTTTTATATAATTGTCAAACTAGGCTACCGTTCCCGTTATGCACAGGAAAGGCCAGATGACAGCGGTCTCAATGATGAACCATTTTTTGTGAGCAATTAACAAATAAACTAACCAAAAAAATTTTTAGTATATAAATCAATCACTATTTATTTAAATATTTTAATTTCAATCATTTAATTTTTTTAATTAAAATAGTTTGTCCATTGATTTTGTGCCAAAAAAAACTACACAACAATAATTAGTATTATTTATGCCAAATATTATTGATCAAATTTTTTAAAAAATACTTTAATTAATTTAAAATTGTATTTATGAAATCAATTATTTAATTTTTATATGTTGTATGTTTTTAAAAAAATGTTTTATTAAATATTATGTATATATTCAAGTTTTTTTATTGTTAATTTATTATCCTAATTATTTGAAATTTACTTGTATTTGTATTTATTATATTTATTTTTTAAATATTTGTCAATAATATTGATTAAAGATAATTTATTTATATACACGGAAAACATTTCCAATTTACAAATAAATATCTATTTTATGTTTATTACAATAACATATAATAAATATTTTTTTTAATATATACAAACATTAAAATTATTTCCATTTATCCAATAATACAAACTTAATACTTAATATTTTATTCAATAAAATTAGCACAATATTAATAATTTTCTATTGAATAATTATTACATTATATTATGACATTATTAAAAATAATTGATAAATAATAAAAAATATTCACTTAATTATAATTATATACATGTATATCATCACATGGCATATAATAAATGTTTATATATTAATTTATATCTTTTTTATAAATCAATACATTTTTTTCTATAACTATTTTGATTACTATAAGTTGCAAATAACTATAGAATATTCTGTATATAACATAAATTATATGCTATCAAATCAAAATATATTTTAATAAATTATTATTTATTTATATTATATACAAATGTCATAATCATAAAATATAGGGATCTTATGTTATATACTTTATTATATAAGATAGTGAAAACAATTTAGTAATACAAATAATTATATTATGAAAATAAAAAACGCAATTTCATATGTTAATATATGCTTATATATGATAATGTTTAAATAATTGATCAAATATTACTGTATTATAAACCGATAAGATGTTGAAGTATAGTATTATTACAATTATTATTTTTTTATATATATCATATAAATTACACTGTTGTATAAGTATAATACAGTAAATATACTGTACTATTGTGTATACTATAAACTTAGACTGTATAGCATATTACAACTTGAAGTAAAAAATATATTTTCTTATTTATAAAACATTACTTTCAGTTTTAAATCAATTTAACAATAGTTATAAAAAATTATTATTTTTATAATACCTTTATATATATATATCCTATTTTAAGATCAATGCAAACATAAAAATTTTGGGGTTTTTCTTCATTTCAATTAGCGATAAAAGTAATGTTTATTTTTCCTGTTTTTGCAATAAATAATTAAATTTATTAATCAAATAATAAGTAAAGTTTGCAAATTCATTGGAGAGAAATTTCTTATATAATTTAATTATATAGAGTATATACCGGTAATTAATTTTAGTATAAAAATTAAATTACTGTATAATTTAACAGTAGTAGAAATAATATGAATAATTAATATCATTTAGATACTAATAATAACAATAATTATTTTTTTTCAAAATTAGTTAATCAATTATTAATTATCCATCTTATTAAGTAACCAAAAAAAAATTTAGTATTATTGTTAAATAAAATATATAATTAATTAAACAAAAATAAATATTTTATTTATGTTTTTTATATATACAGTATAAAAAAATTAATCATTTAGTTTTAGAAAATTTATCAATATATACATTATCAGGGTCATCTAATAGAATACAATGTTCAAAAATAATTGAATTTTTCGACAATTTTTGATTACAATTTCTAAGACAACTATAGATAAGAATAGTAGCAAAATCTAGATCTGGATGATTGTCTCGGTTTTCGGTAGACAATGGCTTCAGATATCGGATTAAAGCCGGCATTAACTGAAACTCGAAGACACGATCGCCGCCGCATAGATCACAACGAGGAATAGCTAACCGGTGACTATCACTGTTGATCAAAGGAGATCCCATCCATTGATAGCGTATGACTTGTTGTGGACAACGAGACAGACGTTTAAGGAATTGATAGTTTTTGCGATCGTTTTTGTAAATTGTGTCCAAAAATGAGTTTTCAAATGTCTCACTACACTGACCACCATTTTTATCACAAGAAGAACTGCCTTCAGTTTTTTCATACGATTCTAGTAATTGTTTTACATGTCTATCGTTTTTTTCATCCGCAACGACCTCATCAATAACTGACAGATAAAATGGTCGATAATATTGTTGATCTTTCAGTATAATGATATCGTCGTCAGTTATCGAAGAGGACTTCCTATCATTTGATTCAAGTGACAAATGGCTTAACGATTGACTACAGTTAGCGGTCGTGTCATTGATTGTCTCGATATCGGTATTATCTGTTCCCCAATCGGATTGTCCGTCAATCCAATCGTCAGTGTTATTATCACATATCGCTTCTTGTTTTTTATGACTAGTGTCCGCCGCGACATAAGGTGTAACACATCGTACAGCAAACCATTTGTCTGATTGTTTGCAATCATTATTAGGACAAACAAACAAATAGATTATCCGATCGTCGGGCGATTCATCAATTGGACAATAAATTTGAGACACAAACACCAATGACCGGCGACACGATTGGCATTCAATGTTTTTCATATGTACGACCAGTTCGTGGCCAACTTCGGGACTCAAAACTGGATAACCGCCTGGTCATACAAACAACAAACAAACAAACAAAAAAGTGGTCAAACATTTTGCGGAAAAAAAACAAAAAACAAAAAACAACTAATTTTATACCTATTTTATTGGCCCGAAAGTCACTGGTTTGGTCATCAATTTCGGCATTACTACTACTATCAATGATACCGATAAATACTTGACTGTCGCCGTCCATTTGGCGGTCACTTTATATATACGATGATAAATATATTTCGGTGGACAACAAGTCTTCAAACAAAATATAAACTTTTTTTTGTAGTTTTCAATAATAATAATACAGTAATAAAGTATAGCATTGATAGCAACAAACACACAGTTATTATTGACAATAATAGTGTTGGTATTTATTTATTGTCAATAGATTTTTAGCGCTTATTTGATACCTTTTTATATATGAATCAAACCATTGTGTTTATATAGTGGTTGGTTTATATAGAAAAGTATCGAATTGTTTGTAATATAGTACTATTATTGAATAGCAAAGTGAATCCAAGTATTATTTATATTAATATTTTTGTATAGAAATTGAATTATTTTTTTTGTATTTGGATTTCAATTGGATTTTTGTATTATTGAATGAAAATGAAAAACTAAATAATAATAATAATAAACATAATTAAAATCAATTAATTTATTTAATATTTTAATAAAACTGTTTGACATTACAATAGCTTGAAGACATCACCAGATGATCACCAGTGATGGTCGACAACATGTGGCCAATGATTTTGGACAACACTCGCGATGAATGCAAACGATCGCTCCGGAGATATGGTATTTGTTATGTTTATATCTTAACCATTCAATCATTCATTTTTTGGATCAATTAATGTTTTCAATTGGTTTTTTTACTACTAATCCATTTGATTTGATTGTCTTATATATATTTGTGGTCACAATTACAGAACTGGAGGCCTACTCGGCAGTGGTAACGGCTCTCAGAGCACAGGGAGACCTCAATAAAGACAAAAGAAAATTACTACAAGACTTGTGTTCACTCTTGAGGTTGTTTTTTGTTAATTGATTATCTCTTAATTTTGATAATCACATTACTGATTGGGTTTAATTGATCCCTAACTAACCTCTTTTGCAGTATAAGCCTTGAACGACACCGGGCAGAGATCAGACGCGCCGTCAACGATGAAAAGCTCAATACAATCGCACACCACATGTCCGGCGCCAATACGTCGACCGAATGGACAATCGAAGGCCGCCGACTGATACCTTTGTTGCCTCGACTGGTGCCTCAAACGGCGTTTACTGGTGTGGCTAACTCTGTGGCCAATGAGCACCTGAGTCGCAACCAAAACATTTTGCATCCATCGGAGACAGGAATGAAACACGATATGAATCAAGTAGTGGACGACAACAGCACATATGAGACGAGTCCTAAGAGGCGGCGTATTGACAGCCAAAGTCAGCCGACATTTGTTCCCATCAAATCCAATCAAAACGAACCGATTATAGTTCAGAGCGGACCGACCACTCCATCAAACCATCGAACACCTCATTCAATATCCAAAGTGACGACAACCCGAACAGTGGTCAGTGCCAGCAATTGTTACACAATCACAACACCCACATCGCAAAGCTCTGCTCGAGTGATAATCGTTTCGACTCCGACCACCACATCATCTACTGTTATGACTCCATCCACTCGAGGATTAACAGCCATTCCATACATTTCAAAGCAAACCATATCATCATCACCGCAAAAGACTACCACTTTTGACATACCGAGTAGTAGAGGCTCGAAACAGGCGCGCACAAGTAAATCGGCTTCGGTAGTCGGTGTTATCGGTGTCTCTGGCAGTCAAAAATCGTATAAACAGTTACCTAACAAAACGATAAACGCTGGAAATCTATCGTTTGGTAACATAACACGAATTCCGGTCATACCGGGAACTAATGTTATCAAATCCAATGGCCAGCAACAGCTGGTAGTTGTACCAATCAATTCGCGACAATTGATTCCAATCAATCAGGCTGTGAAATCATCTGGAGGTCAAACAGTCAACACACCGACACTTATCTATCATCCGAATATCAAAAACGCCAATCAGAAAGTGATCGGACAACAACCGAATCTCATAATCATGCAAAAGGGAGGCTTAACTCAAATGGCCAAAACAATACCGATATCCAGTGCCATAACCATAAATAAGGCGTCGATAACCAAACCCATAATGAAAACAACAACCACCGCTGCCGCCACCACCATTGCTGGCGGACAGCACCGGAAACAAGTGATCGATATCGGACCCATTCCGGGCACACAAACGTTTACATTGAGTGACAACACAAAGATTATTACAAAACGATTGCAGACATCATCCAAATCATTGCAAGAGATCGCCGAAAGTTTATCGGAAAACCAGAAAGTCATCGAAATTGATGCCTCAAACTCGGAAACGTTAGCCAACATCTTAAATAAGGTATACATTTTGTTGTTGTTAACAATACAATTGATATCAATATATAAAATATATATAATGCCTGTGAATCTAAAAAAAATATTTACGAGATTTGCTTGTTATGTATGTTATGAATGTTTGTTATAAACAGTTTTTATATGAAAAGGGCGGCCAAATAACACAGGCCGATCTGATCGAGTTTCTCAAGAAACACTCGGCCAACACATCAGCAGCCATTGGTGGTGGGCAACTCACGAGTGACCGGAATCGCGATGATGACGGCGGCAACGATTCGTCATCCGAAGATACAGTATCAACGTGTGAATCACCGAATCATGATTTTGAATCTGAATTCGAAACATTACCCGAAACTACCGGTACTGGTGTGAGGACAACAACCAACATCACCACAACACCGGCTACCGCTGTCGTCGGTATCGATGGAATGGTCAAAACAGTTGCCGAATAACAATAATATACTAATAATCAAATTTATTTTTTAGACCAAAGTGTAATTTTCTTATTTTGATTTTATTTGGTGATCAACAACAACAACATAAACAAATAAGAAACAATAATATATTATGTATAGATTTTTTTTTAATTATTATTATGACTACCGTAATAATTATTTTAATGTATTATTATTATTATTATTATTATTAACAATTTGCGCTCTCATTTTGCCTGTATAAACATTTTTTTAATAATTGTGTGTTCAATTGTTTTATTCATTGACAAACAGTGTATTTAATTAATATTTTTAATCTTTAATTTTAATTTTTTTCTAATCATATTTGTAATATTAAGCACAAAAATTCTGATGTTGATAATCTAATTTATATGATATTTTATTATTATATTATTATTATTTTATAACTTGAACGGTAAAAAATGATTATTGTTTTTTTAAGACAACAAAATTAAAATAATTATTTAACGTTTTAAAAAATGAAAAGTTTAGTTCAATTGAAAATTGTTTTTTTAAAAATGTAATTATAATTACTGGTTAACTACAGTATTAATCGTAATACACTGTATATAATATTTGTGTTAAACAAACTGTAATTTTTTTAATCATAATTTTTGCGGTTCTTCACCGACACAACACTACTCAATCATTTCTGGGGGTAAAAAGCATTCAATAAAATCTTTTTTTTTTTTTTTTGCTTACGATGTCTGTCATCAGTTCCAAGTGTCTGACTCTTTGTCTGCATAAACTCACAGTCACTCTACTGATCGGCAATTTGTCTGCAATTATTACGGATGACTTCGACAAGTCGTTCAAATCAAATGGAAATCTGTTTGAATACCAGAAATTGGATTAAATTGGAAATACCAGAGATTCACACGTTTTTGATGATAATAATCAAATTTTTAAAGTTTTTTTCACAGTTATTCCCTTTTTTTAAATTTATTTTTAATTTTTTTACACTTATCTTTTATTCCTAATTTAACCTATTGTTTTCATTCACTGTATTTTATATTATACTGTATATATACAGTATATTATGTAAGTTTTGTAATAATAATTACTTTGATACTAAAATTTATGCACAAAAAAAATAATAAAATCTGATTTTTTTAAGCTCCAAATAAACAAATTAAACATTTTTTTGTTGTCTTAAAATTAATTTATTAATAAGTAATCAGTTATAGAAAAATATTTTTTTTTTAAAAAGTAGATAACATTTAGATTAGTATTGTTTATAAATTATAATCATTTTGTAAACTTAAATTTTTTTTTGTAGTTTTTAATCAATCAATCAATAATAATTGTAATTAATTTTTCTATATTACATGACTGTTTTGTAACCAATATCACTGAACAGGTCATATGTTATGTTAACCTATTGTCTTGTTTTATTGGTATCACTGCCCGACACGATTAGGCCGGGGCTAAAGGTCCTCCAATTTTATATATGTATTTCAATTTGCTTTATGTATAAATAATTATTAATTAATAACTAATAATTTTTTTAACTACCGGTGCTTATAATGTTGTTGTTGTTGTCGTCTGACATATGGAAATACCGTAAACCTGTTTACCTGAAAACTCGCTTATTTAGTATACTATATATTTGCCACAGTTTTTCTATGCTATGATATTATTATTTAAAAAAAAAAAATCTTATATAAGTTATAAAAGTTGTATTACATTAATATAATAGACACACATTAACTAAAATAATATTTTTAGTAGTTTTGTGATCCCAAACACACCATCAGCACAGAGATAATTATTATTAGTAGTGAACACAACAATTATGCCCTACCAGTGGTATGTCCTCTCTTTCTCTCTATAAATCTCTGTATATAAATATATATAAATATATATATATATATATCGTCTATATCCAGGTCTTCTTAGTTGTTTCACCAGTCCTGTCCTCTCAACACTTGATGTCCTCATTTAGTTTGCTTCTCCTAATAGGCTTCTCTATCTTTTTCCAGTAGTATATTCGGCCACCGGGTCTATGACTTAATAACTTATTTCATGCCTAACAGTTAATACTGGAAAAACTATAAAAAATATCAAAAAAAAATAAAATAAAATAATAAATATTTTTCATTTAAGCAGAAAAACTATATACAGTTAAAAAATGAATTTCAAATTATATTATTTGTTATTATTATTGTTAAAATTTATTTTATTGTAAAAATATTGTTTTTTGTTTGTTTATTATTTCATTTGATTAATTTCTCTATGTTTTATCAAACAATATAATCAAATTTGAATACAAAAGAAATACTGATTTTTGGTTTTGTTTTAACCTAAAGTTTGCTTTCGTTTCAAAATAATTTTATTTTATATAATAATATCATAAGTTGTTTTCAGCATTTGTTTGTTTGAAAGCTAACGAAACAAAATGATGTTTTGCTAAATATAAAGTTTTTTTTCTCATTAAATATTGTGCTACTATTAAATAAATAAAAAAAATGAGTGAAATACTAAATGTAATGATACTAAAAATAAATTGATTTTTTAAATCTACTATTTTGTTAGTGTGTGTGTGTGTGTGTGACCAGTGAATTGTGAAAATTGTAAAAAATATTTTTTTTAAAGTGAAAAACTAATTATTATTATTTTCTTTAAAAAAAACTATAGATTTTTGTCTAAAACTTACAAACATTTTAGTAAATGTTTCCGTTTTTTTCTAAAATATTTTAATCAGAAAAAAGTGATTTAAAATATGACAACTAAATGCCAAGTTTTTTTTGTTATAACAATTAATTAATGCATTTCATACATAAAACTTTTATTTAAAAATTAGTTATATACTTAAGTGAGAGATTTTTAAAAAAATGGGATCAATTTTGCAATTTGCATATTTGGTGACCATTTTGTTTAAAATACTGGTCATCAGTGAATCAACTAATACTAATGACAAAACTGATGTCAATTATTTAACTAAAGTAAATAGTCGTCTAAAAAGACAATCAGAAGATCTCATAGAAAATGTACCATTGATTCCCATTATAAGTGTTGCCAATGAATCAATAGATAGTAATAATAATAATAAGACATCAAACATATCGTGGGATGAAATCAATCAAACATTTGATCAGTATTTAAGCGAAGAAGAAGTTCAACAAAAGTGGAATACAATGGAAACAAATATGAAATCAGGTATTGATTTGTCAAATGGATAAATATTTTTGTTTATTATTTATTTATTTATTTTTTGACCAAATAATTAGGTATCCGAACACTATTGCGGACAGTATTCCCGAAAATAGTGGCCATGTCTTCGGACGCCAAAGTTAGTGGCAATTGTTCGGCCGGTATATTGAAATGGATTGTCAGCTTAAGACATCTCAAGAGTTGGGCCGTCAAAAGTAAGTCATTATTTTAATTGAAAATTATTGTATATAAATATCTTTAAATAGTTATCAAGTAATATACAGTATTATAGTATTTATTAAGCACATAGTATAGTAACTATACTATAGTTGAACTATTATATAAAATTTTCAATATTATAAAAATAGTTTTTTAAAACAATAAAATACCTATATTTTATATATCATTAATATCGAAATAAATTGTTTTATTTTTTTGTAATCAATTTTTGTTTTGTTCAATCAGTATATATATATTTATTTATTTTTATTAATCGTGTGAATTATATTTAAGGTGTAAAATAATTTGATTTTAGAAATAGATTTTATAATGTAATTATAAATGATTAAATATAAAAGATATTTTCATTATTATTATTATTATATTTTGATTTTCAATTTAGTTATGTCATAATAGATTTGTTTGGGAAATAAAATTCAAATATTTATTTTTTCTATATCTCTTATCTATAATATAATCAATGGTTAAAAATTGAGGACAAATATATTTTATTCATATATATATTATTGTAATAAAAATCAATACAAATAGATCCTCAATATAAATACTATAATTAATAATTTAATAGCCATTAAAATACAACAATAATAAGTGAATCGCTAAAAAAATTAATATGTTTTATAATATATATATTTTTGATATTATAAAAAAATAATTTTAAAATGAGATAATGCTAACATATTGTTTAATTTGGTATAATACTATAATCTTTGTATAATTTTAAATACTATAAAATTAAAAAAATTAATATTATTAGCATAATGTGTCTTATTTATGTAATAATAATAAAAAAAAATATTTTGCTGACTGTAAATATTTGAGCAAAAATTTTATTAATGACCTGTATTTTTATCTGTAATAGTAATTACATTATATCTCAAGTGTACTCTAAAAGTTATTTTTAAAGTCATTTCATAGCTTAGCATTTAATCTCATTAAACATATATATAAAAACAAAACTAAAAACAATTTTAAGCATTTAATAATATACTAATAAATTAAATTAAATATTACTGTTAAAGGCATTAGTATTTAAAAAATTATTGCCGAAAAAAACAGTTAAATCAATTAAAAGTACAAAAATTTTAATTATCATAACAAAATCTATATATTCAAATTGCAAACTAATTTATATCAATAGAAAATTAAATTATTAATAAAATAAAAGTAAAATATAATAAATAAATAGATTATAATTGGATTAAGAGTTTTTCTCATATGATTAAAATAATAATAATAATATTATTATTATTACTTATGATAATAAAGTGTTGGACGCAACTGGCAAACCTCCGTCGGGCATATTTGAAGGAGTGGTCACAATGTTTGGCAACTATGAAGAGTGTCTAAAAGTAAGAGTAGCCGACGAGGATGACAGTGATGACGATGATGAGGATGCGGACGACAGAGGAATGGACGGTCACAATAGTGGCACTGCAAAGACTAAAGAGTTTTTTAGGGGACAGTTTTGTGTGGCAGAGTTCAAGCCGTGGCTGCCAAAGAAACCGCCGTTTTATGGTATGAGCTCTAAGATCAAGGGACTGCTCCGGGAGGGAGACGATACGGTACGGACATTGAAAAATATATACTGAATCACGAGATAACTGATCCATTAATAAAATTATTTATGATTAGGTGTACAATGATTTTGCCGATTTAGCCCTATTTTTTCATTTTATTACATTTCGTATGGATTTTTGTGTCCCATCGACCTGTTCTCGTGAAGACATGCAAAGAGTTTCATCGCTAAGTTAGTGAAAAATAAAATTATTATTATTTAAAAATATAGATAACTTATTAATATAGAGATTTATAATCAATTATTTTTGTGTATTATTTTTTTATTGCAAAAAAGTTGCCAAAAATATTGAATTTAAAGCCCGTGTATTGAGATGCGAGACAGCAAATGATGCGGAGGTCTGGAATCGACATCAGATCACTACTATGTAAACAAATTTTTATTTTATATAAAAAACATTTATAATTATAAAATATATATATTTATTAATTATCTAAAAATTTTTCAGATCAATTTTAACAATAATACTATTGTCGATAATATTGTCGACATTTGTAACCTTATTGGTCAACTATTTTTCAATAAAGCAATTTGTATTAATTTCATCTAAATTAAAATCGCTATCATTGATCAACTCGTGGTATAGCATATCGGATACCAGTTCCCAAAATACGGAAAAACCAACGCCATTGTATGGGGTGAGGACAGTCGTACTTATTTGGATAATCATTGTCCATACAGTAGTAGTTGTCGACTTTCAATTTTTCCGTAAATATTAAGATTTAAATTTTTTAAGAATAATAATTATATTATTTTATGATTTATTATTTATTTATTATAATTTTTTTTGGTTTTATTAATCAATAGGTGAGATGCAGAGTATTAAGATACTGGCCATGCAGTTCCCGATGCAGTTATTCACCAATAGTGTCAACCAATTTGAATGCCTGCTACTGGTGTCGGCATTTTCATTGTCTTATTATAATTACGGCAAAAATGCCAAACAAGTCATTCAATTTATTGCCAAAAAATACCTCAGGTTTGTACCAATTATAACCAATTGTACCAAAAAAATATACCTTCAGTTAAAAACATTAAAAAAAATTAATGTCCCATTATTTTCAAACTCATAGAGTGACTCCTTTAATAATATTGATTGTTTGCATAACAATACTGCTTCCGGTGATCTTAAAAAGAGGTCCACTCACTCATGATTTTATAGCCAAAGAGGCCAATCAATGTCAGGACAGCGGCCTTTTGAATCTATTTTATATACAAAACTTTTTAACACTCGATAAAATGGTAAAAAAATAATTAAAATAATAATAATAATAATTTTATTATATATTATTTTTTGTTTTATTGATAACAAAAACTTTTTTATTATTAATATTAATTAAAAAAAATTTTTAGTGTCTGTCAAATACGTGGATATTTTGTATAGAAATGCAGTTAACGCTAGCATTTGTGCCGTTAATTATACTATTGAATAAAGTCAGCAAATTTTGCCAAAAGTCAACAAAAATGTTTTGGTTATTATTACCGGTAATCTGTTTGATCGGGTTTTTAATTAATGCCATCAAAGTGTACATCTATGAGTTGCCGCCAAACTTTTTCTGGACCCTACCTGACCCACGGTATGCTATTATATTATACATTGTCTATTATGAAATATATCTATGTTTTAATGTTTACATATATTAACAATTATTATTTAAATATATATTTAATTTACAGACAAAGAGATGAATATTTTTATATCTATTACTATAAGCCATGGACTCATCTGTCGGTATTTGCAATCGGTTTCTATACGGGAGCTCTCAGACGACTTACCAAAACTGATGATTATAGAGGCTATAAAAAACCTGTTAGTATTATATATATATATATAACTCAATGATATAATAATATTTATTACTGAAAAAAACTATTGGTTTGATTTATATATTTTTTAATTTAATAACATCTTCATCATTGTCTTCTTCAATAGATAAAGTCATCGACGGGTTGGCTAATTTCAATCATAATTATATTAGTACTCATATACGGTTGTCACGACTGGGTTATGGGAGACTTGCCTGATGTGAGTCACTAAATATCTATTTTTGTTTTTAAAAAAAAACTTTTACTATATTTTACTGATTATTATTAACATTATTGGTAAATATATTAAAATATAATAGATATGTATATAAATTTGATTTATTTTAACAATTATTTTCTTTATTTAAAAAAAAGTATATATTTTTGTTGATCTCATTTTTCAGTTTATGATTAGAAAATTTCTTAATTAATTTTTATTATGAGAGTGATATTTGTAAATTACAGTTATTATTATTTTTTTTGATAAACATTTTTCTCTAATTGAAACGATAATTGAAATTCAAAATTAAAAAATATACGGTAGTATTGAATTAATAAATTACAAATAGTGGTAAATTGCTATATAATTCATATTTATTTATTTAAACAGATAATTAAATCAGAATATGTCATAACTAAAATTAATTAGTTTTAAAAAAAATTATTAGTACAGTATGTTCTCAATAAATATGATAAATAAATTTATATATAATAACATACAGTATATAAATTTAAAAAAAAAGTTTTTCAAAACAAATTATTATTACAAAATAAAACTAAATTTATTAAAATTATTTTTTTTTTCATTAACCTGTAGTAACTCGTTATTAATTTGAGTGTTTATTTTTAATAAATTAGTTTATTATTATTAATCTGAATTAATAGCCACATGTGTCGGCCCTTTACGATGCGCTTCAAAAGATTTTTTGGTCGATAGCCATCTCGTGGATCCTCTACAGCATTACCACAAACACTGAACAGTCGAAGAAGACACTAATCGAGCGATTCCTGAGCCACAAGTTTTTTATATTCTTGGGCCGACTATCACTAGTGGCCTATTTATTACATCCTATCGTCCAATCTTTGCTATTATCTTCACAACAGCAACATCTTTACAGTTCCACACTTCTTATGGTAAGTTAAGAATTTTTTTTTTTAAACCACCAAAAAGTTTATTTATATTTAAATTATTGAATAAATATTTTTTTTTGTTTTCATTAGACATATGTCATAATTGGTAACATAATATTCACATATTTTCTATCGTTTCTCATATCGTGGATTCTTGAGATTCCTCTTTGTTCACTATTGAACTCAAGGATTCATGAAAGACATATCATTGTCGATGATTTGAAAGACAAGGAGATAACAACAACAACAACGACAACTAAATGTCGACAACAAAATTATGGATCAAATAATGGTCAGACAAATACTGAAATTGAATTGGAAATTACTAAAGAGAGACTATGAATAATACAGTTTAATGTTAACATATTATAATAAATTTATTATACACAACACACTGTTGCAACACACACACACACACACACAGGACATAACTTTATATGTATAAGTCTTTAATTTATTGGAATTATGATAATTTTTTTTTAATTTTATTTGTTTGTTTTAATATAGGTTTTTTAAAATTAAATATTTTTAATAATAATAATTATATTAATTTTTTTTAATTATAAAAATACATTATGAATGGATGCCAAATAACATTATAAAGTTTAAATATGTGTAAAATAATTTAATATTTTATAATAATTTTTTGTTTGTTAATTAATATATATATTTTAATTAATATAAATATATTACATGTATATTTTATTGTGTTTTTAAAAAGAAAATCACATAATAAAATTTATAATTACCTTAAATGTATAAAAAAATCATCTAGATATATTTATATATAATTATTCTAAATTGTCCATGTTAATATGTAATAAATTTATATGACATTTACTTTATTGATATAACACTAGATGTCATATAATATAAACATTACATACATTTACTATTAATAATGTATTAATAATAGACGGCATGTGTTGTTGTTTACAACGTGTTGTTTAAATGCCATTGAATTTTGAAAATATGATATAATTTTAAAATCAATGGTCATATCATTTGATGACTTTGATCCACTAAATAAAAGACAAGACATACATCTCTGACAGGACAATGGGTAAGAAATTGAAGACCGGAAAACAGCGTAAGGATCGGTACTACCATTTGGCCAAAGAAACAGGTATTTTTATTTTTTAATTGATCCCAAGTTTGATTTTTTTGCGGTGATTGTTGTTATAACCGCCCGTTTTCCGCCCCTTGTATTGGATGACATTATCACCGATTTTTGATTGGCCTCAGGCTATCGGTCACGTGCCGCCTTCAAACTGATCCAATTGAATCGCAAGTTTGAATTTCTTCAACGATCGAAAGTACTGATCGATTTGTGTGCCGCACCCGGCGGTTGGCTACAAGTGGCCCAAAAGTTTATGCCAGTGTCCAGCGTTGTCGTCGGCGTCGATATCGCATCAATCAAACCCATACACAATGTTATTACACTTCAAGAAGATATTACTACAAAACAATGTCGACAATCGCTACAGAAAGAGCTGAAGACATGGAAGGCCGACGTTGTACTCAACGACGGCGCGCCAAACATCGGCAAGAATTGGATTTACGACGCTTTCAGCCAAAATCGGCTGACACTCAGTGCTCTTCAGTTGGCCTCCGAGTTTCTGATCAAAGGCGGCTGGTTTATCACCAAAGTGTTCCGATCGAAGGACTACAACGCCCTGATGTGGGTCTTCAAGAAACTGTTCGGCAAAGTACACGCCACAAAACCGCAGGCATCGCGTAATACGTCGGCCGAGATATTTGTTGTCTGCCAGAACTATATCGCTCCCGATAAGATTGATCCGAAATTCTTTGATCCGTCGTTTGTGTTCGAAGATATCGAGAAGACTGAGGACAATGAAAAGAAGTTGAAATTAAATTTATTGAAACCGTCGACCAAACTGAAGAAAGCCAAAGCTGAAGGCTATTCCGATGGTGACTATACTATGTATCACAAACTAAACGCATCGGACTTTATATCCAGTGTTAATCACATCCAATTGTTATCCGATTGTAGCGAAGTATGCCATTTATATTGTAAACCAAACCAAAAATATATATATATATTTAATTAATTATTTTTTTTGCTTTTTCTAAAATTAAACAGATAGTGATGGACACGAAAGAGATAAGAGATCACCGATTGACCACAATTGAGATAAGAGAGTGTAGTAAAGATATCAAAGTACTCGGAAGAAAGGAATTGATGTAAATATTTATTTATTTTTTGTTTAAAATTTTTTTGAATTATATATATTTTTATGCATTTCAGAGCTATTCTTGATTGGCGAAAGAAGCTAAGAGCAGAATTAGTTAAAGTGGAAAAACCACAAAAAGATGAATCAAACGGTGTGGGTGTTGTCGAAGATGAAGAGATGATGGTCGACGATGTGGACAGATATATGGATGAAGAAGCAAGAGATATGAAACGAAAGAAGAAAAAGGTTCAAAAAGAGAAACGAAAACTAAATGAACGATTGAATTTGAAAATGGTTATAAAAAACGACGACATACTCGAAGAAGAGTTGGAATTGTTTCAGTTGAAGAACATCAAGAATAAGAAACTGTTGAACCAAATTCACGAAATCAATTTGAGTGACGTTGAAGTGGAAGAAGATGATGATGAAGCAGAGCCAACGTTTCGGCAAACAAATAGAGTTTATTTCGATAAGGATTCCAAAGAAGTGATTGATTACGACGATAGCGGTCCTGAAGATGAAGATAATGTAGAAGAGGAAGACGACAACGAACAGAGTGAAGATAGTGATGAAGACATTGATGATAACAGTTATCAAATAGGAAATGGTCGTAATGTTGATAATAATGAAGAAGAAGAGGAGGAGGAAGACGACGACAACGATGGTCTAGTAGTAGATCTTGTAGAGAGAGAGGAAGCAAAACGAAACAATACGGATATGTTCTTTGAAAACGACACTTTCAGAGACGAAATGAATGACGACGACGACGATCTTGAATTGGAACTGATTGAGAATAAATTAAATAAAAAGAATAAAAAACCACAGACTAATGGTAAGAATTCAGTGAAAAAGTCGATGAATAAGAGGAAAATTGAAGAACAAGAAGAAATTGAAGACAGTGATAGCGACTCTGATGATGACAACAATAAGACAATCAAGAATGTAATGTCGGCGAATGATGAGAAGTGTAAGAAAAACTTCAGACTGACATCCGAAGAGTTGGCTATTGGAACACTAATGATTAAATCACAAAAAACTAAACGCGATATTACTGACGATGCCTGGAATCGTTACTCACATGAAGACGACGAATTTCTTCCGTCGTGGTTTCGCAAAGAAGAAGAAAAGTTCAATAGACGACCGCTTCCGGTAACCCAAGAGATGGTCAAAGAGTATCGGCAACAGCTGAGAGAAATTGATGCCCAACCCATCAAAAAGGTGGCCGAAGCTAAAGCCAGGAAAAAGAAGAGAGCGATTCGGAAGTTGGAAAAGGCTCGCAAAAGAGCCGAAAACGTTACAAATACGGCGGATATGTCCAACACGGAGAAGGCTCAGCACATCAAGAGGTACTGTATATTATTATTAACATATGATTTATCACTTATTTATTATTGTTATTAACTTTTCTGAAATTTTATTTTTTGTTTTGTTATTGTCTTTTCAGTATTTACAAGAAGGCAATCAAATCTAAAGATAAGAATGTCCAGTACGTAGTGGCCAGAAAACATACGGGAAAGAGACCGCCAAAGGGAGTCAAAGGCAGGTATAAGATGGTCGACTCGCGTATGAGAAAAGATAAACGAGAGAAGCCGTCAGACTCGAAGAATAAGAAGAAGATGCCGAAGAAGTTTATTAATAAGAAAAACTCTAATAATAATAATAATTACAATAAAAGTAGTAATAATAAACACAAAGGACCCAAACGACCAAAAGGAAAGAAAAAACGATAGAAATATTTTTTGTTTTAGTAAATAAATTATTTTTTAAGACTCAATAATAATTATCATTTACTGTATATTTTTAATTTTAGTAATTGAATTACACCAACAAATAAAAAAAAATCATTAAAAATTCTAAGTTCTATCAAAATTCAATTGATTTTTAATTATTTGTCTAATATTTTTATTATAAATATCTGTTTTTTGGTATTTAATTATTATTAATTACAGGTAATTATTTTTGGGGTTTAATTACATATAATTATTTAATTTTAAACAAACAAAAAATAAAGAGTAAAAACATAAAAGATATTTTGTTTTTTAGATTTTTTTTGTGATTAAAATATTGGAAATTATATGGAAAACTTTCGGGAACTTTTGATAAATTTTAATATAAATTTATGACACAATTTTTTTTCCAATAATAAACAATAAATAAATAATTTTTTAGAAATAACATTACATTTCATTTGTCAATAATTTTGTCAATAATTTTATAAACTGTTTGTAAACACAACACATGTTTTGTTGTGTTGTTTACAAAATGTGTTTACAATAATATTTATTTTTGTGACCACCGATGACAACGTTAAGTGATAGTTAAAGTTGTGTTATTGTTGTTGATGATCATCCCGTGTGACCAATCATAACAACAATGGCCACTACTATTGCCACCCGCAAAGCCTATGGCCGCTCGTCGTTTGATCGTTTCGGCGATGATCTGTGCGGACACTTGTTATCCTATTTGCCGATTGCCGACAAACTCCGCTTTGAATGTGTGTGCCGTCAGTGGCGGTCAGTTATCTTTCAACACCAGAAGATACTAGTGATCAACGAATACTCGATGTGTGTGTTGGACATGAAGTCTAAGCTGAAGTTCAGACAATTTGAAGGTTTCGATGAAGACTTGAATGTCATTAAACTACCGAAGTGTTTGCTCGAGAGGTTGCCAAACACGTTGAGACAGTTGTTCCGCAAATTCAAGAACATTACCGGTTTGCAGATCATTGGATTCAATATCTATGACGAATTGATGCAAATACTGATCGACGAGTGTACGGATCGACTGACAAGTATTGATATATCGGTCGACGATATTGACCATCAATTGTTTGCCAGATTTGCCGACAAGTTTGGCCAAACACTGACTGCAGTTTCGCTAAGGAATATCAATGACGAAGACTTGGAAGCCGTGCTGAAGAAGTCGCCAAATTTGAGGACAATTTTTTTGTTCAACGATTTAAGTGTTTTGTTGAAACAATTTCTACCAAAACTGCATAATATCTATCAGTTTTATTATTCGCATAAAGACGACAACAAAGACAATACTTGCGAATCGTTTGCCGATAATTACAAGAATCAGATAATCAATTTGAGATCAGATCTATTCCTTCCACTCTATGATAATTTTATGTCAAACATTAGTCGTTCACAGTTTGTCTCTCGTTTTGCAAATCTTCGCGATATTTATATCCGTTTTTCGCGAAGCGAAGACTTTGACGCCAATTGTCTGCAACCGATTGCCGACTCCTGTCAACAGCTATCAGTGTTACGGCTCAGTGTCTTCTCGTTTACATTCAATGCCATACTATTTAAAATTGTCGCCAAATTTCATTCGTTAACTGATCTGACACTTAATTCCTATGAATATGTATCACCAAATGGTGTGGACAGTAGTCACCAAACAGTGATTGAAAAACTAACTGTCTGTTCAAACATCAGATATTTTTCGTTGAATACAATCGGTTTGAACGACGACGATCTCAGTGTTATATTTCATTGTTTTCCACATTTGAAAAAGTTTTTATTGGATTGTCGTACGGATGGATTCAATATTACTGATAAAACATTAGAAAATTTGTCGAAATTAGAAGATTTGACGAAACTGTCGCTCAAAACTCATAAATACTTTCCATATATTAGCGATGGATCGATGGCTCAGTTTCTGAACAAATGTCAAACGGTTACAAACATTAGCGTCAGATATAACTTGCAGTCAATGCAACCGATCCAACAATTGATCCGAACGGCTGACAAATGGTCGAAAATGACATTCAGATTTGATTTCTGTGTGAAATCACTGCCCGATTATATTCATCAACGAAGACAGCAGCTGTCGATGGTATCAAATGTCAAGTTGTTTGCCTTTAATACTAATGAAAGACAAGATTTTGTTTGTTGTGATAATCGGATTTGGAAATTGGATAACGATTACGACCGATACAAGTATTGGTTTTTCTAAATATATTTATCGGTAATACAATAATTTCATAGCTATTATTAAAGTATTTTAAAAAAAATTTTAATGTACCGGTAATTGCTTAACAATTACGGTATATTTTTTTTTATAAATAAGTAATCCTAATAACTTTAAGACATTTGTTTTGTCTGTTTGTTTGTTTGTTTGTTTGTTTGTTTGTTTGTATGTGTGCACACTTCCTCAACAACCATTTTTTAATTCAAAGCTAAAAATATATTGTTATATTTTCAATTTTAATTTAAAGCAATATTATTTCTATGGGAAATTTTAAATGATTATTGAGCTCAGGTAGGTTTTAGGGACAGGTAGGCTGGTGTCGTGTAATTACACTTTGCTATATTATATGAGTTACAGGGCACCGGGAGGTAAGCTACCTGTGCTAAATTTTTGCAAAATTTTCTCAAATGCAAAAATTTTCAATTTGTGTTAAAATTTTCAATTTTAATTTAAAGCAATGTTATTTCCATGGGAAATTTTAAATGATTATTGAGCTCAGGTAGGTTTTAGGGACAGGTAGGCTGGTGTCGTGTAATTACACTTTGCTATATTATATGAGTTACAGGGCACCGGGAGGTAAGCTACCTGTGCTAAATTTTTGCAAAATTTTCTCAAATGCAAAAATTTTCAATTTGTGTTAAAATTTTCAATTTTAATTTAAAGCAATGTTATTTCTATGGGAAATTTTAAATGATTATTGAGCTCAGGTAGGTTTTAGGGACAGGTAGGCTGGTGTCGTCTAATTACACTTTGCTATATTATATGAGTTACAGGGCACCGGGAGGTAAGCTACCTGTGCTAAATTTTTGCAAAATTTTCTCAAATGCAAAAATTTTCAATTTGTGTTTAAATTTTCAATTTTTATTAAAATTATTTAAATATATATAAAAACTAAAATTTCTCAAAAGTTTAGTCGAATTAATGTGTATTGGTTCAGTAGTTTTGTTACATTAGGTTATGTAGTAGTTGTATAAACAAATTAAGTCTCATTCAAATTACTTATAGTAAATATTTTTAAATTAGTAAAAGAATTGCACGGCTATACATGTTGCTCGGGACAAACTAGTTTATTTTAATTTATTTATTTTATTGCTCAAAGAATTTTAGGTTTTGTTCAAATAATTTTTTAAATGAAAATAAATTTTTATTAATGCATTGGTATTATTATTAATAATAATGATAAGTTTATTTAATTATGATATTATTTGTTATAAACTATATATTTATATTTATTAATTATTATATACAGTAGTATTTTTTGTTATTTGGTTAAAATATTTAATTAATTTTAAGAAAATTAACTAGGATAATTATAATAATAATAATTATATTAAATGAACAAATGTACATATCATAGATATAAATAATATTTTAAATAATTATATAAAAAAAGTATTAAAATATATTTTAAACAAATAACTATCCTTTATTTAATTTATTAATTTATATTTATACTAATATTTAAATAAATTTAATAATAATTTGTATTTAAAAAAAAAGTACTGTTAAAAAATAATAACTAAATAAATAATATTTATAATAAATAAATTAAATAAAACAATTTCCAAACATTTAGTTATGAAAATTAATTTATGAAACTTTTTACTTTTTAAAACAATAATTATTATTAAAAAAAATTACATCAAAACAAAAAACGTCATATGATGACAATGTACAATACATGTGAGTTAGGCCTTTTTTGCAAATGCAATGATAACACTGTGTGTGTATGTTATTAGCCAATGGTAGTGATTGTTGACCCAATTTGAATGAATAACAACACTCTCATTGACACTAAACTACACTATAAATAGTGTTAATAATAATAATATTCATAAAACAATTGATTACATGAGTTGTGCCAAACATTTGTCATAATTTGATTGATAATTATTATTACTGTTTAGTATTGATTAGTAATTAACAAAAAGTAAGTAAATTAATTGTTTCAATGTTTTTATTTAAATTCAATGCAAATTATAATGATATTTAAATCATTGATTAAAATTAATAATAATCCCTAATCTATACCCAATTAAACAGAGATTAATGCAAATATAATTTATAATTAGTTTATCAATGATTTTATTGATGTTTTTTTTATTGCATTAATTGACTGAAAGTAAATTGCATTTAAAACTAATACTAATATCAATTGATTGATTGATTGGACACACATTATAGGTGATCGACAAATCCAGATAATCATGACGTCCACCGCCACGACAGCTGCTGCCGCCGCCGGCACACAACAGATGGTCTGCAATTCAATTACACTGAAGGGATCCGTTGATATCGTTACCGAGTTCTTCGGTAAGAAATTTATTGTTAATCCATTGATCTGTTGTTGTTTAAGACATTGATTTGACAATAATTTTTTTGTATTTAAATTTGACCGCAGAGTATGGCATCAATTCAATACTATATCAGCGCGGCTTATATCCATCTGATCGGGTAATTAAATATCATTGAGGAATGAAATTATCATAAAAATTAATTAAAACGATTATTTGTTACCACAAAAAAACACTAACAGTTCAATCAGTGTCAGAAATACGGCCTAACATTGTTGATGACTATTGACGATAAACTGAAAACCTATTTGCAGACAGTGTTGTCTCAGTTGAAGACGTTTATGTTGGCTAAAAATGTCCACAAAGTAGTTCTGGTGATAGTAAATGTCGAAAATCAAGAAACAGTAGAGCGATGGGAGTTCCTTATCGAATGCGATCAGACTATCGGCGACGGAGAGACCAAAGTGGTCGACGAAAAAGAGGTTCAAAACGGTATACGCAATGTGATCCGTCAGATAGTGGCCAGCGTTACGTTTTTGCCACTACTGGAGGGAAAGTTTATCTTTGATATACTTTTGTATACCGACAAAAATACGGATCTACCGTCGGCTCTCTGGTTGGACTCGAATCCGCATTTGATACCGAATGCCGAAGAGGTTGAGCTCAAGAATTTTTCGACAAATATCCATAAAGTCAAGGCTATGGTGTCGTACAAGAACTGCGAGTGAATTACATTTTTTTCCTAATTCTAATCATTTCTTCTTTAAGTTTTACTAATTGTATTATAATTTGTTTGTTTAATAATTTGATTTTTAAACGTTTATATTATAAATCATTAATGATCAACAAGAAAACTAATCACAATTTTTTTATAAATCAATATTTTTTATGATTTTTTTCTATCAATAATTGATGGCTTTATAGAACATTAAATACATTAATTTTTTCTATTAATTAAAAACAAAATTACAGTAAATATTTTATTTTATATTAAATTATTGTTTTAATAGAAGATTATTTTTATTTAAAAAAAAAACAAGATTTCAATTTGAGATTTAAAAAGTAAAAAGAAAATATTATTTTTAATGGAAATTATATAACTTTTATAATAGGCATTCAATTCACGATTTTTTGTATTCAATTCTTTCAACTTTGACCTCATCGCCGATCAATTGGTAGACATATATGACAACAGTTGACGATTGGATGTCCATTAAGACAAACGATGGAATGACATTACTGGTCATAAATATGAATGAAATGATGATATGTTAGAAATTAATAGACAATTGATTAGCACTGGAATGACAGCACAATGAGAAACAATGAGAGAAACAATACCTTTCGAGTGCAGTATAAGCACCGGTAGCCGAACCGGGATTGATATAAAATTTGCCATCACTTTCGTAGGCCTCGAACTTATGTGTGTGTCCTGTAATAAGTATGTCGACATCGAGCTGTCGCTGAATTAGTGCCAAACTTTCGGGATCAGCCCACGGAACAATTTGATGGCCGTGACACAGACCGATACGAAACTGGCCGACAGTAACCACTTTTTGTTCGGGATATGCAGTGTTCTTGTCATTTAGACATTCAAATGAGATAAACAAAAATTGTATTATTAGTTTTGAAAATCAATAGAAAAAGAAGGTAAGAATGTCTACTACTTCATCGAAATCTCCTCTAACGATATGAACATCGGTGGCCAATGTCTTCAAATAGTCCAACGATTCTTTAGTACAGAGATTGCCAGTGCATAGGATATGTTGTATCCTTCCCGGAACCAATAGCTTCTTGAATTTGGCCGGTAATGAGTGACACCGATACGGCACATGAGTGTCGCCCATCACTAACACTAACTGACGGTCGCGAAGAAAGAAAGAGAGAGAGAGAGAGAGGACATCAAACAAACAAACAAATTAAGACATTTTTTTATTATCATATATATATTGATGTCATTGATATTAAATACCATTTTTTTGAATTGTTTTTTATTTGTTTAAATGTCTTGTGCGGTGATTATTGTGTTGTTTTTGTGGTGAAATCGTATCAAACAGTGGTGTCAATGATTTTTTGCTAAAATAAATGTCAATACAATTGATGTCTACTATAATATTGACAAAACAAATGCATTCAATATATTTAATACTAATATTTAATAGTATTTATAATACGCCTATTATTTACGTCAATTTACACATAAGTAACGTGTGTTTTGAGTTTTTAGTGTTTTATTTAATTATTTATTAATATTTTTATATTTATATATATTTTAGTGTACAGTAAAATCTTTTTTCTATGCAATTAAATTAATTGTATAAAATAAATACTATATGTAAAAATGTTTAGTTACCAGAGTATTAATTATAATTTAATATATATAAATTAAATATTTATATAATAAATTTTAATAAACATACATATTTAGACAAATTGTTTAATTTAATATTAAGTAATGTTAGGTTAGGTTACGATACATAAAACCCAACCCAACCTAACAAACATTACTTAAAATACAAAATCTTTAGTAATTTATTTTTGTGTATTAAAATTTTGTTTATCTCTTATTTAATTTTTTTTAAATAAATAATAATTAAAGTTTACGATTAGTTAAAATTAGAAAAAACAAATTATTAAACAACTTAATAGTAAACATTATGGTATTTAATAATTTATTATGTTTTTTGTTTAAAAAGTTTGATAAAATATTTTGTCAAACTTTTTTTTGTATTAACATAAATAATTAAATACCAATTTTATGTCATTTTGATTTTTTTGTTTGTTATTATTATACATAAAATTTTTACTCTAATTATTTTGAAATAAATTTTAATTTAGAAAATTAACTAAACGAACTTAATTTTAATTCATTAATTTATTATTATTAAATTATTAATTACTTTATTTTAGTTTTTTTAAGTTTATGCACACCTAATTAGTAAATTAAATATACAGTTGAATATTTTATGTTAATTGGACATCAAAATTAGTTTTAGTTTCTATTTTAAATATATTTTAATTAATTTTTATACAAATACTATTTTATTTTGTTGTTGTTTTTTTCTTGTCGTGCATCTAATTTCATAAACAACATTAACTTTAATGTATTTTTAAAAAATTAACTTATTAATGTTGTACATATTTTATATTTAATAGATTATTTAAATGGATATACCATTGTATAGTGTATAATAAAACCAGCGATTTAAAAAAAAATAAAATATTGTATAGATATATAAATTTATATTTTATATATAAAATTTAATTTATTTTTATTTTGACAAAAATTATAATTTTATTATATTTTATATGGTAATTTATCATATTATGAAAATATGAATATAATATACAATATAAGCCAACATTATATTTAGTTAAAAAACATTTTACCAAAAATTAATAAAAAAAATTAATGATCTAAAAGCATTCATTTTATATTAATATAAAATATATATAACAGTCCAAATCTACCTTATATTTGTAACTTACAAATTGTAAGGTATGGTATATTTTATATTATATTATATATATAACAGAATCTATTAATAATAAAATTTCTATAAATTGCTATCAATTTTTTTTGTCAATCAATAGTAAAAATAATTAATAAAAATAAAATTTCTATAGTTTATTTGTGAGTAATATTTTAAAAAATTTTGCTTAAAGTGACATTTTATTTGAAACATTTCTATAATTTGTCAAATAAATCATTAACTTTGGATCAAATGATTTTGGATATGAGGAGTAAGTAGTTTTGATTATAAGATTGAGTCAGTTATTTAAAATATACTGTATATTAATATACAATATATTGTAAGTGAAAATAAAAGTTAAATATTATAAATATCATATATGTATAGTAAATGTATTATTGATAGACTAAAAAAATATATTATACAGATATATAGATAATGGGCTATTGAGGAGAGGCATTAAAGATAAATGATGTGATCATTATTTTCATATTGTATATGTATTGTACTGTATATGCAGTATATTATTGTATTATATATTTGATAATATAATTTATATATATATAACCATACACTCATTGCAACACCAGGCAAAAAAACTATGATATGTTAATAATATACGCATAAATACCATACGGTTAATATCATATATATAATATAAGAGTATATATAATCCATTAAAAAATATTATATTATATAGATAGCAGTTTTATGACAATGGGAAGCATTAGTTTGTTTTTTATAGTTAATATATTTGTCAAAGAAAAATGTTGAGAAAGAGAGAGAGAGAGAGAGAGAGAGAGAGAGAGAGAGAGAGAGAGAGAGAGAGAGAGAGAGAAAATATTGTTGTTTAAATGGCATAATTTTCAGAGGATATGGCAATTGAGGTCACATATATGCACTCTCTATGCAATCATCATCAACTGTGTATGAGCTGTTGTTCACCACAAGAAGCTGTTCCCATACATTGAACATGTGTTATACTACCAGACAACACATCAATTGCCATTACATTACTCTCATAGAGTTAATGGACACACATATACTGTACATATAATACACATACACACAGAATATATAGTGATAGCCTTTTGATTGACATTTACATGAAAATGAATTTAAAAATTGAGGCAAATTGAGAGAATATTCCAGTTTATATTAATATAGAGTATATATATATATATATATATATAAAGTTATAATCAAAATGTTCATATTTTTGTGTGAACTATATATTATAAAATAAAAATAAATACAGTATAATCTAGGAAAAATTTTGTATTATTATAATAAAATCGATAGATAACTATGCAATCCAATTAAACTAAAATTTTTATAAATATATTAATATATATATATATATATACTGTATATATATATATACTGTATATATATATATACTATATTTAATAGAAATAAATTTATTACACAACAGTTTTTGTTTGTTTGTTTTTTTTCTAAATTAGTTTTATTAATTAATTAATCAATAAGAAAATTAAAATATAAAAAACAAAAATTTATAATTATTTTTTTCCATTTGATATGTTGAATAAAAATATTATAAACTACAATTTATCGTTATTATTATTATAAGTATTTTAATTTTTTTACAAATTGGTTAAACCGATGAGAAACATATATATATTTACTGTTTTATATAATTTAAAAAATTTATGTTAAATTAAATTATATTGATACATTTTTAAATCAATTGATTTTTTAAAAAAAAAGTAGTAATAATAATACATAATTTAATGAACACAATTTATGGGAACTAATTAATTAATTAATTATAATTCAATATTTTATAAGATGTATATTAATTTCATTTTTTAGTAACAAATTTACACTAAATTATAATTATAATTAAAGTAAATAAACTCTAATTTACTTAGTATTTAATTAAATTTTGGTTGTTAAAATATAAGTGTGTAAATATAATTATATATATTTTTTATAGCTTTATTAACGTTATTTTAACTTTTAATTGTTATATATAGTTGTATTAATAAAATGAAATATTTTTTAACAAACATTAATTGTGTGATATTATATAATTAAAATTATAAATCAAATAGTATAACATAAAAATTAATCTTATATTTATTATGTAATCGTAATAATAATAATAATCTTTATTTTTGTCATTTTTTAATAATTAAAAAAAAACTACACATCTATGGCACAAATGATTAGTAAAAATGATAGTAATAATAATAATAATAGTAATAATAATTATAATTATATTAATAAATAATTATACATATTTTGAATATAGATTTAACATATATATGAAAAAAATGTTAACAAAAATTTTTTTTTGATGCAAACATTAATGTGAAGCACAAGAATATTCTTTGTGTTAGTTGTTTCGTTAGTTACTATAATTACAATTATATTTATAAAAAAACAGTTATTATTATTTTTTGTTTGAATAAAATTTTGGTTATATTATTGTTATGTTTTGTTTATCTGTGTTAATATATATGAGAAATAAGTATTTATTTATTTTTTGAAATCAATCACAATTACCAAAAATGTTATTTATTTATTTTTTGTTGTTATTATAAGTTATGACTGTTTGTAGTATTTATCGAAATATATATGGATTATTCAAAAAAAAGAAAAAGACATATCATATCAATACAGTACATAACACACACATCGAGTGGTTTATGTAAATATAATTTATATATATTTACAATTGAAATACATATATAATATATATATTATTATTAATAATATTTTTATGTCATCATCGAGAAAGTAAGAGAGAAAGAGAGAGAGGGGAATGTTATACTAAAAAAACTGTAGTTCCTATTAATTTTAGTCAATTTTTTAAAACCACTATAAAATAGATGTATTGTGATTTATAATGTATTATTTTTTTCACAGAAAGTGTGTTTGTGTGTGTGTTTAAGTGCAATAATAATTCACAATTTATTTATTTTATTATACTATCAGATATATAGGTATATATATATATATATATGGATGCTTTTATATATATTTATTAAAGTAAATCTGATATTATTATTAATAATAATAATATTTATAATCCAAAAAATTTGAAAACCAATGAATACGAGGCACTGCTCTTCACATTAAATGTTAACAAAATCTATTAATTTATTTATATATAATTAAAGATTTTTATTTATTTATATATCAAGTTATTTGATGGTTTTTATAAGCGTGAAACAAATAATTAAGTTTTTATATAATTATGGCTTGTATTTTTAGTTTAGTTTGAAAAGCTATTTTCATTGAAATATTTATAAACATATATTATTTATTTATTAAGACAGTTGTTGTTTTATTTGGTATTAAATTTTGGTATAATTTATTTTTTTGTTTGTTGTTTGTAATACTATTTATTGGATGTTTTTTCTATTTTTTAAAAAATGTCAGACATATATATATATACCTAACAAATAGTCTGGTCATTGAAATTATAATACTTATTTTTATTAACAACATAAACCCAATGACCATATTAAAAGACTATACCCTAATACTACTACATGTGCTTGTATTTTGTAAATTATATACTGATAATTGATAAATGTCTTATATATATATATATATATTTACGTTATAAACATCATAGTAGTTATGTTGTTGTTGTTGTATTTAAGACATCAATTTCAGTACCAAAAAAAAGATAAGGATTTACAGTTAACTTAGCTTTATGTGTGTATGTGTTTGTTGTCTTATATTTATTATTTGAATTTAATCTATAATTAAAAGGAAAATTTATTATATATTTATTGTTTCACATATAAATCAATAATTATTAAGACTGTGATTATATATGAGACTTATATATATATAGGTTATACTTATTATTATTATTATTATTACGGTATTACACTTTATGTTTGTAAATTAGTTTATGATTTTATTTAGTTTTGTTTTTTGTTGTTATTGTTTGATAAAAATTTTTATTCATTACATTTATTGAATTGAATTTATTTTAATACAACATTTAAGGAATGTTTCATTTTGATAATGTTTTTTAAAAAACATTACTATTTATTATTATTATAAACATTATTTTATATATATATTTTTATAAGTAAAATAAAAATCAATATTTATGGCATTTTATATATATATGTATTACTCAATATAATCTGTAATGAATAAATACAATACTGTTAGATTTTTATTATTATTATTATTATTCAGCTATTATGTGATTTTTTGCCTTTTTATCAGTTTTTACCGAAAAAAACTATAAAAATATAAGACAATAAAAACAGAGAGTGAGATATCTCTTTCACTTTGTAAGCAAAATAAGATACCAAAAGAAAGTCTTAATATTTTTAATACTAAAAGCAAAAAAAAATATTATAGCAAAATATTCTGTCGATGAATATACTAAACAAAAAATTGCTAATAATAATAATAATAATGGTATTATGATTAGTAGTATTATTATTATACAGTATTAGTTAACATAAAAAAATTCTAACACTAATAATAATTATTATGATTAAAATAAAACTTATTATTAACAATTAATAATCAATAGCATAATAGATATATTAATTAATCAATTAGAAAGAGAGAGAGAAAGAGATTTAAAAAAAATAAAGTGATAAATAAGTAGTAAAATAGTTGCAAATATAATAATAATAATGACAAAAAATATGGCAAAACTTTATACCATTAGATCACTACAGTATAATAATAATAATTTATATCTGCAATTGTGTTTTTTATATCTTATTTAAGCTGCTATTGTGTTCACTATTTATATATATATATATCTTTATATATCTTATATAATTGCCAAATACATATACACAGACACATACTTGACTGAGAGGTAAATTAAGTTTTTTTTATATCATAATTACCGACAACAACATAGATAACAACATCATTATTATTATAGCTCAGGTATTTGGTGATGGCTTAATATATCTAGTATGGATGGTATGGGCGCATAAGCGTATGATATTATATATATATATATAATCAAATGAGAATATATATATATATATATATATATATATAAAGTATATGATGAATCTCCAAACAATCGCCAAAGAAAAAAATTTAGTAATATATTTAATAATAATAATATTTTATATTATTATGAGAGAGAAATCCTGTCGGTGAGTGTGTCAGACCTTTTTGTTTGTAAGGGATTTTTTAGTCATAAAAATCGATCACTTTTTATATATATATATATATATTTTGTGTAACAATATATTATAAAATATATGGAATTTTTTCTGCCGACAAAATATCTCTCTCATAACATACTCAGAAAAAAAGTGATAAATACGAGTAAAAAATATATATTACTATTATATCTTTGATAAATTGTAAGGACTGATAGCTTATGCTTATATATAATGTTTAATACTTAAGATATAGTTACTAAATATATATACTAAGAGATGATAATTACCTAAAAAAATGATTCATCATATAATTTTAATATTATTATCATTTTTGTTGTTGTTTTATTAAAAAGCTAGTATATAATGAATGTTACTTTAGATGTCTGTGTTTTTTTATTGTTGTTGTTGTTGTTGTTTAAAATTTAATGTCTGAGAAAATTTGTTTCAATGGTAAGTCTAAGTATGTGTGATAAAAGAGAGAGAGATAGAAATACTAATAATTTTAAACAAATAATTTTAATGCTATTTTATAAAAGTTTTTTTTAAATGTTATGCTATTTAATAAATATGTATTTATATATTTTTTTATCAATAAGAAAATGATTTGATTTTTTTGTCGTCTAATTATTATATATATGGAAAAAAGTATTACACATAATATCGTAAGTTATATTATTAACTACTTATTAGTATTAGTATTATTATTGCATTTGACTAACAATTTTTTGTTATCTTTTATATTAAAATTAGTTTAATTTTTTCTAATGAATCAAATGTTTTACTAATGAGAAGTGTGTGTTATTTTTGAATTTGAATTATATATATATAGTATGAATTAAAATTGTTGTGACTTTTTTTGTTTGTTTGTTTATGAGAGTGAAACAGATTTAATAAATCAATCATATTTTTTTAAACATTTTGATGCCAAAAAAATAGTTGTTAAAAATAAAATAGTAATAATTACTTAATGATAATAATCAATAATATATATCACTTATATATATAATAGTCATTTTGATATTCAACTCTCTCTTTCATTCCCTCCCTGTCCCGCATAGTAGTAGTACTGTATATATAACTTTAGACTTGTGGTGGTTGTTGTGAGGCCTCGAAGTACTTATACGTCGGGTTCTCGTATCCATTGACCTGCATGTTGGCCACATGTCTTTCCTCTGGTGTCACCGCTTGATCCACTTCGACAAAGCCCTGGCTATGCGGCGACCTTTGTGTGTGTTTCTTAAGTAATACAATGCCGACGATAGTGGCCGTCAACAGTGCAATGCCGGCAAAGGCCAGTGTGATGTAAACACTTCCGTTCCATCGTAACCGATGATTGTAGGGCTCACGGCGTACGGAATAGGACTGGTATAGGTTCGGGAGGGGTCGGGAAAACAAAAAAGATTATATTTAAGTATAATAAACGATGACTTAAATGATAGCAGACATACAGCCTCGTTGTGATGGAATGCCTGGTTCTGTATATACGACTGTTTAGGTGTGGGCACAATGTCGTGAACCTCATTGGTTTCTTCGTCTTCGTGCGGTATGATTACCGCCGATCGCATGGGTGTCGAGCTCTGTGGAGTAGGTGTGGGCGCCACAGGGGGTCGGCTTTCGGCCTGACCGTCCTCATTGCTGGTACCGGTGCGTTCATCCTCCATGGACTCGGGATCGAACTCCTGTTCCAATTTACCGCTCTTTTGGTTGGCCTCTACCCGTCGCTTCTCGTCTTGTAATTCTTCCAACTCTTGTTTTCGTTGTTCGGCTAACATTTTCTGTCGTTCTCTTTCCTGTTGTTTCTGTGCCACTTCTTCCTCATACCTGTCCATAATAGCCAGTTCCGAATCGCGGGTTATCTTTTCGTCGTACGGAACACCTCTCAGATTATGCCAAAACGCAACCATCCGGTGCTTGAGTTTTTCGGCAACATTCGGCACCCGGTCTAACATCTGTATAGACTGGTTGGCCATACGAATCAGATCGTCCAAATGGTCTAACATGGCGTCCTTATCTTTGAGCGCCTGTTTGGTGTATGAGTTCAGCAGATGTCTGAAATGATGGAGTGTATGGGTTCTGTCCTTTTCGAGAGCCCGAAGAAGTTTTTCCAAACACTTTTCGATGCGTTTGGTTTTCGGTGGCGTCTGATCCAAGCTCTGCGTATAGCAATCCATTGCCGACTTCTTTCTCAAATTGATAATTGTCATCACTCTTTGCTGATGCATTGAGATCAGCTGTCGCTTTTCAGCCGAACCCTCTTCTTCCAGTGCTTCCACTGTCTTCTGGAAGCGTCCGGTCATCTTCTTCTTGAAGTCTTCGGCGCCTTTCGGGTCTTTCAGACGCATCTCTTGATAATGTTCTTCGAGTTCACTCCACTCCTTCATAACCTATTAAGTGTGACGGATGATAGAGAGAAAAAAATCAGAAAAAAATTACCATTTTTTGTGAATAAAAATGAAGAAAAAACATAATAAAAGTAAACACAAAGTAAGAATCAGATCCACTAATATCTATCATATATATATATATATATATATATATAAGTGAAGAGTGAGATAACAAATATGGAAATTTCAAGTCAAAGACTAAGTAGAGGAAGAAGACTTGATATGAAATTTATGACACCATTTGTTATCAAAGAAAAAAAAATCGTCAATCCTTTTAGGTTTGGTTTGTTGTCTCACATAATAATAATAATAATAATAATAATAATAATAATAATAAAATCGATACTAACTTTAGTAACTTTCTGTCGATGATTGTCCTCCAATGACTTCTGTGCCGATTTGAACGAGTCGTGCTCTTTCTGCGAATCAAAATGACTTAAATAATAGTCAACCGGACGTTCAGTTGTTGTGGTAGTGGTGGTCGTAGTCGTGGTTGTAGTTGTTGTTGTGCTGCTACTGCTGCCGCTCTTTACATCATCGTCTTCATCATAATCATCGTCATAATAGTCATCATCGTCTTCATCATCACTGTCATCGTCTTCATCCGAATCGGTGGTACTCTCTTTAAGCTTATATTTGTTATCATCGATGATGTTATCCTTAAGATCTTTGGCTACACCACCACTTTGCCTGTGCTGACCGTTTGTCTTAGGTGTCGGACAGCAGACAAATTCGACGCCCGAAAAGATGCCGACACCGCACGGCAACAGCATTGCAAAGCTTTGCAATTTCATTGTCCGTTTGTCGCAACTGGTAGTCGCCGTCCGGTTCCAGTAATCAGAACTCTGGCAAACACTCTGGTTGTGGATGTGATCGAACAGACAGTGTTCGGGCACCAGTAGGGCATCACTTTGGAACGGACCCTCCAGACACCGGTACGGTTTGATCCAGTGTTTGGTTCGGCATTTCTTTTGTCCTAATTTACACCAATTGTTTATTTTATAGTATTTGTTGGACTCGACAATGTTTCTGACATCCTCTTTAGGATAAACCTATTAATTAAAAATTTAGTGAAAAAAACACAAATTTATTAGTTTTTTTTTAAAAAAAATAATACATCTAATAAATATTTTTATTTTTAGTTTATGATTCATACTATAATTTAGTTAGTAATATACAGTAAAATATCAATTGATATAACCATCAAAAAAACCTTTATATACTGTATATAAATATATATGTAGAGTATATACCGGTATATCTCTAAATAAAACTTGGGTTTTAATGCTTATAAACTAAGAAAATAATAAGATTTATGTCTTATTTCTCTATCTATTTGTCTCTTTAGGTTTTTGGTTGTTATTTTTGGTTAATATGTCAGAGGAATGGTATGGTTTTTATTTTACTTTTTTTTGTCGGGGGGTTATAAAGACATACATGTCTTTTTTATAAGATTTATAATACTGAGTGCCCATTGATTTAAATCCTGAGCCAAAAAATAGTTAGCATATATAAGATGATGAGGAAAAGCCATATATATAAAGGATTTAAAGATACAAAACATTAGAAGACATAAAATAAAATAAAAAAAAGAAGAAGAAAATTAAGACAACTAAAAGGCTTTAAGCCATAAATGAAAATTAAGATCTGTTTTGAAGTATACAGAAATAAAAACACATATAAATTAGTCAATAAACTAAACTAAATTAAAGCCTGATTTATGTCATAAAAAGCAAGATTTGGCTGATTTTTATCAATTTTTATATCTTTTTTATAGCATTATATTTAGTACTAATTACTGTATATATATATAACAAAATATACACAAAATAAATAAGATAAAAATCATATTAAAAATCATATTATATATAGTTTTTTTTGTTGTCAATATTTTATTAAATAATTTCTTCCTGATATAATTTTATACTATTAATATAATTTTTATAATACAATTTAATTAAAATAAAATAATTATATATATAAATATAATTGTTTTATGAAACAGAAAAAAATCAATTAATCATTAAAAAAATATATAATAATAGTAATACTGTATAATTCATTAATCAAGTAATATATTATATAAGTTATATATAAAATCACAAACAAACTACTGGTAAATTGAAAATTGAATTAATTGACGGCTTATTTGAATTTAATTAATTTGCAATTTTCTTAACGTTTTAGTATTTTTTTAATACTTATTTGAAGACATGTATGTCTAAGACATTGCTGGCAAACGTTGGCAACAGATGTTTAGCTCTTAAAAGAGTAATTTTATTGATAGAAAAAAACATATAAAAAGAGAGAAAACAGATGAAAGAGAAATAATTTAATTTCATTGAATTAGTCGTAAAAAAGTTGAGAGAAAAAGCTTTTGAAGTGTTTAGTAGTGAAAAGATTTTTTTGATTAGTTGTTTTGTAACTGAGAGATACACATACATAACACATACAGTAAGGTATAGTAGTTAGGTATCTGATTAAAGGCATGTTTTATTGTTGTTGTAGTTGTTGTGTCAAAAGTCATGCAAATAATTATCTTATCATTTATTTATTAAAAAAATAAACCATTAAGACGTGATAAGAGATAACTAAATGAATGGTATGGACGCTATGGATGGGTTATATACCATCTCTTATAAAACAAACATTTTGTTGTTGTTGTTGATTATATTATATAAAAATATATTTTGTTAACTATTGTTAAGTATAGTATAAACAGTATAATATTGATAATATAAATTTATATTATTAACAACAAAAAACAGTAGTTTGAATGTTGTTTACCACATAATGTGCTGACTATAACTTAACTAACTGACAGCACATCCACTGGTAAATGTACTTTTATTTTAACTTAATTTACATGTTTTGCTGAGTTTTTATTGCACACAAAAAACAATTACTTCATATAGTGATGTGTGTATGTATTTGTATGTACAGTATGTGTGTGTGTATTGTCATCTAAATTCAAAATTTACGATCAAAAGCCTTAATTATTTAAAATATTTTAACAATTTTTTTTGTTAATGTTGTTTGTATGTCGTCTGAGTTTTTTGTTTGTTGGCTATATATTATGCAATCTAAATGAAGTCTAATGAATGCATATCCCTATGTCTAACAAAATATAATAAAATTTAAAAAATAAGCAAACATTGCCGGAGCACTCCAGTAGTCAACAAAATTAAAAAGGTTTACTACACTTTATATAGTTATAAATTGTTTTTCCTCTCTCTCTCTCTCTCTCTCTCTCTCTCTCTCTCTCTCTCTCTCTCTCTCTCTCTCTCTCAATAGTAGGGGAAATATAATTTATACACTAAGCTAAATATGCACAAAAAACTATAAGCTAAATATATTTAAATTGATAGCTCCTATATGTTGTGATATATTAACTATATATATATTGTCTATATTTAGCTCCGAGAAGTTTAACGAGGATTCATTTGGCATACAATTCATTCACTATTTATTAGTAATTCTAGTTATATATACCGGTATATATATATTATATGAGAAGCCTTAGGGCTATGCAATGCCAGTGCCAATGCATTGTGTGTCTAGTATTAGTTATTTATATTTTTTGCATATAAGTTAAGAGTGCTTTCTGTTTTCTCTCTCATCTTTTAAGAGTAAAGTTTTCGGAAAATCTTATTATTATTATATAAATAGTAGTCATATAAATATATATATATTATACTGTATATACATATTTTAAAATTCTGTGCTAAAGATAAAAGTAAGAAAAAAGTAATAAATATTTTTTCAAACAACAGATGCAAATATGTATTGATTTGAATATATTTATATAGTGTATATCAAAATACACTGTGAGTATCTGAAAAAATATATATACATTAAAACTATACAACTTATTATTTTTGTTGTTGTTGTTGTTATGTGAACTAATAATCATTTATGCGATCAAATTATTTGTCAAATAAAATGTGGTAAACATTTGTGTGTATGTGCTTTGATATGTATACTGTATTTTTATGTGTCGTATGGCATACCAGCTATAATATGGTTCAATACTTCATTAATTGTGGCCAAAAACACATATATATATGGCTCATATATATATATATATATATATATATATATTAATCGATTGCAATGATTGTTATATACTATTTATAACAAGAATATATATATCATATATTGAATATATATAAGAATATTATGTTTCATCTCTATTCAGTAGATATCAAGAATATTCTTGTAGTGAATACCACACCAATTGTAAAGAAGTATACGAGCAGTGAATGAGAAACGATTAATTTGAAAGCAATTTTATTATTATTATTATTCATAGCATACACACAAACACTATAGTAGTACAGATGTTGCCCTAAAACTGTATGTACAGCTCCGTGAGCTAGCCGTCCACTAGAAATAGTCAGTTCTCTCTCTCTCTCTCTCTCTCTCTCTCTCTCTCTCTCTCTCTCTCTCTCTCTATTTTTGCCTATTATTTGGAAATTGTTTTTATCGATTGATTTCCTACTTTTTGTTGTTATCAAGATAGCAATGTTTGACTCCAATTTTATTGTCCAATTACTATCTATATTCACTATATAAGTGCATAATGAGTATATACTGTATATATATATATATATAAATCTATTGTTTAAATAGTCACATCTCAACAATCGACGAACAGTTTTAATTAATTGCAACAATTTTTGAAACAGTGATTCTACTCTTCAAACACATTAAAAATCTCTTTTCTTTTCTCTAAATATAAATATACATTTCAATTGCATTTTTGTATTCATTGTGTGTATAATTCACTTTCTCTTTATATATAAATTATAATATTCTCTATAGTAATACATTAATTACTGTTTTAAACCTCATTAAAAATTTCGTATTATACTACTGTATCGTCTCTCTTAACTAAAGTGCTCTCATGTTTGAAATTACAACAAAAATTTTTTATTTGAAATATTGTATATATATTTTGCATAAATATTTTTGAGACACAACACACATACACACATTAAACATAAAAAAGAGTTAAATTCATATTAAATTTAAAAAATAAAATAAAAATATAATTATGAATATAAATTTTATTCAAAATTTTATATCATTATTTAAAAATATTATTATTATTATTAAAAACTCGATATTTAATATTAGCTATTACAGTTTAGTTATGCATAAAATTTTGTTGGTGTATCTCAATCCTTATCTATCTTAAAGAAAACAAATGTTTAAAAAGTATATCACAGTATTATTAATAATAGTAATAAAACTATAATACTGTTACATAAATTTTGATATATATTATATTATTAAATTATTGGTTTTGAGAGCAGAATTTTTATTTTTATTTAACATTTTCATTTTGTTAGCATAAATAATGGCCATTTTGCAAATATATATATATATATAATGTATATATGAATCTACGAGTTTATAAGCTATTATATATATATATATATATTAATATATAAAAAGTAAGAAAATTAATAACTAAACATTAATATTCATAAATTATTATGATTATTATCATTATATTAATATAATATAAGTGAAAAAAATAAATGGCGAGAAAATAAAAAAAAATCTTATAACTGACTGAAAGAGAGGAATGGTATGGTATGTCAGGTATTCTCATTGTATGTCAAACAACACAGTATTTTTAGAAAATCGATGCAAAATTTGCAATCATTTTTGGTTTTGGCAGAGGATTTAGGAGTTGATTATTAACTCTTAACTCAAGAAATTCAAGATTACTATTATTGTTTAACCATTTTATTTGTGCACTTCGTTGAACCAAATTGTCTATCAGTCTATATATACAATATATATATATTTAATATATTATAATAAACGTATATAAAGTATATATACAAATACAATAAATTGAATATATATTTTAATATATGATAATAACTATCTCTATATATATATATATATATATATATAACAAAACAATGGTAGATATATATACAAATATATCTACACATGTATTTCATGAGTCGACGCCCAGAGTTGTGTATAGCATTGGAAAAAGATATGCATCGAAACACTCCAATGCTTTACCATTCAATATATATATATATACAGAATATTCTGGAGATCGATATTCGACTATATTTTTTTAAATGTGTATGTGTTTGTGTGTGTGTTTGCGCGCTTATGTATGTATGTATATATGTTTATGTATGTGTGTGTGTGTCTGTCCAACCTATTGTCGTGTTTGGTTGATAACGTTCATATTTTTTGTTGTTGTTGAAAGTTATGCATACATGCAATATCACTACACAACAAGATATTATAAATATCATTTATACTATATATATATATATAACTATAATAATCTGAAGTACTGTATTATGTACATATGTATAAATAATAATTAATGTAAAATAAAATAATAGTAAAAGAGCTAAAAATGGTGGGCTTTTATCATTATTATCATAAAGTTTATATCATTATATGGTATAATATTGTATGAATAAAAACTATAGAAAAATATAGTAAATAAGTGATCGGTTTATTAATATATTAGTTATTATTATATATTAATATAATAATAATAATTTGGTTACTATATTTCATGTTAATATAACCGGTATATACAATAAAAACAATATTACTTTTTTTACTTTTTCCTTATTTTTATTAGTCCTGTTTTGTAAACTTTTTTATGAAACCAAATGGTGTGTTTGCATACATATACTGTATATTTACATCAAAATATCATAGTTTAATACTAAGCTTAAGAATGGACTGAGTTATCAAATTTAACGACTTTTACGCTGTTTTTCCACTAAATGAAGACTAGTTTGCAATTTAAGAGTCAATCGATTCATATAATAATATTACTGAATATATATAAGTATAAAGAGTTTTACATTTAAGCCATAGTTACTATCAGTAGTTTTAATCAGTTTCTTGTTAAAGGATTAATTGATTGAGTAATAGTAAGCACCTATCTATCGCTCTCCTCTCTCTCTCTCTCTCTCTCTCTCTCTCTCAAACTAACTCTCTCAGTACTCAATAATAAAAAGCTTAATAATTATTTAATGACATTGTCTACTAATGTAAAGGGTATTAATAAACTAAGACATTAAGAGAGAGAAAGAGTGAGACTTGTAAACAGTTGTAAATAATAAGTTAATAATTAAATTATATATATTATACAGTATTGTTATCATTATTATTATTATTACTGTATTATTACTATAATAATAATAATAATAATACTATTATTACATAAGTTATAAATGATATATAAATGATGAATAGTGTGCATACCTTTCGACAGTATTCCAATATTTCAAGTTTATCTTTAGTACAGACAGCTTTGGGATCGGGATCTGATACCCAGCGCTTATTTTCATCCAGGTATTGGTTGTGATACTGTCCGTGTCCACAGAGTATTGCCACCATTGGTTGGAAATGACTGAGTCCGGTGTCGATATTTGCTGCCAATGCCTGTAAATACAGTAAATAAATAATAAATTATTAATACAAAAAAATTATATATTGTATAATAAAGTAAATACACTAAAATAAATCTCTGGTTATCACTACTATAATACTGTAATAATAATAATAAAACAGTAGACGACTAATACTACTACTATAGTATTTGCTATTATTTTTAAAAAGCATTTTAACGCTACATTAATTTCATTGAATGATAGCCTATTTATTAAATATATAATATCATATCATACAGTACTGTATGTATAATACAAAATGTGATTTGAACAGTGAAATTATGAGTACAAAAAAAATAAATTAACATAACTTTTTTAAAGAGATATATGAATAGATATAATATACTGTATATAAAACAAATAATTTTTAAGTTTTCAATTTTATCAATAAATGGCAAAACAGTTTTAAGAAAGTTTACGTTAAATTATTATTTTATAAAATAAAATCTTTTATTAGTTTACACAGTCATCTAATTGTTAAGTTTATGTTTAAGGATTTGATTTTTTTGTTTGTTTGTTTGAGCAAAAATCGATTAATACATTAACAGTATTGCATATAAAACACACACACAATAGTATTAGTCACTCGAGTTGTACAGTATTTAGAAATAAAATTGCAAATTAAATATAATTTCAATCCCACAGAAAATTAAATATAATTTTCAGTTTATATATATTTAGTGATGAATTGCTTGACAAGCGTTTAAATGCAATTGTAAATGAGTGAAAGAGAGAGAGAGAGAGAGAGAGAGAGAGAGAGAGAGAGAGAGAGAGAGAGAGCATTGAGTAAATCTAATTAATTGTTAGCCTAAAGTGGAAAACAATTTATATATAAATTTAAGTTTTAAAACAGAGAGAGAGAGAGAGAGAGAGAGAGAGAGAGAGAGAGAGATCCTAACAATGATTGTGTACACAGAAAACATTGGGGTTTAAGTGTCTTTAATTAACAAACATTTTAATGTCGAAAGACTACTCAAAACTATAGGCAAACAACATATATATATAGTACACACAGAATAATATCAGCTAAAAATCGATTCAATAAATTATTTCATTACATAATATTATTATTATTATTATTATAGTTTTTTTGTCTTTCTTTCATTAAGTTTTATATTATCATCAAAATTGAACACTAAATTGTAGGCCAATGTATAGTATTGTAGAGTCTACTTCAAACATATACTAATAATAATGATGATAATAATAATAATATATAATATTATAAGAAAATAAAAGTCATTGTAATTAAGTCGACTAAATATACAGTAAAGATAATGAAATGACAGGAAAGACATGGCAATCACTGGGCTCCTGGACCTACTTCTGAGTGATGCTTTCAGATAAAACTCAATGACACATACACTTAAAAAGCATAACCTTATTTACCAACACATACCGGTACAGTAATGTCTATTTACATTGAACTGTCATCTTCAGTGGTGCGACAATCAATATACACACCATCGATGGCTGTCATTGATTGTCTCACTTTATATATATATATATATACGATCTTAACAAATAATAATATCATATAACTTAGTTTATCACAATTTATAAAAATGAAAAAATAACAAAATTTATATAATATATATAATATATTTCCCGAAACATGATATTCATGATTTGATTGCACTATTTTTATAATCACTAATTACCATATCATTTAATGATAGACATTAATAACAATTTTGTGTGCAAACTATTGTTGTGTCAGTACTGTATATGATGTCATCACTTGTGTATGTGTTTTAACTTAACATTTAATACTGTAATTAAAGTGTTTAATGTCAATGATGTCTATGAAGAGGCGAGACTTTTAAAGACAACTATAAAAAACAAGTAATTATCAATAGCTATCAAACTTCATCATTGATTTACTCTATAGTTTCAATTAATATAACATACAATAAATGACAAAACTATTAATGTCATTAAATCAGATTATTAACTCTCTCTCTCTCTCTATATATATATATATATATATATATATATATACTGTATATATATATATATTACTAACATTTTGCAATTGGTATTATTGTTTTTTAATTTAATACGTATAAATAAAAGTTTAATACGTATACTTATATATAGTATAATAGTACTACTAAAATGTTGGGAATATTTTTTTGATGAAAATTTATTTATTTAATTTTCAAAAAAAAAATAAATATTTAAATATATTAAATGTGACGTTTGTATTGACTCTGTGATCGTCGGCAACAAAATCTCAAAATACCACTAATATATTCATTGGTCGTTCAGTGAGATGTAGTCTACTATCATATATTGATATATACAGTGTGTTTGTCAACTTAATACTCGCCGATTGTAACAATTTTGTTGTTGCAATTCATGACACACACACACACACACACACACACATACTCACTCACACACACACACACACACACACACACACACACACACACACACACACACACACACACACACACACACACACACACACACACATACATACAGTCACACACACATACACACATACATACACACATATATACACAGTCACTCCTAAGTGAGTTTGATATTTGATTTAATTTTAAATTTTTTTTCTCTCTCTCTCTATCTATCTTTGATTTGTCGTTTCCCAGAAACCATTGGAAATGAAAATCTCAACGAAAGAAGAAAAAAATGTTTTACAAAAAAAGATTTTACGATTTTTTCTTTCCCTTCTCTATCTCTCTTAACACTTACGGACACAAAATAAAAATAATATAAAAATAGAGTATTACTCTGAAAAAAGTACTGTATATTTCTATTAAAATATATACTATGTATGTGTGTGTGTACTGTAATATAAAACAGAGAGAGAGAGAGAGAGAGAGAGAGAGASAGAGAGAGAGAGAGAGAGAGAGAGAGAGAGAGAGAGAGAGAGACAGAGACAGAGAGACAGAGAGTTCAAATGGTTTTTTGTTTGTTTGAATTGAACTAAAAATTATTGTTACACTTTAGATATCAAATATAATGTATTTCTTGTACATTGTGTTGTGAAAATTGCAAGTGTTTTAGTGTTAAACATTTTGTGCACCCATTGGGTTTGGCCACAAAAAAATAATCTCAAGTATTAATAGCAAAAAGTAAAAAATAGATATATATATGAAAAAAATCATAGTTTCACTCAACAAAATTAAAGTAATAAAACAGTAAAAAAATAGTAGTATTGATTATAATAGAGATGTAATTTTAAGGCTAACACAATTTTTTTTGGCACACATTGAATAAGAATATTTGAAAATTTGTGGATAAGTTTAGATACAAACAACAAAAAATTATTAGATATTAAGTTTAAGGTGTGTTCACATTGAAAAGCTAAGTCCCTATAGAAAAACGATTATTAGTTTTTTTAGATATAATTAAAAAATAAAAATACTATGCATTTATAATATATATACAATATTTAAACATCACTATAATATATAGTATATATATATATAAAGTATATATATATATATTGTACTAATAATATGCTAAATAAGCAAACATTCATTTTGTTTGAACAAAAACAAAATCCTAATATTGATTGCCGTCTTTTAAAACATAACTTAGAAGCCATATATCAACTAATATAATATTATATATATATAATGAGTAAAAATGTAAAGAAAAATTTATAATTGAATTCAAAGTATTTTATTTCAATTTTAAAAGACGAGAGAGAAAACATTTAAAGGCAAAATAAAACTGAACTTTTGATAAATGTTACATTCATTCAATAATAAATAAATACAAAAAACTAATTACTATATATACTATATATTCAATATATAAACGTTTGACTTTTTAAAAATAGATAAAAAACAAAAACAACCAAAAAATGTATATAATTTATAACGAATTTCAAAATAGCGAATTACACTCTAAAATATGAGATTACTTTTTGTGTAATGGATATGAAATATACAAAACAAAAAAATACAATTAAATTCTATACTGAAATAAATTATATACAATATAACATTAAATATTTAGTTTAAAATTGTGTTAAAAATATAATATATTAAATCTATCGATTTAATAATAACTTATAATATAATTTATATATTATATAATATAAGCTAAAGTCAAACAAACACATTGATCGACAGCACACTTAGAAATGAAGAGAGAAAAAATGAAAATAAAAATGATTGTTATATGAGTTGAAAATAAATAGTTATGTGTTTTGTTAGACGTCAATTTGATAGCCCTGTGCCCAATGTTTTTACTTAAAGATAACCAGCACACATGTGAAATGGACAACAACAACAACAACAATATTAAATGGGATTCAATTTGTCAAACATACTGTATATCATTGTTAAAACATATTGATATATTATTAGTGCTTTATTACAATACTGTCTATATATTTCTATATATATATCATTATATATACAGTATATATAAACTATTAAATAATATAAATTAGTTTCTAAGAGATGTGTAATTGAAATATACTTTTTAAAAAAAAAATAATAATAATATAAAATTATCTAATATAATATTTAATTTAAATAATGAATTCAAATAATATTTTAAAAATATTTTGACATAATTTTAGCATATAAAGAATATTCTTATATAAAAGAATATATATATATTCTATAGTATTGTTGGAATACAAAATTTTGTTGAATTTTATCCAAATAATAGTTAAATTAAAAAAAATTGTAGTTATTTGACAAATATTTGTTTTATGCAATATCAGCATTTATATTATATACTGTATTGAATGGTTTCCTAGATATATATATATAAATATAAATAGATAGATATCCTGGTATTATATATTTATGTATACATATAATCCACATGGGAAAATTAATTAAATTAAATCCTAAAAATTATTGATTAAATATATATAAACAAGTTTTGTCTACAAAATTAGAAAATTTTGCAAATTATGCTATGTTTCAAATTTGTAATAAAATATATAATCTGTAAAGCATATATACACACACACATATGCATACATACAAACACACT